TAACTATCGCTGATTTATTTCATACTAAAAGCTCTCAAAGCCTTTACTCTCATTCCATTTAATTATTTTTTATAGAGAGCTTATTAATTACAATTATTATATTATATTATATTATATATAAAAAAAAATTAGGTATAATATAACCCTCCCATGGGGTACACCTTGTCGTGGTGGGAGGGCTTAGTACTTGGATGGTGTCTTGAGATTTATCTTAAATTTTTCTATTTATGATAAATCTTAAGGTGCTTGAAAGGGAAGCTAAGTACCCTTTCGCGTCGTCGGTGCCGTCAACGTGCCGCGGACGGCTGCGCTTCGTAACCGCGTTTTCGCGTTATAGTATTCTCGCGTTATCGCGTTTTCGCGTTTTCAAAATCCCAATTTCGTTTTTGTCAACGAGTCTCTCCTTCCGACGCCAACTAAGTGGGATGTTTCATCGAGTCATTGCTTTGCGACGTACTCGCGCCTTGTGCAACGTGGCACTTGGTGATGCCGGCCGCGCAGAACGTAGGTCCAGTACAAAATGTACATGGGCGCGCGGGTTCGATGCTTCGCGCTCGATCGGCTTAGTGATGAACACGCTCTGCTTCGTCAATTGATTTGGCCCGAATCGGTTAGAACTCGATCGATTGTTCGAAATGGTCGTCAATGGGTCCCTTCTCTTTGCTCGTCTACTCTACAGCCACACGCCAAGCGTGTGTTAACCCTGTCGAGGAGTCGAGTGGATTCCCCTAGGCACGATTTTCGCTCGGTAAAAGGGGTTGCCTCCCCATTTTCTAAATTGCTGAATGTTAGCTTTTAAAAAATGTGGGTATCCTCTTCTTTTACCGTCTATCAGCCTTGTGTACTGCGCTAGTGATATAGCATCCGTGCGGGTCACTTGAAATCGTGCTTAGCGGGTCCAGGTTCGATACGAGATAGGATAATTATGCGCGAAAAAGAGCTGGTGAACTTTATTTTCCTCTATTCCGTCAATCGTTTCGTCTTCTTTCCGGTTCGGGCCTAATCTTTGCTCGTTGTAACGTTGCATTCCCGACCTGTTGGCTCGAATTTGATTCTCGCGAAATGAAATGGGATTTTCGCTCGTACCGAAACCGGGAGTGCCGTACACAGTATATATATATTAAATATATACATCGCGCGACCAAATTTTTAATCCGAATACCGAAGTAGTGCGGGAGTGCCGTTTAGTATCGCGCGTAAAATAACGAAAATAGCGATATAAAAATATCGCTCGTGAGTGCGGGAGTGCCGTTGAAGTATCGCGCGTCAACAACATGAGAGGAGGAGGAGGCCTGGGAGAGGCATCTTGCATCGGCGGAGCAACCTGATGGTGAATATTTATTATTTGTATATCAATTGTTATAAATCGTACGCATAATATTTCGATCTTATTATTTAAATGAATTAAAGAGAAAATTAGAGAGAAAGATTTTTATAAAAGTTATATAAAACTTTTTAGAAAACTTTCTTAAAAACAGTTTTAAAATTTTATAAAAATTTTCCACACGTGTTTATCTCTGCTTATTATTTTACACATCGGATATAAAATTCCGCGCGATAAAAATTTTTTGAAATATTGATTGCGTTTTGTGAGCATTAATATAAATGAATTTTATATTTGTATGTTACAGACAACGTAGCTTCGATAATTACAACTCCGCTGTTGCGCATCAGTGTCGGTGAGTGAGAAAAACTTTTATTTAACTTTAAGGTAACGGATTCGTAGAGATTGTAGATGTAGATTGTAAATTGTAGATTGTAGATTGTAGATTGTAGATTGTAGATTGTAGATTGTGAATTGTAGAGTAAGTCCGTTGCCTTAAAATGGATGAGCTAGGATAGATTAAATTAAATAACTTTTAATAAATTCTTTCGAAATGCTTTGCATCTATTGCGAAAATATATTGAAGTATTAATTTAAAAAAGAGAATCAAGAAAAGAAAATTTTTTTTGTAAAGACTTGACTAGTTTATTAAATCAAGAGCACGCATTAATAATTTTAACAATTCTATCAATTTTTGATACTACTTTATTCTTATAACGCGCACTTATTTTATTCTAATTTCTTATATCATAGCTCATCCATTGTAGAATTTGTTTGTAGATATTGTTTTTAAATTTTACTTTAACTTAAAATAAAGCCAAACGTTTAATTAATTAAATAATTTGTAATATCATAAAAGTTATACACATACATGAATTTTATATTTTATTAGAAAATGTAGTATATAGAAATTTGTAATAGTTTGGCTTTATTTGAGTTAAAATAAAGTTATATTCAAATATTTAAGAAACGATCGTAAAATCGAGCGATCGTTACGATGAGCGTGAAATATTTCGCTCATTTGCCGGTAATTAATCGGCAAAAGAAGGAGTGTTTATCTCCTTTTTCGATCTCTGATTAGAGATCGAGCGAGAAAGTGGCCAGAATCAACGAAAAGTAAGTTCAATTGGCCTGAAGAAAAGCTTTACGTACAATAGTACGTAATGTCGGACATTTATTCACGCGGTTAGGGCATGCGGTTAGAGAATGTAATTAGGGCACGTAATTAAAATATACGTGATTAGAGATAGGCTTTCCTCGAATAATTTCACTTAATCGAGAAATAGGATTGTTAGGGCTATTAGGTGATCATTAGGTTTTTTTCCTTTCAAATTCCTTTTTATTATGTCATGCTATTAGGTCATCATTAGGTATTCCTTTCTATTATGCCATGCTATTAGGTCATCATTAGATTTTTTCCTTTCAATTTTTTTTTCAAAAAGTAGAGGATTGTTAGTGCTATTATGTGATTAATTTAGCTGATTTTATATTATGTATCTTTTAAGGAATCAGGAAATGTAGGCTTAAATAATATTAGGGAAAACAAATTAATAAATATATCAATAATTATATTATTAATATTAAGAATTTTTAAGGGATCAATATTTTTTGAGTGTTTTTTTATAGGTATTTTATTTATATAAGGATGAAAATTAAATTGTTAACACTCAATAATTTGTATAGTAATACGAATTTTTTTGCGAAATTTTATGTACTTATGTAATACGAAATTTATTGTATGTACTTTTATGTAATCGAAATTTTAAATGAAAAATTTAAAATACAAATTTATATATTAAGCTATTTTTTAGTAATATGAATAATAAATTTCGCATATTTATGAATTTATTAGTTATTTTTAAATATAGAAATTGAAAGATTTAAAATAGAATTAAGAATGATATTAAAGATGATATTAAAGAATAGATATTAAAGAATGAATTTATAGGAAAAGATTTATTATTAAAATTTCAAAAAAAATTTTAATTTAAATATTTTAAATAATAACTTTTCGAAAATTTATATATTCATTTATTTATATATTTATGGTTTTAATTTAAATAGTAATTTTTACAAAATTTATATATTTATATAGTTATATATACATTTAAGGTTTTAGTTTAAATTATAATAATTTTTATATAAATTTATATGTTTTTTTTTTTTTTTTTTTTTTTTTTTTTTTTAATAATTTTTATATAAAATTTATATGTTTATTTTCTTATATATAGATGTTTGTGTATTTATGTATTTAAAATTTTAATTTAAATAATAATTTTTATAAAATTTATATATTTATATATATTTTGAAATATATATAATTTCATTAATTTTATTTATATAAATTTATCTAAACAGCCTATATTATTAAAGTTTAATATCGAAGATATTAAGAAAATTATTTTTTTCAGAAATTTGTGAATATATATTGAATGTATATAATATTGAATATAGTGAATATTATGAACATATAATAGGATAGTAGTTTGTTAGGGCTACTCCACTAATGCTCCTTATGCACATGGTTCCGGGGACTTGCGCGTTGAAAGACTAAGGAAAGGCGCGTGGGGTTTTTAGTTGGTAGTCCCTGCCGTTAAAATGGCGGCGGGGAGAGCCCAACACTACCCCGACGGGACCGCTAAATAGGTCCTATTTAGCGGTCCCGCCGGGGTGTGCATAAGGAGCATTTTCCCCACGTAAAAAAAAAAAAAAAAAAAAATTGTTAAATTATGTTGTATTACATTTCAAATTATATTATATTTTAATAATGAATTTCAACAATGAATAACATAATATCCGACATAAACAATACCGTGCTAATGATTTTGTTTTACGGTCTTGTTATGCAAATTTAAATTTATATACTATATTGCAAAATAAATGCTGCAATTGTATATATTATATTATATATAAAATTATATATAATATAACCCTCCCATGGGGTACACCTTGTCGCGGTGGGAGGGCTTAGTACTTGGATGGTGTCTTGAGATTTATCTTAAATTTTTCTATTTATGATAAATCTTAAGGTGCTTGAAAAGGAAGCTAAGTACCCTTTGGCGTCGTCTTCGCTCCGTAAATATTACAATTACACTATATCAATGTTGAAAGCTGATTTCACTTTCCTCATTCCCTACGGATTTGCATTCAAGGTATCAATCAAGGAATTTTTTCACTTTTCACGAAAAAAAATTACATGATCGATCCTGTGATTTTATTATTTTTCAATTATGCGAGGTCGGTAAAAGAAGACCGATCGTCAGATAGGCAACCCGACTTCCCGATCTGTATGTTGGGGAAGCACTCTATATATGCATTATATGTATATTAGTGTCTGTGTTATTTGTGTATGTGTAGAGTGAGGTGAGAGGGAGAGGGAGAGAGAGAGGACCACAAAATTTATTTAAAAAATTAAAATTAAAAATTTATTTATATTTATATACATATGCGTTTTGCTATACAGCACTGATGGCATTTCATGTACATTGGCATTTCGTGTACTACAGGCATTTTTTACATAGCACGGAACAGAATCAGAAATTGTGCACATATATGTTACCCTCTGAGAACTTTCGTGGACTGGTTTTGTAGTTCATGTCCACGTTTTTTAGATTAACAGAGGGCGTAACCCTGTTCATTCTAACCTAACTTAACCTAACACAACCTGTCGCGAAACCCTAACCTATCTGTCACGAAAACACGTGCAGCGTTGGATGCGAAGTGCGTTGTATATATCCTTACATTTTTATAAAACTTCAGAATCAAGATTATCATACTTTTAATTTAGGAAAATAATTATATCAGAAATAATGGATGAAATGTTGAAAGATGCGCGTTTCGCGCACATCGCGAAAGATCCGAAATTTCGACGCATCCCCAAGGCTGAAAGGAAAGTAAAGATTGACCATCGTTTTAAAGACATGTTTAAGGATAAAAAATTCACTGTCAAATATACCATCGATAAGCGTGGTAGACCGATCAATCAGACTACTACTGAAAATCTTAGGAAATATTATGATCTATCTAGTAGCGAAGATGAAGATGCATCTGTGTCATCTACAAGTAAGAAAAATGACAAAAAGGAAGAGATAAAAGAGAATACTATAAAGAAAGCAAAGGATAAGAAGAAGATGGAGAAGAAAGCTAAATCAAGTTTAGTAAAAGATCCCTCAGATGAAGAAAGCAAAGATGATCAGAGCGATGACAATTGTGCCTCAAATAATGGAGACTTGCTTCAGATGGAACCAAAAGAGACATGTTCTGATGATGAATCTAATAATGAATCCTTAGAGAATAACGAGAATGAATCTCTTCAGAAGGGATTTTCCCAATTAGATTTTGATGAAAATGAAAAACAACTGCATACAAGAAGGGAAAATGAAAGTGGCAGACTTTCAAGTGAAATTAAAGAGAGATTGAAAGATCTGAGTGTGAATTATGCCAGAGGTGAAGGTGTCTTGTTGACTGATAGCTCTTCGGAAGAAGAATTATCTGAAGCTAGTGGTAATATTTTATTTTATTGCTTATCCATATATCATATGCTGTACATGTATCATAATTAATTTTTATTTTGTGCTTAATCTATTTTAGATGTCGAAGAAGACATTGAACATAATTGGGGTGAATTAGACAAGGAAGCTGAAACAACAGATGAGATTACACATAGATTAGCTATTTGTAATATGGATTGGGATAGAATACGTGCTGTAGACTTGATGATTTTGTTAAATTCATTCTTACCTAGTGGCGGGCTTATCCACTCAGTTACAGTAATAATAAATTTATAATAATAAAATTGAGTATAAAATAATGATAACAATTATTAATAATATATAAAACAAATATGTATATGTGTGCATTTCTTAAAAATATATTTAAAATAATTTCTTTATAATAATAATAATAGAATTAAAAATTACATATTTTATATATTACATATTTTACATATTTTATATATATATATATATATATATATATATATATATACATATTTTATCAATTTTATAAATATGCTTTATAATTTATAATTTATTAAATTTTAGATTTATCCATCAGAATTTGGTCAGGAGCGAATGAAGGAGGAAGAGATCAGTGGCCCAACAGAATTAAAAAACAAAGATAATATTAATACTGAAGATGAAATTGATGATGATGTATAAAATAAGAACTTTTTTAAATATTCACTACAATTAGATAATGTAGTTTTTTCATTAATTATGATTTCTCCTTAGAATGAGGAAGGTTCAACATATCATATGGAAAAGCTGAGACAGTATCAATTGAATCGGTTGAAATACTATTATGCTGTTGCTGAGTTTGATTCTACTGAGACGGCAAATAAAGTATACATAGAATGCGACGGGATCGAATATGAATCGACTGCTACTAGATTAGATCTCAGATTTATACCAAATGATATGACATTTGATCAGGTATCTATGAAAATCAAAATATGCAAAATGTATTATACAAATTAATCTTAAAAAGTTAAGAAATATATAATTTTCAAATATGGAATCTTTGTTAAAGGAACCTAAAGAGACGTGTACCGAGATACCAGAACCTGCAAAATATGAACCAAGACAATTTACAACAACTGCCTTACAACAAGTTAAAGTTCAATTAACATGGGATGAAACAAATTTAGATAGGCAAGAATTTACTCAAAAGCTGAATTCTGGAAAATTGCAGAATATCGATGAAAATTATCTACAGACATATTTGGCGAGTGGTAGTGAAGATGAATCAGGTATGTGAGATCACTATATCATTATTTTATTTATTTAATCCATATATTTAATGTTTTTATATTTTGCAGAGGAAAAGGAAGATACAACTGAAAGAAACAATGATAATTTGGAATCAGAAGTGAATGATGATCCAATTGGAAAATATAAATCTTTACTAAAATCTATTGAAGGAGAAGAAGAGGCAAAGAAGAACAAAGATGTCGAATTGGAATTTACATGGGGTTTAGACGCCAAAGAAAAAGCTGAGAAATTGGTCAAGGAGAGAATGAAAAATAAAGAAGAACTCACACCTTTCGAGCAGTATCTGGAGAAACGCAAAGCGAAAAAGAAAGCTAAGAGAGAAGAAAAGAAGCTTAAAGAAGAAAGTCAGAAAAGCGATTCAGAAAACTCTTTGCCACCTGATGTAGATCTGAATGATAAGTATTTTGCAGAAGAATTTAAAAACAAGAAATCATCCCATAGGAAAGAAAGAAAAGATAAAAAAGCTAGTGATATAGATTCGTCGAATGAGCAGGAAGAAAATCAACGTAGAGCCGAATTAGAATTACTTCTGATGGATCAAGATGATGGCAAGAAACACTTCAATATGAAGCAGATTGAGGAAAATGCTACCATGTCGAAATCCAAACGAAAACGTCTCAGCAAAAAGAACATGCAAGAGGAAATAAAAGATGATGATTTTGAAATTGATGTCAAAGATCCGAGATTCACCGCTTTATACACATCACATCATTTTAATATCGATCCCGCAGATCCACATTATAGGAAGACAAAGGGTACAGAAGCTCTAGTTAGTGAAAAGTTAAAGAGGAGAGCTGATAATGAACTGCATACAGAAGATGTAAGTAAGAAATATTTTCATTAGCAATTTATACATTATACATATATATAAATTGTTTCAAATCTTTCAGACTCAACAGTTTAAGAAGCCAAAAACAAACGAAAAATTATCGACGGAATTACAAGCGCTAGTTAAATCCGTTAAGAAAAAAACGCAAAATATCTCACAACCAATAAAAGGATAATTCAATCATCACACATTCTCATTATATGAATTATTATAAATAAGTATCACAAAAATAAAGTGTATATATAAGTGTATATATAAGAAATAATGTTCTTATATTTCATAATTTGTGTTGTATGAGTTTTAAACATATTTTAAATTTGCAACACAATAATGTTTAATGTAAGTTGAAATGTAAATAAACGAGATTACAAATTGATGAATAATTACATTAATATAAATTAATAGAATAATTGCATTATTATATATTAATTACAAAATTAAAAAGGATTATATATACAAAAATTGATATAATAAAGTTATATAGTAGCAGCTAAAAGAGATGTTTCTAGAAAATATGTCACAAAAATATACTTTATAAATAAAATGTTTTTTTTCTGTATGTGAAGAAACTTAATTATAAGACGTAATTAATTATAGTTTAAAAAATTTATTAAGTATTGCAATGATATTTTATTTTTTTGTATATTCAGACAAATTCATTTTGACGAATAATTCGTTAAATGAATCCTAATACATATAAAACAAAAGATGATTGGCTATCGTTTCTTGTCGCAGTGACATGTGTACCGGCCATTAATCGTTAGGGAATTTCATCACCGTCGAGTTTCTCAGCGTCAATTGGCGTCAATATTTAGTGAACGTTTTACGAGATATTTGGCAAAATATATTTTCAAAACCGTAAAGAGGGTGTGTGTATATACACTTGTATCGATCTCGTCTGGCTGAAAGTTAAGCAGTGGACGAGACGACACAATACTCTTTTCTCGAGTTATGTTACCTTTGTAAGTCATCGAGATCGTGATTCGCGAACAGGCTAAGAGAAATATTGGTTATGTTCGTGCAATTCGGGTGAAAACAAATAAATGAACGATGTAGCGGTAAGTAAAGCAAGCTCAATCACCGTCGATGATATAGCAAACTTGACGCACGATACACTTGCAGTGACCCGAGATACCCTCGATCGGGGCAGGAAGGGAGCTTGTTTGTGCATGACCAAATAGAGAGAAAAAAGTTGGCATAAATGTATAACAGCAGTGGCAGGTGTAACAACGTCCTCTGCACGGAACGTCAAAACAATGTCCGAGGGTTCTAAGATGGGCCTATTCGGCTCCAAGGACAGGAATCAGGAACAGAGAGAGAAATCTTCCAAGGACAACTCCCCGACTGGCTATACACCCTATGGCATTGACAGCGATACTGAGACATATGATACCGAGGCTCTGAGCATTATGGACATCAACGACATCATCGGCGTGCAATCTGGTGATCAGACTGTTGGCGATTCGACTTTGGAAAGCGAAATTGCCGCGCTTTCGCAAATTATCACGGAATCGAAGATGGAATCGACCTCGCAGTTGGATCCAAAGTTAGAAACACAACAGGATGCAGTCAAGGATACGTCGAGTTCTAATAGTGTTCATGCCACAAACATTGATAATATAGATATTTCTAACGCCGACGAGTCCAATATTATGTCGGGCAAATGTGCAACTAATGAAATCTGTGAGATGCAAAATGTAACGCTTGATCATACCCATAAAGATATATGTGAGAAATTTTCGTCGATTACTGCAGAAAAGAGTGTTTCAGAAAATACAGAAATAGATCCTGTAATTACATGTGATAAAACTTCCGACGTAAATATCAAAGAGGTAACTGGTGATACATCTGTAGTTTGTGGATCAGAATTGTCTTCCAATGATACATCATGCATTGAAATTAATTCATCGACTGTTATATTAGATGATACTTTACAGGATACTGTTCAGAATAAACAAGTAGATGCTGCTTCTCCCAAGGATGAAAAGGATATTGTTGAAAAAACAAAAGATCAATTATTTGATGAAACAAATGAAAGTCAAAAGACATTGACAAATACAAAGTCTGTGGTAACAGTTGGTGGCATTAGTAAAAGTTTGCAATTGATAGGAGAAGCATATAATTCTGAGGACTCAGAAGAAACAGATGTAAATGATGGTGACTTTTTGAAAGAGACTCCATCACTTTCACAAGAAACTTTATTGCTTGGTGTTTCTACAATACAAGAGAAGGAAGTAATTGAAGAAAATCCTGAAATTAATATGTCAGAACAAAATGCTGAAAAATCTCCACAGTTAAACGATAATGCAAGTATAACTATTTCAGAAGAATCAAAAGTAGAAGTTGTTATTGATAATAGAACAGAAAGTCCAAATATAAGCATTGAAAAGTATGAACATTCTAGTCAAAGTGAATTGTTGCAACAGATTCTGGAAGTGCAAGAGAATGTAGATGATTCTGAATTATATAAAACAACAGAATTTAACAGTGAGAGCTCAAGTAGCATGCATAAACAAAATGAAAATAAGACAGAAATAGATAAAACAAATACAACAGAAGGAATATCATTAGAATATCAATCTTCCAACAAAACTTCTCAAAAAACTATAGATACATTTGAAAATACTTCCAGTACATCGTTAATGGAAAAAGTAAATATAGATGAATGTCAAGAAGTAAAAAATATTGATTCAGAATTAAATATATCAGTACTTATTCCTGAAGTAGAAAAGCAAGACAGTTCGATGATTTCTAATGAAAAAGAATTAGATACAAAAGAAATTAATGATAATTGTTCTCTTATTGATGATAATGATGTGAAGGATGATATAAAAGATGTACCTAAAGATAAGGATACTCTTGTAGAATCTGCAAGTGAAATTCAGGATTCTGTAATAACTGAAGTGTCCGATAAGAAATTAAGTATAACAGAAATAATAAGTAGAAGTGATGACTCCCGGGAAGAAAATCCCATCATTGAAAGTTGTCAGTCAACACAGGAAATCATTTCAATAACGAATAAAATTAATGATGAATCTCAAGAAGCAGCTGTTACAAAAATAGATCTTACATCAACTGCTACAACTTCTGATAATCAAGATAATATGGACTTGGCCAATGCAGAAGGAATATCTGTATCAAATGATAAAAATACATTTCAAACTGCTTCAAGCATGATTGAGAATAATGAAGATTTAGTTTTAAATGAAAATACATCATTAAGTCAGCCATATGTTGAAAAAAAAGATGGAATGATTAATGAACAATCTTTAAGTAGCAATTTGCTAGATGATAAAAACTCAGATTTATGCTCCACAAATTTAGTAACACAGAGTGATACAAATTCAACTAATAATAATAATTCTGTAGAAACCATCCACACAGAAGAGGATCTCCTTGCATCTGAATCATTAATTTCAGTCAAACATGATGAATCTATTGAACAGCTTCCATCTATATTAGAAATACCTAAAGTCAATGATATTAATGATACTGTGTCTAATAAACTTGAAGATTTATCTACTTCAATATTGCATGAAGATTCAAGTAACATAATTGAAAGTATAAACGAGCCATTACATGAAACTAAAAAAATAGAGGATATGGAGATGAAAATATCGGAAATAGTATCTATGGACAAGAATCAAAGTGAAATGCCAGAAACTGAATCACAACAAATATGTGATCAATCCGAGTCATTAGATGAAAAAAGTGATGCAAATAACTCTACTACACAAATAGAAGGTAAATTAATTTTTGAAAATTTTACATCCTCTAATATATTTGAATACAATATAAACTCACCATTAACTGATAATTTGTTTGTTTCAGAAGATGATATAACAAGTTCTTTGTGTGATACAATTACAGAAAGGAAGGAAGATAAAATCGAAGAAAATGTTGCTATTGAAGTATCGAACAAGAAGGAGATTAGAGAAAACGAAACTTTTGTGCCAAATTTAAAGGAAAAAGATGTTATAGAAAAAAGTACTAAGGCTGAAACTCATGAAATGAACTTAGTTCTAGAATCTGATATTTCCAAAACTGATTCTAAATCTGATACTCAAATAGCAAATCCAAAGGATGCTAATTTACAAGCCAATGAAGAAATAAAATCGTGCGACGAAAATATAAAAAAACCTATAAAGGAATCAAAAGAATTAATCGATGCTAATGTAACATCTATAATGGAAGAAAAAATTGTGGAACCAATTGAGAAATCTATTAATGCCAATGATGTACAATCAAACATTATTAATATCATCAACATGTCTTTAATACAAGAAAATTCGAATGAAGGAACGAATACGGAAAATCTAACAGAAAAACTATCTCAGGATTCAGAAAGCGTGGATGCTCCAACTATACAAACTGCAAATAATTTAGAAGGACTTTTGAATTTGAATCTTATATCGGATAATGAAAATTCTACATTAAAGGATATACAAACCGAAGACAAAACTTTAGAAGAGACGTTAAATAAAGATGTCGATATGGAACTCCTATTCGATCGAACAAATGAAAGTGAAACAAGCATGACGGAAAATTCAGATAATATAACAAACGTGATTACTGATTGTTTGACGAATAGAGATAGTGAAACAAGTGAGATTGATATCAATGCAGCAATTAACGACAAAACTATCGAAAACGAAGATATTTCATTAAAAACGAACAAAGATGTAAATACGGAACCAGCGAATGAAATTATAAACGAAGAAAAAGTAAAGGAACCTCTTGAAGCGGATAGTAGTTTGCCACAGAACGATTTAGATATAGATTTTGAGGATAACCGATTAGAATCAATGGAAGATTTGGAGGAAAATGATACCAAACTGGAATTGCCACAGGATATTTTATTAGAGAGCGTGATGCCAAGAGAGGATCTTTCCCGAAATGTCGACACGCCGATTGTCATCGAGAATTCGCAATCAAGTTCAGAGATATCCGAATTAGAGTCTGCGGTGAAGTTCTTACAAGAGTCCGAGGAGCAAACGATAGATTCGCCGTTGGTGCTCTCGCCAAAAATGATGGAAAGCGTCGTGGAGGACATAACGAAACAGGCTAATGCGGAGCTTTATGTATCTGATGAAATTGACAATTACGCGAACGCCGAATCCGAATTAGCGAATCTGCGAAATGTCACTGCTGCGGATTCCATCTCCATCTCCGAAGCCGAGATAATATCGGAAGCTGCAAAGCTGGAGAACGAGCGGAAATTCGCGACACAAGCACGAAACATTCCCAATGTAGAAGAAAAAAGCGCTGAGAAGATAAATGAAGAGATTAAACCGAATGAAGAAAAGAATACGGAAAAGAACACGTGTTTAAAGACTTTGTCTGAGAATGTTCCTCCCGCGCAAACGGATATTTCTCTGAATGTACAAGTAGAGGAATCAATGCACGAGGAAAAGAGCACTATATCTGACATTAGGTCATTGTCGAGCGAAGGCATTTTGAAGACTTGCGAGATGCTCCCGAGAGTGTCGATATTAGAGGAGCGATTGAAGGAACCGCCGAAGATTGAAATACCTGTTCCGGAATCAGCTAAAGTATTAGACTCTTCCATCAGCCCGAACGATAGTCTTCTTATACCGAAGGATGCGAGAGCTATCGCTTATTCGAGGATGTTGGAATCACCGAAATCGATCGACAAGACAGAGTTAAAGGGCATCGATACACCGCGCAAGGACTTGCAGGAAAAGCACTCAGATCCTGAGAATGTTGGCTCGCCGAGGATAATCTTAAAGATTGCCAAATCCGCGATCGCGGACTGCAGCGAACCCCGATCGCCGAAAAGCCCAAAGATCCGATCGGCCACGAATTCGCCGAATCCGGAGGACAGTCCAGGTCAGAAGTTAGGAAAGATCAAATTGAAATTGTCGAAGGGAGGCCATCCCTCTATAATATCCAACGAGAATGTGGAGGAGATCAATCAGTGGCATACTACCGAAAACGCGCCATCGTTATCTCCTCTCGGCATGAAAATCAAACTATCCAAGTCTGGTGACGCCTCCATCGTCGGTTCGGAGAAATACGATCATTCGGACGAGACAAAGTACAAAATTGAGGAGCCGAAGAGAACGGATTCGCCCATCGGTATGAAAATAAAGTTATCCAAATCTGGAGACGCCTCGATTATTTCCGATTCCAACAGACAACAGGATTGCACCAAGGAAAATCTTATAAAGCACAAGGAGAAATTAGAGATACCGCAGGGAAGCCCGAAGAGAACAGAATCGCCGATAGGGATGAAAATCAAACTCTCCAAGAGCGGTGATGCATCTATCATTCAAACCGACAGGCAAGAATCTTCGGAGGAGGTGCACAGAGAAGTCATGCCGAAGCGAACCGATTCTCCAATTGGTATGAAAATTAAACTATCGAAAACTGGTGATGCTTCCATCGTATCTTCGGATGCCTGCGAAGATGCAAAGGATTCATCCGGGAAGGCGAAAGAGAAGCAGGATAATTCAGAACTGCCAAAGAGAACTGATTCTCCAATCGGAATGAAGATAAAGTTAAGCAAATGTAAAGGCGGCGCATCTATTATTTCTGTAGATAACACTGAAGATGTAAAAGATAAATTGGAAGTACCCGAACCACCTAAGCGCACAGAATCGCCGCTCGGTATGAAGATAAAATTATCCAAAACCGGAGACGCATCTATTATACACTCTGAAGTTACAGACGACGTTAAAGAAACGAGACAGAAAGAAAAATCTGAAGTGGCGCAAGATACGACAAAGACACCGGAGTCCTTTGGGTTTAAGCTCAAGAAGACAGGTGAGATAATATCATCGACCATAACCGAAGAACAAGACATACCTCGAAGTTCCGAATCATTTACAGGTGTCATCCCGAAGATTAAAGTATCCAAATCTGCAGATGCGTTGCCCGATAAAACGGAGTCAACGGAAGATTCACCGTCACAGGAGAGGGATCAGCAAACGGAAGTGCCTAAGAGAACGGAATCTCCCCTCGGTATGAAGATTAAATTGTCGAAGAGCGGCGATGCTTCTATCGTACAGAGCGAAACCACCGCTGAAGATCATCAAAATAAGACTACTCCTCGTGTGACCGATACGGAATATTCCAAAGGCGGTGACACGTCCCTCGGGATGAAGATCAAGCTGTTCAAGACAGGTGATGCTTCCGTAGTGGAAGCAACGCCTTCAGGTTCCTCAGAGAAAAAGGACAAGCAACAGAGACGCAGAGAAGCTGCCGATTCGCCGCTGGAGATAAAGATCAAATTGTCAAAGACAGGTCATCCCACTATCGTAGCCTGCGACAATCACGGCGAATCTTCCGTGCATAAAAGCAAGGATCCTCAAGCAGCTTTGGATCCAGCAGCGGTGAATTTTCCTCATAGGTACATGGAACACGCTACAGCGCACAAAGAATCCGCGTTGAAGATTCTCAAGACTGGTCATCCTCCGTCGATTTTACAGGGTGGTCGAGCTGAGCTGACGATCGAACCGGTGCAGTTGCAAAGCAGAAAACAATCAACGGAGAATATTCAGCAGCAAGTCGAGATATCGCCCAAGCGTAAGGATATAACGATCTCTCCGGTCGAGAGCAAAAAATCTAAATTAGAGGCGCAACTCTCGCAGATCCTGCCGGAGGTCACCATCCAACCGGTAATGTGTCGGGATCAAAAGCAGCAACAACAACAACAACTGTTGTTTGATCCGAAATCGAGTTTAATCAGTCGACAACAGATGAACGTTATTAACCAGGAGATTAGTATCACGCAAGTGCGGCCAACAACGAAGACGGATAACGGATCAAGCGTAAATGACAAGCTCAAGGATCTTCTGTGCAAAAATACTACCAATTCGCCAAGCGGTTCGTCCGATTGCGAGATCATCGAGCATCGCCCGGAGTTGATAATCGTCAACGAGAATTCCAATTCTAGTCAAGACGTCGTCATCATAGAGGAGGTGACACCTAGTAGAACAGCCGATATCAAGGTACCGAAAAAGAGAGGCAGGCCACGAAGAAACCCGATAGCAGCTCAACAGCAACCTGTTCAATCATCCGCGCAAATGTTGATATCCAGGGACCCCTTGTCCTTGGAAGCAAGCGAGATGCAACAAGCTCCTCCACAGCCATTTGAACACAGGGAAAACGAACGGCCTAAAAGAACCTGCAGAAATCAAAAAAGTTACGCTCCGCCCAAGAGAGGCAGAGGACGAGGTTTGTTTCTCTCATTAATATTTCATGATATATACAGAATGTAGATAAATTATATACATTCGTTTCATTTTTTGTAGGAATATATAGTTTTTAAGTTCTATATAATATTAAACGTATTGTACATAAAATAACTGTGACTTCGATAGAGTTGTCAACATATTATTATATTTGATTCAAATTTAGTTTTAGTCAATGGATTTTGCAGTAACTTGTTAAAATGACATAATTTCTTTATTAAATTTTATTAATCGAGCAAACATCAACTTGGTTTCTTAAATACATTTTTGTTTATATTGCAAGAAAAATCAGCGATAAAATTTTCTATTAATTTAACCTTCATCTTTTTTAAAGATATTCTCTGAAAAAATTTTTAAAAATAAAAAGTATTTACAATAATTTTCATTTGTGCTCATCGCCATAATCCTCTTATAGATATTTTAATAATTTTAACAAAGAGAATGCTAAAATATATTTTTCTTTATTCTAGGTCGCGGTAAACGGAAACTAGATAACGTAGAACCCCAAGTTGGAAAGAAGTCTCGTATAGATCAAGATTTGTCTGCTATAGAAGCATCGACGATGGCTGTCATTACCATTGATGAAACACCACCGGTACAGCAAGATTCTCTTCGAAAATCATCAGAATTATACAAGGCACTAAAACAACCGCCTATGGATTGTAAGAGTTCCGCGAGTAAAGAAAAACTCGCGTTGACGAGTCGCAAAGAAACGGGAAAAAGGGACTCGACCTTTAAAGCCTCGGAACCCAAGATACAAAAGCCTCGGAACTCGAGATACGTTGCGGTACAATTGGATTCTGAAAAATTAACGTTCGTTGAAGAAGATCTGGCGAGAGCGTCCACGAGTCAAACGTCCACCGTTGGATCATTGACTTCGAAAGCTGGCGAACAGCACGAGAGAGCAGTCTTAGAGATCGTTTCTGAGAAGACGCAGAAGACGGCGATGAAACAGTACGCCGAGAATAAAAGTGCAGGTAAGGCGTCGGACGGGTCATCGAGAGCGTCTGAGATTAAGGAGATACCTGTACCTCCTCCCGGACACTCAAACTGGCTGACGCCGACGTCGAAGAAGCAAGCGGACTCGATGGCCATCAGAGGCGAAACAGTCTCGACGGTACAGGTGATAGACGAGGAGACAAGAATGAGCGCCGAATCCGGTTCGAGGTCTCAAACACCTGCTAGAAACATATCAGCACCGGGTATGTATTTGCATTAATGAATTTTAATTAATAAATTATTACATAACAATGACAACAATATGACATTTCCATTGTTATATCTGTCATTAATCATTTGGCAACTTAACGATAGCACAGATATCGCTCGTTGCTTCAAATACGTAGTGGTTGCTATCATATAACAAACGTGTTTTAATATTTTTTAATATATTTTATTATTATATTAATATCAAATTTATTGATAATATTTTATCGATGGAATTATATGTGTGTGTGTTGTTTTTGTTATTTGATTTATTATTATTATTATTATTGAAATTATTGTTAGTTTTTACATTTAAAATTTTGAAATTTAGAAATAATTCTTGAATTTTTCTTTAATTTATCTAATTGTAAATACTGTGCATTAGTATATAATTATTAAATATATCACTATATTTTCACCAGATTTATTGATAAAAAAATACACAATATGTTGTATATATTAACATATGATATATATAATTTTTTTATTACATATGAATATGTAGAAAAATGTTTTTAATTTTTGAACACATACACAGCTCAGTTGGTTGAATTGAATATATTGGTACACATCCAATTTCAAGCTAGCTAAAAATAGATCTTTTCTTGTGGCATAAGATGTCCCTCAAGTAAACTAAATAGATTATAATAATGTATTCAACTGCGAGACAATATACATCATTTTGCTTATTTGCAATATGTGTTGCAATTATGTTGTGCTTAGCTGCACTAAAAGCTTTCATATTAATTCGTATATCATCTATATAAGTATATATTATTTTCATATATTTGTATACATTTGTGGTGAAAAAAAGTATGTGCATATATACACAAATATGTGTCAATATAATATAGATGTCATGTTTGAAATTGTGTTGCAAGGAATTTAATTTTTTATATTTACAAGTTCATTGAAAGAGTATGTATTATATATAATATATATTATAAAATTATATATGAGAAAGATATAACAATTTGATTAACTTATTAATAGTAACATATATATAGTAATGTATAAATCTTTTGTTTCCATCGATTTTATATCAATAAATTTGATATTAGAGAAAATATAAACAGATTTAAAATTGTTAAATGATGATAATGTATTGGTTATGTTTTCCTATGTTGAAGTTAATTTTTCGAAATCAATGTTGCAGCTTCAGAGACAATAATAAATGAAGAATCGCAAGGTAGTGTCCTGAGTACTGCTACAACAGAATCAGAAAAAGTCAAAGTAAAGAATCGAAGGATGGAGATTAATTTTGATCCTGATGAAGGACCCTTTACTGTTGATAAAATAGCAGAATATGAATGGCCATTGGATCGAAAGGGTGAAACTTTTATGATACAAGAACAGATATCACAATATCTTGGTGTAAAATCTTTTAAGCGTAAATATCCTGATCTCAAACGCAGAGTAGTTGATATGGAAGAGAGAAATTATTTGAGAGAGAATGGATTAGTGAGTGAAGCAATGTGTGATATGGGTAAGTCTTTAAAGACTTTTTGTAGAAGAAAATTTTCCATAGATGAATCTCTCTCTCATCATACACTTACAAATTTATCTTATCATGTAAGAATAATTTGCGGAAATAAAGCTGTTTATTACCCAAAAGATTTGTGATAAAGTCACTCACATGCGCTAATTTGAATGAATTGCTATGAGATTTCTTTATTTTGATGTAACAGAAATGATTTATATTTTTCAAAAAAATAAAAAATAATAACAAATTTAAAAACCTTAAACAGATTAGAAAATGTGAGTTGTGCTTTTATACTTTTCCGTTTTATTTTATTACATTATTCTGACTTTATATATTTCTTTTGTTATCCACAGGATTAACTGCAGTGTGTAGTTCAGAAGTATTGGACGTAATGTGTAGTGATTTTCCTGATCAATATGAAGAGTATCGCAAGCATATGCGTGAGAAACAAGTCAAGGAGCATTCCAAGAAGCAAAAGGAATTAACGGCTGCGACGAATGCGGAAAAAAATAGGATAGATCTTGCGGAAATGGCGGTACAATCAGCGTTTGCGTGGAATAGTAACTTAAATAAAGCTCGCAAAGAAAATCGCAAATGTTGCTTAGATCTGCAGACTTTCACGATTCATGTTCCGAAGAAACAACAGAAAATCGATTCGGAACATAAGGTCGGTCATTACCCTGTCGCGCTCATACCAGGACAGTATACCGATTATTATCGGGAATATACGCCGGCAGAATTGAGATATTATCCGCTAAACACGGTCTTGTATGGACCTACGCGGCCCAATGAACGTAAATGCGACAGCCAATCGGAAGGTTCTCAGAGTGATAGCGATAGCGAATCGTCTTCCGATGACTCAAGGTTAATAGTTTATTTTTAAAAATTTTAAATTTAAAATCAATCTCATAAAATAATTCCTATTTAAAATGTAAAAATTTGCGTATTTCTTTTTTGATCGATTTAGAATTCATTTTAATTTTATAATAATTTTATAATTTTATAATAGTTTTATAATACCTTATTTTACTCCTTTATATAGAGCATTCTGATACTTATAATAATATTATAAATAATTGCAAAAATATAATGGTGATATTTTTTTTAACACAGTTCATCCTCCAGCGAGGGCACACAAGATACAGAAGAATCTCAATCGACCATGGATGATGTGGATATGGAAATCTCGAACTCAAAGGACGACGTAAAATTGAAATGCAAGATGTGTTTAAAAGTCCTAAATAAGCATAACAAGAATGAAATATTAATCCAATGCGGTACTTGCAACGGAAATGGTAAAAATTACGAGTTTGCGAATTCATTTTAACAAAGACAGAGACAACAGAACTTTCCACAGAACTAATCAAGGCTATTATCGTTTTCAGTTCATCCATCTTGTATAGATTTAACATTAGATATGGTTCCACACATTCAGTCGTACGCATGGCAATGTACCGATTGTAAAACGTGTGCCCAGTGTCACGATCCTGCGGACGAAGATAAAATGCTCTTCTGTGATATGTGCGATCGTGGGTGAGTTGCTTATAATTTACAAACTTATAATTCAAAAGCTTATAATTTATATTTCAGAAAATTTGGTTTAATACTTCAATGTTGCCTATTTTATTTAAAGAGAATAAAAGGAAAATATGTAAAAGAGAAAAAAAGAATAAATTATAATTTCTTAGTTAATTATTTGTGATGTATAAACTTGCGAAATTATCAATTGGATATAATTTAATGCCATATGTTTAGGTACCACATATACTGCGTCGGCTTACGACGAGTACCACAGGGAAGATGGCATTGTCAGGAGTGCGCCGTCTGCGCAAACTGTGGCTCTAGGGAAGCCGGTGGTGCTAATTCGGATAGAAATAGCGTCGCGCAATGGCAGCACGAGTACAAGAAAGGCGAAAAAAATACTCGAGTATACGTTTCAACGCTCTGTGTACCATGTTCGAAGTAAGTATAGTCCACGACGCGCGATATTGATTCTTTTAAACTGCTGGGCTTCAGTTGCTTGATTTCCATAGCTCATACCATAACACTTTCAACATTTTCTCGTTTCGTTATATGATACTTAATAATAGATGCAAACAGGGAGAAATATCTTAAAAATCTTTTTTTTAATTTGCTGGACATTTTTTTGCTATATTTAAAGTTTTAATACCGAATATCTTGAAATAAATAAGTACGTCTTTTTTCCTTTCTTAAATTCAGATTCTATTAAAGTAAAATGAGGTAAAGTTAAATTAAAAAACAGAAAACATAATTCGTGTTAGTTAAAAAATATAGTTTTGTCATTTATTCGCGTCCTTGAACTATAATTTGTCGAAAGAAATTTATCTTTTAATTGTTGAAAAAAGATTTTTGTCTAGCATTGAATTGAACGAGCATTAATACGAGTGCATTATTACATGAGATACTTTTAATTCCCGTTCTTCCTTCCTGTATACCAGCGCGAGCACCGCTATAATACATAATATACCCTTACCTGAATTCACTAACCACATGATCTTTATGCGATAACAAGGCTGTGGCGAAAGGGTCGCTATTGCCCGCACTGCAGTCGCTGTCATACCGCCCAAAGGCTCGACCTGGAAGCGAATCTAGTGCATTGCAGCGCATGTGACAAATATCTGCACTTAGGTATTGACACCATGTTTCATATGATTCTGTTACCATTAACATTTTGAGCACCATATATATATGCACATACATCACATACAGCATGTTTGAATGATATAATTTCCAATAATTTTACACAGTAAACATCGTTATAACTTTGATCAATGAGATTTATCATTGTAGAAATCAAGCATATGGATTCGTATATTTTTTTATAATTATAGATACTATATTTAATTATAAAAACAATGTATTGTTGCCCCACAGAAATTTTATTTTTATTATGTCTAATATATCTCTAATATATCTCTAAATATATCCGGTATAACTTAAGAATTTAATTTAAACTCTCATTGGTGCTCAAAATGTCAAGTTCATTGCATGTTGTGATATAGGAGCATTTGAGCATTTGCACGCGCCATCAGTTTTGTTTGACTATCACTATTTTAAGAGCCGTATTTAAATTATTTGCTATTTATAATACATATATACATAATACATATATACATTTGCATTTCTATTTCTTATTACCTCTGTGCCAAACAGAGGAGGATCACAAATTGCAGAGGATACTATAGTGCAGAGATGTTTGAGTGAATGATGTTTGGTCCAATGTGTATTTTCTCTATCTCTGCTTATTTATGATCAAGTACAATAATTAGTATTATTTCATTTATTGCATACTTTTTCTATAGATTGTAAAATAAGAAATAAATCTTGAAAGAAAGAAGGAAAAATCGATGAAAATAAATTAAATTAAACATCTCTGCTCTTGTACAATTCCTGTCGGAGCTCAATATTGTGCATCATATAAGAAAGATGTATACATAATATGCATATCTTTTTCAGAATGCGTGGAGACCAAGGGAGTAGTGGTTGACAAAAAAAGTTATCTGTGTGATTTTTGTACACCATCGACCCGTCAACAAGTGACAAAGCCTTTGGTGTCAAAGATGCTTAAAACATGAACACAATTATTCCCCCGAATAAAAAAAACCATTGCTGTATAGTATTGATGCAGTATGTATTATATTAAAGTAGCTAATTTTTTTATTGAATGTACGTTTACGAACGACGAGTATGCGCAAAATTTTTCTCGAGTATTTCATAACAAGAGGATCACATGTACATAATCGCGGAATGAGTTTAACTTGTGATGTTGAATTTTTGCTACGTGTATATTTAGTGCGGGATAAACGGTGAATTGTTCGAAAAGACTGAATGTTTAGTTTCGATTGTTTTATCAGAATTAACAAGGTATAAATATACAGTGTTTATGAGAAATCGTACACTTCCTCAAAAATCTGATAGTTTTTTAATTTGAAATTTTTGTAAACTTGATATTGGGTTTCTTTTTCTAATTATCTATCTATTGCACTTGTATATTAAAATTTTGTGAAATACAAACTTATTTAACACGTGTATAACTTAATGTATATAATATATATTATATATACATAATTATATATATATATATATATATATATATATATAGTATTATATATAATATATATTTTATACACACACACAATTTTACGTTAATTAAACGATTTTGCTACAATTTTTGTGTTTATAATTCAATTGTAATATTAAAAAGACTTACAATGTAACACAAAATATATAATGTTTTATTTTAAATTTCATCGATGCAAAAATTAATATTTTTTCATCTAATTTGCCGATATTTAAATATAATTACTATATAATTATCCAATCTGTACACACATTAGTAGATTGTACTTTTTTTTTTAAATTTTCTTCAAGCAATATCAAGTTTTAGATTGGACAAATGTGCTTAAAATTTTTTTGAAATTATCCAACTTGGATAGATTTTATTCAGGAGAAAAGTAATCACACGTAAATCATTAACAGTACTTTTATAAAGCAGTCTTTTTTTGTCGACCACCATATATATATGTAGAACAGAAGGGAAAAGAATAAAAATGTGGAATTAAAAAGAAAAGATGGCAATTTTCTTAAAAATATATATCATCCTCTTTATTTTTTTCCGACATAATCTTCGGATTAGTATTTTTTTATGAGTTAGATGCGAATAAACATCTTTTCTTCTTTTTTTATGTGCTTTTACATACTTATAACACAGCATCCACATTTTAAACAATGCGCTTTCTTTCTCTCTTCGCTATCCAATGATTTACAATATATTTATATAAGATTGTGTTGATTACTTTGCATTTATGTACACATACAGAATAACGATAGTATAATTGCGACCGTTTAAAAAATGAGCAAGTTGCAAAATATAAACTTTGGCATGTCGTTGCATAAACTTTGTATAATGTCAGAGTAATATGTCTTATTGTTATAGTTTGTATTGTAATCTGTACAAGATACTTCTAAAATAACAGTGACTTACGCGCAAAGAATACAACGTTGTCGTGCAGCATCTTGTAAGTAAATTAATTCTTATAGATCTCGGTTTTTTGTTTCAATCTTTTTTGTCTGTATAAACTGTATAGACACGAGTTTTCACGACGGAAACAATTGATCGACAATACAATTATATAACTATATCGGCAGCATTGTTGAGAGCAGAGAACATCGTCGTAAAAAATGTAATACTCTCCATGTGTGTTCGAGCGTTGCAATCGTATCATATCAAAGATCAATCCATGTAAATATCCTGCATTTTTTTCTCGCGCGCGATACGTTTCCTTATTTATAATGTTTTTGTTCAAAATTTGAGAGTAAACGTCGAGTGCTATTGTAAAAATTGCTGTGCACGATTTAACTTGCTTTACAAAACATCACACACACGTTAATTAACATTCCGCACATGATTACAACATCGTAAAGTATTTTGAGCAAAAAAAAACCAAATATCATAGCGTAACAGCAGTACAAGTCGTACGTATATTACGAGTATTATACCTAACGTGCAATCGCGCTTTTAAAGAGCACTTACGCGCTAAACAAGGACGGGCTCATAGCTCGTGAATTGCACTTGACCCGTCATTGACTAGTAGTATATATATACATATATATATATATATATATATATATATATATATATATACATATATAAAATAATATAGTGTCTGTTCTTTTTAGTTGCACTTTGTTTTAATATTTAAGAAAAAAAATAACCATATTATCGGGATCTGAAGGCAGGGAAAAATTTGCGAGGAAATATGTGAAAGTGTAACTAAAAAAAAACGACATGACTACATCGTCAGTAAATGTCGAGCGAACACTCGTGTCTCTTGCATATGAAACGCAAGAAATATTCAAATACATCCATCATCGATGAAGCAAAGTAGCATCATATAATTTTTTGCGCACGTAGGAAAATTTAATAGTGCTACTTTGGTGGCTATTGTAACCATTTTTCTTCTTCTAAGCCACATTCAATTTATCAGTCATCAAAAAATTGAAGCTTTTAATTGTAAAAAACGCATAAGCAAAAAGACGACTTTAAAAAAGAAAAAAAAATACATTTATAGTTTCGAGCTTGATTTTGTTTACAATAAAATTATAATCGTGCAATTATTCTAAAAGAATGGAAACTTGAAATGCATTTTTTTTATTTTAAAAAAGCTCTTGTGCAACTTTTGTTTTCCAAAAAGGATTTCAATTTTTTATCCTAAAGACGCGCTCCCAATTCTAACAAATAATTGACAATATAAAAACAATATGAATCAATTTGAGTATTTACTCGTGCCTAATACCACATATAGATAACAAAGTACTGAAATTATGTAAGTGGATAGCTGGTATAATAGTGATCACTAAATTTTGCGTAGAAAACTTCGATAGAACATCGTGAAGAAAATTCGGACCCGGAAAGCTGCCGACTTTATAAAATATTCGTAGATTGCATGTCGGATTTGTGCTCTGCGAATCTTTCCTGAGTTTACACAATAGATACTCAAAAGCCTCTGACAATTCATTTGCGTTCAACTCCATAGACGGCAAACTTGCTTCCGTTGTTAAATTACCAGTAGAATTAGATGAACCTGTGTTCACAGAAATTTCAATGTTACAAAAATACTTTTTTTTCACATCAGAAATATTAAATTTACATAGCAATTAAGTTCTAACATTAACTAATATTATGTAAAATATTGTATATGATAAAATTTTTTTTCAAGAATTTTACTATCATTAAAATATTATTAATAATTTACAAAATTTTTTATATATCTACATATAAAATGAAAAAAATATCGTTTTTAGAGACGGAACAGTTTGCCAAAAAAAACTTACCAGTAGACATGTAGCACACAATTGCGGAAACATTATTTTCGTAATTCCACCTACGTCTGATGGCTATCCTAAAATTAGCCACACATTTTCCTGTTTCTTCATCTGCAATAGAACATATATAACAGTCACACAATTATTCTTTTCAAATAAATAAATGAAAAAATATACTTGTTGCAAGTTGAGTAAAAAACGAGTGTAAAGAAAGAGATGGCTTTCTACTCAACACACAACAGTTATATGATTTCTTGTTAAATATTTTACACTCACATTCGAATCGATTATTATCCCTATGAGCCCAAACGCACCATTCAACTTGAGCACCACGTGGTAAATTTGGTACAACAACATAATCTACAATGGCATTTCTTGTCCTCCTTTCCCATTCCTTTCTTGCGTCCGCTATGTAATTAGAATGAGTCAAAAAACAGACACCTTGTACTATGTCTCGAAGCTTAGCATCCATAGCCTTAACGATGCGATCTATGTGTCTTAATGTTAAACGACATTGCCGTTTAATGTTCATATCTAAGAGATTCATATTACCAGGTACTAAAGGTATTTGCCCAGCGACTAAAATAATATCACCCACCTATAAAAAAAAAATTAATCTTTACCTTAATAACAGAAAGATTGCCTCTTAGATGTAAGTATAACAGAAAGATTGAATAATTTGAAAAATTTAATTATTTTTAAAATCAGTTTTCTTTAAAAATATTCAAAAGAAAAATTAATAATTTCTTATACAATTATTATTACTTTTATGTCGTATTAAATTTACTTACACGGGCAGCTTGAGAATAAGGACCAATATTGGCAGGCGCCCAATGACTTATACTTTGAACGTGCATCGTGTGTCGTTTACAGGCCCATTTATCTCCACTATCTTGGTTTTCCTTATATGCTGTCGCATCAAGTGCAACATGTACATTCAAAGGACATTCTACGCATACACGAACCGGCGGACTTTTCTTACCCAACCAAGAAACGTATGCTTCGTTTATAGCCTTATAATTCGACATATCTTTTATGTACAGTGTTACTGCGACGATGTCGGACGTGCGCAGATTTTCGTTTTGAAGCAGAGCTGTAATTAAATATGGAAAAATATTGCATGTAAAAAAAATTTGTCTATGCATCTTTTATTTCGCATTATCAATTAAATTTAGAAATAATTGCTAATATTGAATAATTACTAAGCCAAAAGGTATGTTAAGATCTGAATTTTACTGCTTAATTTCTCCAATGCCTCTTCCACAGCAGGTGTGACATCTGGATGTTTTCCTACAATGCCACCGAACCAAAACCACCCTGTTTGATTTCTATTAACCATTGGTGTGTCTGGATAATCTTCCTCTTCATACAAAATCTCCATTGGACTTGGAGGATGAAATTGACCTGTATGTAGATTTAATATGTATTAAATATATAGATATTTCCATATTCTATTTTTTATATGTACCTGAATTCGATGCTTTCAAACTATTATTTTCACAAGTGTGTTCGTCAGTTTCGTCTTCTGATAAATTACAGCCATCATGTAACTCTGGACCAATGATTTCAGCAATATAATCTTGTGGTGATTTTATCAAAACAGTTTTTAGTCTTTCTGACAGAGTTAATTTCTCCAAGTCTCCATTCTGATAAAATAAATTTTTACCTTGATTTTATCAATGTATCCTATAAATATAGTTGTACATACAAATTTACATGATATTGAAACTTACATCTTTCTCTTGTAAATGGACCTTTGTAAATCTAAGGTATCCTACAGGCGCTATATCATCTCTCGAATTTACAATAGTCTCATATTCATCACTAAGGCATAAGACAAAATGGAATAAAAAAAACTTATTCAGATTATACATACATACAAATGGAAATATATTAACTTACATTACGATACTTTTGGCAAACAAAGGGCAATCTAAAGTGAATGTTTCATATTCTCCTCCTTCTCCACACATATTTACTCCATACTTTTCTTTCTATAAATAAAATTTGTTTGTTATTAAAAAATAATGCAGTTTCTGTTTTGAATAAAAACATTGAAGGAGAAATGTAGATTAACATGAAAATACAATTAACTTGATACGTGACTTACTATTTTAACAAGATGAGGTTGCATTTCGGATATAGATTTGCCCAAATGTTTAGTTTCAAGACCAAGAGCTGCAATTTTGATTAGCACTGCGTTAATAGAACTCTGTATCATTTCATTTAACAACTCCTCCTGGTCCCGCCTCCACAAATATGATAAAGAAATAAGATTTAAACGATTGCATCTGAAATACGAATATTTGAAACAAATTAATATAACAGCAATTATTAATATTAAGAATTTATAAAAATAAATGATAATTACACATTTTCTACACGAATCCGTTGATAATCGCTAAGAATAGCACCACTAGACACAGCTTCTATGTTTTCACGTTCCTGCAAAAAATATATTAATTATAATATCAATTAAATATAAATACACACACACACACATATAATATATACATATATATATTTGATTTACCTTTATTGTGTTCAGGAGTTTAAAAAGATCTTCAACTTCATCACTTTCTGTAGGATAATAATATTTCTCTCGGAAATTGGCCCTACCAAATGTTGGATAACGATATATAGGCAAGCCTATAGCCTGAGCAATGTACTTGATTCCTTGATGTCCTACTGTTTGGAACATAAACGAATCCAGCTCATCTGGAAGCATTGTGTGTTATACCTATGTTATATCTGCATAAATTATAATAATTATATAAATACAAATTATAATTACAGCATATAATTATATAAATTATAACATAATGTTGATATAAAGAGTAATTTCATAATATTATAAATTATATTCAATTCAAAAATGTTCCAGTTACATAATGCAATAGTTTATAGTCAAAATATCAATATCTCGCATAATACAATATATTTTAATACCTTTTTCAACAGGATACAAATTAGCCAGAGCCACAATCTCATGACCAGCTGCTATACATTGCATCATGTTGAAGCAAGAATCTTTGCCACCACTAATTAGTGCAACAACCCTCATTTTTTTTTTGTAGATTGTATTTGGCTGTCCTTTGAAAACAATTATGGTTAAAATTAAAGTTGATCTACTTATCTTGCTTAAATAATCATCTGTAAAAAAAATAAAAAAAAGGATATATTTAAAAGTTTTTATATATTTATATAACATAAATTTAAAAATGTAATACATACACACACAGATACACACACACACACACACACACACATACATATATACTCATGAAATACAGTTTTAGATTTACTAAATGTTTAATCAATTATGATAACGAGTGTTAAATATTTATACATCAACAAATCTACATGTGTTTCAAATTATACATAAAAAATAAATTGTTTAAATAAATAAAGTTAGAAGTAGCTTAGAGTAATCTTAATTTGTGATAAGAATAAAATGGTAAATATGCATCTTATGCTCTCTCACAGTAATTGTACATATTTACAATTTATATAATCACAAAGGACAGAGATATATGACCGAGATTTTATAGCAATAACAACAATAATAATGATAATAATCTTGGCTATCTATACAGTAAACAATACAATATTAATAACACAATTGAGGTACTTAAAAATAAAACTAAAACTATAGAGCATCAATGAAGCATATATGCAAATAGAAAGCCATAAGTAAACAGAGTTTAAAGACACGAGCGTTAAAGAAAAGGAAACAAATTATTTATTGTTACATATAATTAGAGCTGACGAACAAAAATTAGTCGCGAACGAATCCAAATCCCATATCGTAAGGAAAATTAAGGATTCCTCGTGTCTTCGAATGTACCAGCTGTAACTCGTGAAGATAAATCGTAGCGATAAAGCATAGTTTTATCGCAAAACGGAGAAACTTCTCTCTGTGTGTACGTAGCTATTGCCTAAAGGATACATTTTTTGGTTATTACAGAAACGAAAGTGCAAGAAGAGACAAACAACCAAGTGACAATGAGCAGTGGACTGCGCTGTCAAGCGTGAGCACGATAATTATGGCGAGACATACGGTAAAATCAACGTCAAATTCTCGATAAATGTGGTATTTACGTTAAATCGGTGGCAAAAAACCTCTTGCGATACCATCGGCAGCCCATGGGAGATTCGGGGAGACTGTGGGAGACCGATGACCGATGGGACTACGGACGATAGAGGTATGTAACAATCGTGACGGGACTACGACGGTAGCGCCATCAACGAGACGATATTCGATCTGAGAGAGCGTCTGCATAATCGAGGTTATTCGAATATTGAAATTATGCCGATGAAAATCATCGTGATTGCCTCGCTGTTTCTTTAAAAGCGACGAAACGGCTTCGCTTTATCCGTCGAGAGAGTTTTATTTATCCCCGGGACGAAAATATATCGACGAAATCAACCGGAGCATCGAGAAACTCACAGGTGTAAATTCGCGCGACCGTACATCTCGTACAGCTCGTGACATCATCGAAAGAGGCGATGAATACTTCGTTTTGATTGGTCTAGCGAACGTTGCAAAATCGTTTCACGCCAAGTAAAGTGTACTTTCTATGTTTGTTTTCATTTTATGGCTTAATTATATATATCTTTCGAATTTCAATAGGGAAAATTCGCATTTTCGTCATTCGTTGATTTAGTGCACGCAACTGCATTTGAAAATTGGGTAAAAGATTGTCTCTCATAGTTTCGAGCTTTATTATCGATTATATTTTGACATTTACATGTATATTTCGAATATAAGTAAAATAAAAAATATCGCACAGAACGAACAGGAAGGAGAAAAGCAGGAACCATTCTTGGCAATGTCCGTCCTTCAAAGTTGCTTATTATCAAGCACGGTGAGAATTGACCCATTTTTCTCAAACGCCATCCGCTGACCAATGAGGTGGCGTGCGGCGGGCGACCATTTTACTTTCGCTACGGTCGCACGAAGCGCCGCTTTGAGAAACTCTGGCTCGGATTCGAGACCGTCGTGCAGTTTCGAGGCGAACTGGGTACAAGCGAGTTGTGTGCTCCACCGCACGTCCGTCGAAGATTTTCTGTTAAAGCGCATCTCGCATCTCGCTGCAGCGCTAACTCGTACTCGATTCAATTAAACGGGCAGACCATCGGCACGATGGTCCTGGCGGAGAGAAATGCGGAAAATGTACGAAACGGTCGCAGATCCCGAGGCCCCAGCCCCAACGCACAGACGGAATCCTCCAGTGAGGAGGATGGAGGTATCACCTATTTTCACCTTATCGCTATCGATATGCGATGTCCCGATTATCGGCTGCTATAATGTCTATTTCGCGCAGAGATTTGTTTGAGCCTCATCGAATCAGGATAGTTTCATTTTAATAGAGATCTTCAAACTACGCGCTCCACTTTTTTGCCGTTTAAACATCTTTTATAAATGCAGATATTGCTTGGAGAATAGCAAATTGTCTTTTTTTCTTCTTATATGAAAAAAAATCTAAAAAGAAGTTTTTTTTATTATAATATTAATATATAGTCTAAAACTAACAATTTTTCTATATATATTTCTACATATATTATTTTTACATTGTAATTTTTATATACATATGGAGATATTGTTGAAGAAATTAAGTTAGTTAAATGAGATAGATATGAAAATTTATTTATTATATGCAATCTGACAGAAATATTAACCATATAATATTTTATAAGTTCCGGCAGAGAAAATAAGAGTTGGACGAGATTATCAAGTAGTTGTTCCTGAATTTGTTCCTGTTAATGGTATTTAATTTTTATATATGTATAATTTTCAAAAATGTAGAATTAAATAGTACAAAACTTGTATTCAATATGCTATCTTGTATTCTAGAACGTCGATTGGATCAATGTCCTGATAGAGCATTATTAGTTTGGTCACCAACCACAGATATACCAGATCAGAAACGTAAGCTATGAAGACTTAAATATAAATAAATTAATTAGCACAAATAAAAATTCTTGATTAACTAAATATTTTCTATTTTTTTTAGTTGATGAATATATTATATTAGCTAAAGAGAAATATGGTTATAATGGAGAACAGGCATTAGGAATGCTATTTTGGCACAAGCATAATTTAGAACGCGCAGTTCTGGATCTAGCAAATTTTACACCATTTCCTGATGAATGGACAGTTGAAGATAAAGTATTATTTGAGCAAGCGTTCCAATTTCATGGCAAGAGTTTTCATCGCATTCGGCAAATGGTATACATATAACATATATAATTTTATTTATTTATGTCAAAATTATATTCTTTATATTACATCTATATAAAAGCTACTTTCTATTTATTAAATTTTACGAAAAAAACTTTTTATATGAATTTATTTTAATATAAACTATTTAATAATATCACATCAATAATTAAATAATATCTATTTTTTAACTAATTATGTTTTAATTTAAATATAGAATTTATAGTATAATTTAATTTAATAATTTTTTAGAGTATTCTAAGAAAAAGTATGATTTTGAAAATATAATACTTTTTTTAAACATATATATATATATAAATTTACATTTAATTTAGTAAAAATATTTTAATGTGAAGCAAGAAATATTTTTATTGAAGAGATTTCTATGCAGAATAAACTATCTAGTAATGTGAAGCTTACAAACATGATTATAGTTAGGTCGCAATATCTTTTTATTTATAAAATAACATGTAAACATAATTAGAGTCTAAATAAAATCAATAATTTTTTTATACATATTAATAATGATATAATTAAAGATTTTAGGAAACAAACATATGTAACAAGATATATATAATTAAATATATAGATATATAATTAAACTTACAAATGATTTAAAACAACATTTAAATAGTAAAAGGAAGAAAGAGAGAGAAGAATATAAAAGAACATATTCTATGTGATATATTTTAAATATTAAAATTTATATAAACGATTTATAATAATTTTGTAATATTTTATTATACAGTTACCTGACAAATCTATTGCAAGTCTTGTCAAGTATTATTATGGCTGGAAAAAAACACGAAGTAGGACATCGTTGATGGATAGACAAGCACGTAAATTGACGAGCGGCTGCAAGGAAGGCGAGAATGGCAGCGAAAACGGAAGCGAGCTCGGTTCCAACACAGATAGCGAATCTGAAGAAAAAGTAAGAATTTTTTTTAAACTAATTTGAATAATAAAATTTAATGCATGTGTTCTATTGTTTTTGCATAGGGAAATATTCTTTCCTTTTTTTCTTATTTTATAAATATTTTAATACATATATAAAAACCCTATTAATATATATAAATCTTTCAGATACAAAATTTAAAAGACAGAATAATAATCTAACTTAAATGCAATAATTGCAGCAAAAGGAGATTTTCTGTTTTCTCTAATTTTTTATTCAATTAATGCCTCTCTTTTTCTCTCCATTTTGTGATATTTCTTTGTGTATAAAAGCTTACTGTTCTGGTTGTTTCGTGCAATTATATTGCAAATAATTATACATTACTGTTGTGGCACAAATTGGTAACATGGAGATTAACACAATAGTTTTAAAACTTATACTTTAAAAAATGTATCCACACGATAATACATTATGATTAGAATTGAAGTAGGTAAAAGAAGCTATATCATATAACATTAATGGTGGCAAGAAATCATCGTATATAAATATTTTTGTGTGTATGTAGGATATAAAAAATTTTTATGACATATAAATCTGAAAATTGTACAATATTTTTTTACGCGCGTGATATTAAAAAATAGAACGTTTAATCTATTTAAATGTTTTACACACATAAGAGATAAGCAATAGTTTAGTTGGACGGTTACGTCGGTATATGAACGTAAATGTGGAACGTTCCAGAAATGGACGATCCACCGCGGAATACGTCGTGGAAAGAATCAACCTGTGCCAGGAAGCCAAGGCACTGACGCTAAGGCCCCATCCGACTCGGAAAACGCCCCTCAGGTTCAGGTACTCAGCCTAAACCTTACCCACACTCGCATACATAGTATAGTACGCTTCACTACTGTGTTTTGCTACTTTCAATGCATTACGTGGATTATTGCTACACTGGCATAATATATAAATGTTTTCTCTTTAATCAAAATTTTTATTGATATTGAAATTGATAGGCTGAAACCTTACTGAGGAAATATAGTAAAAAAAGTTTCGAAATATATGTATATGGGGAAGGGGGATTTAGCTCAGTTTTAATTAGACTTTAATTTGACTAGTACTGTCATGAATATCTGATAATTATAAAAAATATGAAAATATGCTTATTTGTAGAGAAAATGGGACATAAATTATTTCGATCATTTTCTTCCAATTCACTTTAGTGATTCAAACATGAAATAAATAATAATTAATTACAAAGTATGAATGGGGAAGGGTGGGGGGGATATCAAAATTTTTATCTTAAAAAGGGTGTTATGTGTTGTAGGGCTCGTGTAGCAACTGTGGCGTTGCATGCCATAGTGTTCGTGCGACGCCCAAAGGACACGCGTGTCATAGCTGCTATCTACATTGGAGGTCAGTGAACGCAACGTAAATTAAATTAATTCAATTTAATTAATGCCAATGTTAGCAAGTAAATGAATCTTCTACGCAACTCATTGTCAGTAAGCAGCCAGGAGGATATTCATATGAGAAATAAGTCGGAAAATAGTTGGAACTGACAACTCGTTTTTTTAATTTTAACGTTTTTTTAATTTTTTTTTACAGAGATAAACATGGATATATTTATTGACGTTTAAGCAGACTTATGAATATCCTCGGAAGAATGCTTATCCGGTATAATCGTTTTTATTTGCATCCCCATTAATGGTTTCCAATTGATTTTAGTGACATTGAGATACAATAGATAGCCCATATGCCCATAGTCTTGAAATCATTAGTTTTAAAAACATTTTCTGGTGGTTTAGGCGCACCGGTGTAGCAAGACCGTTAACTTCCATGCCGGGTCGTACGAATAAAAGAAAGCCACCTCGGGGCTTGGTCGTGAATCACGATGATTTGGCGGCTTTGGCTGGTCAACCAAACCAGGCCAACAACAGTTTGCAAGCGATCGACACTGAGATCGTTAGCCTAAAACGTCAAGTATGTTGATAAACATAGAAATAAAAAGTTCTCACAATATACGTCGTGTGGATACATTTCCCTTTTCTTCATATAAATATAATAAATAACGAGAAAGCGATTATACATGAATGTATTTCGCAAACTGTTAACAGATGAGATGTACATATATTAATTGAAATTTTTTTAATACTATTATGAAGTAAGATTTTAAAAAAATTTAAAATTGCGAGTATCAAACATTTTTATCATGTATATTGATGTTCCGATATTATTTCTAATTAAGTTATGATTACATTATATCATTCATATAATTATGCATTGTGTAACTTGTACATAATGTTATATTATTTATTTGAAATGGCAGATACAAGCCAATAAACAACAAGTGAGCGCACTGAAGCGAAAGACTACTGACGGTATCGATCATCTACGACCACCGGAGGTGTCGAGCCGTATAAATGCTCGTTGGACAAACGATGAATTATTATTGGCCGTTCAAGGTATTAGAAAATACGGAAAGGATTTCGCCGCGATCGCTGAAGTTATTGGAACTAAAACTGAGGCACATTTACGATCATTTTTTGTTAATTATCGACGGAGATATAATTTGGACGCGGTTTTAAAGGAATTCGAGGCTGAAAACGGTCCCATAGTGATCGAGGATGAAAAAGAGGAAAAGGCACGTTTATTTTCTTTATGTAATAACACATATGAAAAAATTTTGTTTACTATTATATATAACAATAAATAACAAAATTTTTTCATATATATTGTTACATAAAGAATGATATAGGAATTATATGTGAATTAAATTAGAATTCTCCGCATTTTGATATCTCTTATACCAAAATTAAATTAATAATTTAACGGAATTTTTTCACAGATGGATGTTGATCAATCAAATGATACCGCAGAGTCATCTCAGAAGGGAAAAACTTCCACTGGGCCTGGACAAGCTACTAAATAACAAATGAATACAATCCCAAGTACAAAACGAGAAAAAAATAATTGCAGATTCAGCGATAACAATCGATAATCGAGAAGTACTTGATCAAATTTATTAATTGACTTTTTCTTTTTATTTAATTGTGTCATTTTTTCTAAAATGATATCAAATATATATATATATATATATATATATATATATATATATATATATATGTATATATATATATATATATATATATATATGTATATATATATATATATATATATATATATATATATTTATTTTAAAAATCTAAATTTGAATGAGAATGCAATATGACGATAATCTATATGTATAAATTACATAAAATCACATAAAAATGACATTTATCTTACAATTAGTCAAGATAAGTCTGTATCTATATGTTATATTTTTTGTATCTACAGCAAAATCAATCATTTATTTGTATAAAAACATATAATCGCATAATGTCGTAAAAAAAATATTGAAGTTCACACTAAGAATGTACTAGAAAAAAATATGTATTTAGATGTAGTCAAAATGCTTTTCACGATATGCACGCACTTGTACATAATATCAGATATAACAAAATTTACAAGTAAATCTTCAATATTGTTTTTGTGAATGATATATTGCATGTAGAAGATTATTTTTTTTTATTTGTATGTTATTTAAGCATAATATTTCATTGGTCTTTGAACTAATGTGCAAAACGTAGAATGGTACAAGATACAAATTGATCTCATTTGAAGAAAGCGCTGTAAGATGATGAATCAAACACATAAAAGTGTTCTGATGAATTGCAAGGATTTTATAGATTAGAAATGTATAAAAGTGTTCTACTGAATTGCAAAGTGTTCAAGTGTTTTAGTGTTCAAATATCTTCAATGAGAGTTTCGTCCTATGCAATAAAGCTGCTACATTTTGTATCAATTTCACACTTTCTCTCTGTATACTTTGTATCATTTGTGTGTCTTCTAATTAATCTCATAATTTTCAATAGTTTGGATATTTTCCTCTTCTTTTATGGAAGTTTTCTATAAATTCTTTTTTTTTTATTCAAAGTTGGTTAATAACAATGTATATAATCAATGATGTTTGATAATTTTTCGATCAATGATTACAAGAGTATAAAACTGATATAATAAACATATGAAAAAAATATCAGGCGCTTAAATATACATCTTTTTTTACAATTATAAATTTTATATATCTCTCTTATATGTCCCTTACATTTTTTAAAAATCAGTTATATGTGATCAAAATCACGATATCCATAATCACTTGAATTATAAGAAAATAGTCATCGGAAAATAAAAGAATATCTCGAATTTAATTTTATGAACAAAAAAACAAATATTGTAATCTATTAAAAATTATGATGTTAAAAGATAGATAATGCTGTCATAACTTTTCATTAAATGTGTACACATACAGCTGTTAATGAGAAGTCACTGTGGTGAAGAGATACTACATGTGCCTGCAAAGAGATTTACAGAAGTTTTATAAAGCGATGCATGCTTTCGCATAGTTTCTGTATGAAAACTCTGAGTTTTAGTATAAATTTCTAATATAAGTCTATTTATCGATAAGAACACTCCAAGTAATAATAGAGAGCGCACATTTTGCGAAACTTTATTTATAAAATCAATAGCAATTAAGTATTCATGTTTTTGTGTATTTGTATAATGTAGATAATATATACCAAAACCACTCTTTCACATAATTGCATTCTGTTTAGGGACATATACAGCGGCATTATAATGGGCGACGATACACATAAATACGTGAAAAAATAGAGTATAAGACTAGTATATGATTTACATGCAATACAATGCAGATGCTAAATTGGCCGATATTTTTTTTATTTTTGACACTCAGGTGCCTTGATATTATCTTTTTTGTGATGCAAGAAATCGCATATGCCACTTAAAGATCTCTTATTGAGTTTGAACAAGCAGTATCTATTGACATGTTATTGTACATATGAAAAATATCAACAAATCTAATGCTATTCTTATTAAACATATATTTTTCATGACAAAACATGCATATAGCTAATAATTGGTATTATAAAGTACTAGATTAAATATATAAGTCTAAATTAAAGATGTAGATAGGAGATTTAATTCCTCAAATTTAGATTTTTGATAGTGGCAGTAAACAAATCATTAAATAGATGTATACTTAGCAGCCAAAAGATTGTTCAAATTGCACATATTGCTCGCGTATTTTGTGCGTACTTTGTAAGATCTCAATTGCAATTAATTCACATTAGCAAAAAGTGCATTTGCTAAATGAAAGCATATCCATCTCTTTTTCACATGCGTAAAAAATAATAAAATTTAAATCGTTTGATTCTCTTTCTTTATGAAAAATTATAAAAATATGATACGTTTAAATATCAACAAAATTATCATATTGACGGAAAGTATGATATAAATATGTTTACAGAATACACATATAAATATATACATAAATATATTATTTATATAAATTATTTAACAAATATCTGATATATATAAATATATATCAGATAATATATAAATAAATAATATATTTCTTGTATATATTCTTGTATATACAGGGTGACCCACATAAAGTGTTAAAATTTATATCTCGGAAACGAAGCAATTTAGAGAAGAATGTTTTAGACAATAGTTATATACCTCGAACTTTTTAAACGGGACACCTTATGCTTTTGCATATTCTTGTAGCTCATCTCGAGAGCTTTACAAAACACTATAAACATTATAATTAAGTTAGTTTTCATTAAGTACTGAGTTATGAGGCTTCAAATCATTTCTTAATTTTACATAAACCATAAAATATTTTGTAAAATATTTATTTTTCGATTATCTTATCTTAATACTTTTATGTACAAAATAATAAGAGGAATCAATTGGTATAAAGAAAACATATAATTGTTTCGAAAGAAAAAATGTAAGTTGCAATTAACAATTACATTTTTTTTCGAAACAATTGTGTTTTCTTTACACCAATTGATTCCTCTATTATTTTGTATATAAAAGTATTAAAGTAAGATAATCGAAAAATGAATATTTTACAAGATATTTTACGGTTTATGTAAAATTAAGAAATGATTTCAAGTCTCATAACTCGGAAAGTACTTAATGAAAACTAACTTAATTATAGTGTTTTGTAAAGCTCTCGAGATGAGCTACAAGAATATGCAAAAGCATATAGGGTGTCCCGTTTAAAAAGTTGGAGGTGACCTTTACGTGATCTTTAGGTGACTCTTCAAGATCTAATGGCACCATCTTATGGCCCCCTTGAAACCATACAACTTTTGTCTGAAACATTTTTCTCTAAATTGCTTCGTTTCCGAGTTATAAATTTGTAACACTTTACGTCGGCCACCCTGTATACACACAAAAATAGGAATGTCTTAATATCTGAATTTAAATATATGTTGGAACGTAGATGAAGAGCAAAGATGATGTATATTGTGATATATGCATAAATTATGTTAGGGCATTCCTATCATAATATATACATACTTACATCGCCATCGCCGGTAAAAAGTGATATATCTTACATAAACGCGATAAATTTTAATGATTGAAATAAAAAGCAAGGAATATTAATGTGTTTTATCAAAGTGAAAGATATCATTGCATTAAAAAATACTAGTTAGATAAATTGTTATGCATTAACAATAAGATACGCATTATTGTCGTACAAAAAATATGCATGATTTTTTATGAAAAATCTTCTATTCTTGTAAATTTTTTTTCAAAATATTAGTTTTTCATATCTCTATGAAATGTCTTAGGACATTATCTAATACATATACTTTAATATATATTGCGTTTTATTTATTTCTACATTAGATTTTTTGGCACATTACTCTTAGATATATCTTTATATGTAATTTTATCGCGCATAATATCCTTTTAAGAATTAATTGTAGAAAAATATTCGAGGGTATTAATGTAAACGATAAGAGACGGAGTATCGTGTTATGTGATTATAGATTTGATACACGAGTATGCAGATTATGCTAGATAATTTCTTTATCTTATGTAAAAAAAACAAGGATTTAATAAATCTTTGCTATGCGCATAACATATTTGAAATTGTTTGAAAAATATTGCGATAAAGTCCTCGTGTAAAAGTTCTCACTATCATTTTTAGCGCGGACATTTATAAGAAAATTATAAATTATTAAATTAAAATTTTCTATTATTGTGTATGAACGGCTATATTATATGCAGCAAGGGAAAAGGATCACTTTATAAAGAAAAAATAACTCGTAGTATTGTATAATGTAAATGTATAAAGCCTATTTGTTTATACACATTTCTGGAAATGTGTGTATCACACATTTGGTTATCTGTACACATGTAATTAATTAAAATTATATGTCTTACATTGTGCATTGTGCGAGAAATTATAAAATTATTTATTTCTTATATTTTCTCTCGAAGATACAATGTAATTAGAGTTAGTGTTACTTATTAACCGATAGACTTAAGATATAACATATAAAATCCTTCAAACACTTCGTCGCAAAATTGAGTTTCTAATTATGTTGTACAAGTTTGATCTTTTATAATTGTATAATTTTATCTATAGAATCCGTAATAATCTTATATTAATTCTTAGCACAGCTTATCATTTCCTATTTTGTTTCTTATCTTCAAATTATACACGGTAGTTTTTTCATGATGAAGTGTGCGATAATCGCAGTCGTGAAATGCAAATACAAGACCGCTTTCAGATAACTATCAGTTAATGTTTCATTAGTTTCACTAGATATTATTTTGACAGTTGCGATGTTTTTAACTACAAGTTACTGTTACATATCGTTCTTTATATATAAAAAATGAATACCAAGGAATCTAAATGCAAAATCAATTTTGATAGACCATAATCTTGTTATAGATTCGAGAAAATATATGCTATTAATTGATCAGTTTTCTTCACAGAAATTATAAATAGTATCTTAAGACAGACTAGATAGTCGAATTGATATGATTTTGCATTTTATGATTTGAAATCGGAAGTGTGAGTCGTTGAGAATAACTTTCGCTGTTGTATGACAATCTCTTTTTTCCGCGCTAAGTAATCCATCTCTTTCAAGTGCAAGACCTCTTGCAAATTATCGTATCTAAAACCAGCCTTTTCTCGAAGTTTTCCGAAATGTCCTGTTTGTATCGCGTACGTAATATGAAGAGGATCATCGTGATTATCACTTGAAGCTTCATAAAGAAAAAAACACATGTTTAAAAATTTAGACTCCTCTCTGTAAAAAGTACTGTCGTCATGATTGAACGGATTCTCAATCGTCGCGTTAAAATCGACGTCTCTGTGTACGGCGCGTGTGAAATACTGTATAAAGTCCATGCCATCGTCAGCAATCGATTCAAGATGAATAACATCCGACAAGAGCTCTTGATATACGACTTCGTGCTGTAATCGACATAATGTGAGATTGAAGATATGTTTGTGAAGCACGTGCCTCTGTAACGCGGTCGACACGATCTCACGTATCTCAATGATTTCATCTTTCAGCAGAATTAAGCAACATCGCATAATTGTCAATTTGTTGCTATTCCCGAACTTCGCATGACGATGCAGCGCAAGCTCAATGTATTCAGCCGCCATCAACCTCACAGATTGCTTCTCATTCATACTTATGTCGAAAACGTATGACAGCGCTTGACTTATCAGCGTCTCGTTTTTGGAAAAAGCTAAAATCAATGAATTTCTCACACGAATCATACTCGAATCAGTCATCTCATTAAATTCCTCTATTATCTTGTCAAACTCAAGCTCGTTATTTTCTAAACTAACATGCTTTATAGTGTTTAACGTGAAAGTTACTATTGTATCGAATAGTAATTGGTGACGATTACTGCTCATCGATATCAAGTACTTGAGAATAAATTCGAGTAAAGGAACGCAATGTGATAAAGCATTTAGGAATTCGATACTTTGTTCCGTACAATTTGAATTTAGAATATCGTGTATTATTTCTTTATCAAAATCATTTAAATATTTCAAGTTTCTGCGCAAATGCAGCGCATGCAATCGAGCCCAATGTCCAATGAATTGAAAAAATCCTGGTTGGATCTTTTGCGATGGTACTATATATTCAATGTTTTTAAAATTATAATGTGCAAATATTGAACAATCCGACTGATCCAAGAACGATAATTCTTGTAGAAACAACGTCTCCAACATATAACATGGTTGTGCAGTTTCTTCTTGATTATACATATCATTCCATATCTTTGATATTAAGGCATATCGATCTTTCCAAGATACATATTGTGTTATTGATGTAATCCAAGATAGTTTAAGATCACCTGTGCATCGTAAGGAATTTTCAGCATTATTATTGATCTTTTTTCTTAAATATCCATAAATTAATAAGTATCCATGCGACATATTAATGTCGTGGCTTGATAAAATGACCTTTGCGATCGCTTCTAAGTAAGAATAAATACTGGAGTCCGTGACAGACGTGAAAGCTGTGTACACTTTAGCCGCCAATTGCCTGATATACATCATCGGATTACTAAGAAAGGAGATAAGCAGTAAACGTTTGACTTTCGTTATGAATATCGTCGCGGGATAATCAACGAGATCGCAGTCGCTCGTCGACAATTTCGACAGCAATACAAGGATATGTGCGACGCTCGAATAGGAACGTAACGCTGCGTTTGAAGTTCCGCGTATCTTCGACACGTCTCGCAATTGCGTATACATGTGACTCGCCAATGTCGGATAATGCGTAACGAAATGATTGACGGAATAACCGTAGCCAAAATCCAACTCCTCATCCAAGCTTCTCCCGGAGCACTGACCCACCAATCTCGGCACCACCGCGCCGTACAATTGCAAGCTCGCGTTCCTGAAACATTATACGTATATATGATGGAGAGGAATATATAACAGGTCATCAAAATGTAAAAAAAAATTAAATTAAAGAAACTATGTATCGCGTTGTTTTACCTTACGGTCCAAACGTCAGATCTCATGTACTCAAAACATGTTAAACAAATCTCCTCCATGTACGGGACTAACTGCGGGTGTATCTCCTTATCGGCGACTAACGTTCGCAAAAAGTACAGACGCTTTGCCCACGATGAGTCTTGTCCGGGCTCTACCTCTCTAACAGTCGAAAAGTCTTTCAGCGAGCGTAATAACATCCGCACCGCAAAATGGACCGTAGGTCGATTTCTTCGATTATCGCTGACGACTAATCTGTGAAACATGATTGACAATCCGGCACCCCGTCGTGTTAAGTGCAATGATTTTCCTGCGTCTTCTTCCAACAAACTAGCCAGATGTGCTCTCGGTAACTCGGAATATTCATTTTGATCATATAAACGTCTAAAACAAATCGTTAATTAATGTAGACGACTGATACAGGAAAAATAGATTACCGTTAATTGATTATTCCCACTTCATCTATTTATATCATCCCATTTTATGTCTCATGATGAATATGTGTTTACATTGCATATATTAACTATTACATTGTATTAAAATTCAGAACATTTTTACCTGGCTAAATTAGCAATCGCTACTCCAGCAGATTCCACTACGCCTTTGTGGCGACACTTTAATAGTACCGTAACAATGATATCCATGGAATATTTTACTTGCGCATTCGACTGCATCATCATCCCGATTTCACTGACGATCTCGCATGACACCTACGTAAGAATTATATTATTCGTTTTTTTTCATTAAATTATTATTATATATATATATATATATATAACTATATTGAATTATTATATAACTATAATTAATTATCTTATGAAATTAAACTAATTATATAATTATATATATATATATATGTGTGTGTGTGTGTGTGTGTGTGTGTGTGTGTGTACCTTTAAGGACATCCAAATACACGAAATAAGCACTTGATGCGCCGGTGATAGTTGCAGTTCGTCATAATTATTAGAAGTTTCTATTTCACTGATCTTAATCTTTTCATCGATAGCTAATCCCATTTCCGCAAACGAAGATGAATAAACTAAAAATTATAAATTTTACAAATTACAAAATAATTATTTTTTTCTCTGTCTCTCTCTCTCTCTCTTTTAATCATAAATAATAATTTATTAGTAACAATGATACGAAGCAATCAATTTTAATTTTAAACAATTTTATTAATCAAGAACATGTTTCTCAAACATAAAGAGAGAGAGAGATTATTATAAACTAATAAATTATTACTAATTTCTAATAAGAAATTAATTATTGATTTAACTTTTAATTTGATAATAAATAGCTATAATGCATTCTACATAGTTATTAATATTCACAGATATTTTGCGACACCTGTATTTGATGCTTTCGTAGATAATGTAGATAAAAAGAAATCAATGGCATCTTTCAAAAGATTTAGCGTTTCCTCTGTAAATTGTGATGTTAAAACCCAACTCTCTGGGCCACTGTGAAAAGCGATTGAGAATAAAGCGGTCAGCACACCATAAAAAGGTCCATTTTGAATAATAGCTTTCAGAATATCGCTTTTCATCTGTGTCAACTGATATCGAGCTTCATACAATAGAAATTCTGAGTAACTTGAGTAAGTGAGAATATTATTATACTCATTATGAGAAAATGTTGAAACCACATTTTTATTAATCTCATTCAAGGGCAACCAATGTGCCATTATCTTCATGAGAGCTGCTCCACTGTCAGTTTTATAAAACTTGAAAGAATTGCAATGCTCCCATGCACAATTATAGAGTATCTAAAACAAAAAAAATATTTTTTGTCGAGGATTGTAATCTTTGATAAATATAGGATATTTTTCTAAACAAAAGTATATAATGTTTAGTTTTTGGATTATATAATTGAAAATTTTTATACAAAACATTTTTGCAAATTGGACTTAGATAAGATAACGATCTGTTTAATTTTAGATTAAATTTATGAATTTTACTAGAACAGAAATTTAAATTAAAGTCCGATTATCAAAATATGTTTGGAATATTAAAAAAGTCAAAATTACTAAAAAAAAATTTAATAAAATTTTTATTATAGGAAAAATATATCCTTTAATTTTTGATTTTTTTCTTAATTTCTGTTAGAAATTGCAAAACATTTAAATATAAGTAAATATAAGAAATGTAAAATATTTAAATATAAGTATGTAATATATTATGACAGATTTCTTACGCGTTTTTCCGTAGCCGATAAAACATCTTTTTCAAAATGTTCTAGAATAAGGGCAGTAGCTAGTTGTCTGATATCAATAGCGGAATCTAATACGAGTCTCAATAACATAAACAAATTCTCTTTATTAATAAATTTCCAACTATTTGTGGTCTTCAAGTGCTTGTCAATCACTGTAATGTAACGAAGGCGATCCCTGTAATGGGCATAGTTCTCGCGCGAGTTCTCATTCGTGAAAGACAACAGAATCTTATATAAATTTAAAGCGAGAATCTTGCGTTGGTAACTTGAACCAATTTCGAAACAATCCAAAAAATACTCGTACAGCCATTCCATAAACTCAGAGATAGATCGCACATTAGCGGTTTTAATGCTAATCACTTTTAAGATATTCGAGAACAATATTCTGAAATATTTCATTATCTCTTCTCTCATGAAGATTGTTGCAGCGTTAGCGTTAAACCATAGAAATTGTTTTATTTGAACAAATGGGTTTATTCTGTTTCCAATGTCAGCAGCACGATAACAAAGTACAGCGAAAGCATTTAATCGTATGATTTCCTCTTTGTCGTTTGTAATGTAATAATCGATTTCATGCATTCGCAGTTCGTATATACGTAATTTAGCGGCCATTCTTTGCAGATGCAAACGAAAGAAATATCCTTCGTCACACAATTTCCATAAAAACGGTACATTGCAGTGCATTTCAATGGTTGGTTCAAACCAATATTTGAATAACGATTGAAGAGCATTGTGATCCTCACTGAAAAAAAAAATTGCGATTAAAATGCGTGCTTTAATACTGCAAAATATCTTGAATTGAATAGAGAATATATCTTATGCACTATAAAAGAAATCGTTTGTATTATAAGAAAATTTTTGGTATAATTGTTAAATCTTAGAAGCGGAAGAATGAATATAACAATCATCGATTATTATTAGAGGAAAAAAATAATTAATGTAAAATTATCCTGCAAACTTACTACTTTCCCGACTCCCAGAGATTAATAATAAATTTAAAAACTCCCTGGTTTATGAACAATTCCTTCCATTGATCCTCACTGAGTTTTCTTAAAATTGTCAGATAAAGTTTCGTACTGCTACAGCGCAAAGAATTTTTCGTTAAACTAATGCATAGCTCAGTTAAATGTTGTGGATTCTTGATAAAATTGAATTCAATATCCGACACTTGACAAATTTCCGTCAAAATAATGTACTTCACTTCGTTTTGCCACGATATTTTTGAAATGCATTCGGTAAATATAGGATGTATATCTTTATATTTCTGTAACATTATCCGAAGATATATATTGAAAATTTGTGCATTTTGCTTGCGTATATCATTAAGGGTATTCGACCAATTAGAGAATATGATAGCCTCTAATTTTCGTTCTATTGTACAATTGCTTTCGCGCCAAAAACGCGTGTCGGATGTCTGCTTCAACTTTTTCACCCATGCATATAATACTTTATACGCGAAATAAGAGTATCTTGTGTATTTCATACAGTTTCTGTATATTATATCAAACATAAGTAAGAGGATATCATATTCAATATGCGTATCTTTTTTATTCGCCTGCAGATACCCGTAGGCGTTCAATAGCTTGAACAGTTCGAGATCGGAGATGGTATATCGGCTCTGAAGAAGTACAAATCATGGGAATCCAGTTGTTGAAAACGCATCACGGTGTTTTCGAGATATCGCGAATTATAAGACAATGTCGGAAGCAAAGCATAGAACGCGTGAGACGCTAACAGAACACGTTCGTTGCCCAATTCGGAGTTGCCACTGATTATCTCCATGATGTACGTCAGAATCATCTGACATTCTTTCACGTTTTCTCTCTCATAGGAATTGCGCAAGGATACGGTGCTTATCAATTTCTGAAAAGAGAAAATAAAAATATCGCTAAACATGAGAAAACTAAGCTAAAACATTTCGTTTAAATAACGAGAAGAATACTAACTCGAAAGATTGTACTATCCTGACAATTTCGCAATTTGTAGAACGTATCCATTTCCATGTTTTAGCATTTAAGGAGCCTTATTTTAATAAAGTAAAAATAATGCAACAATAGTTTATGATTTGATTTATCTTCCTCACGAGATTCTTATTTCATAATATCTTCCGGAGGAAAAATATTAAAATATTTTTAGTCTAGTGTAAATTTTTATTCGTTGCTTGTAAGCCGAGAACTGCTTGGCTCTTCTTATCGAATTGTTCCGACAAATCAGATGTTTCGGAACTTTGAGTCCCACCGTCGAGGCAACGTACCCTGCAATTAACGGAAAATAATCACATTTTTGCAAATAATACTAATCGAAGAGAGAGAAAAAAACGAGAAAAGATGTTTTAAAAATAATCAAGTTGTCATCAAAACCGCAAGAAGCTGTGCGACAAAGTTACAAAATATTTTATGAGAAAGAGAAGTTTTATATTAGTTTAAGTATATAGAGTATATAAAAGCATGAACGAAATAAAACTATCAGATTAGCTTAGTATATTTAAGATTATATACTGAGATAAAAAAATTTCAAAACCGCTTTATAGAATTTTTGAAATGTCGGTTAAGGATAATAGAATAATCGCAATAAAACCATTGTCCTATGTTATTTTTAAGCATCTTATTTATTATATGATCCAACAGAATGAGATAACAACATCCGTATGTGAATGTATGAAATTAATTGTTTAACAGTTATTATTAATAGTTCAATTATAAATTGCTATGAATGGAATACACAATCGATAGATTAGTTTCTCATGTTTCCTTTGGCTCTTGAGGAACATACCCCCCCTTCTCTATTTGCTCTTTGAACTTCAAGTAATCTCTCTTACGATCAAAGTGTTTCACCTGCATAACAGTTGCACAAAAAAATTGTTAAATTATTAAAAAAAAAAGTTCTTTTTTTTCATCATTAAAAAAGTTCATTTTTTTATCATCAAGGTCAAGTACAAAGTACATATTGAATATAGAAATATTGTAAAAGGACTACTATCTGCGATACATACCCATTGAGATGGGCAAAATTTTTCATATTGTTCCCTAAATTTTGTACACTCTGCTTGAGATTTGCCTTCATCCAAACATCGCCAATATTCGTCCCTTCGGCTCCAGCAATTCACACGATCTTCTTTATTTGGAAAAGACATCCTGTAACATAAATATGGAGAAAGATTTATTTAGATATATATTTGCCTTCCTTTTTTTTTATAATGATATACTTAATAAAAATATATTATAATATATAAATTTGAAAGTATTTTTTTATTTTTAATAATTTCTTTTTTTTCTAGATATATATAAAGACTATAATATCAAATAGGCAAGTAACATATTTTTATTTATTATGACTTCAATAGAACTTTAATATGGTAAAGTGTCAATTCAATTTGATGTAATAACTTTAGTTTAATATTTTCTACAATAGATTATTGTGTGAGATGTTCTCTATCTATATTAATAATTATAGATAAATATGACAGCAACATGTACATAGGAATACACTTACCTATAACACTTAGTTTTTATATTGGAATAATTTTATGAAAGATTCCCACTCACTCACTTTTAAACTATAATCATTAATGCATGTACAAATAAAATATACAAAAATTATGATAAATAAAATAATATATATATATATATATATATATATATATATATATAAAATATGTATATCTTTGTAAATATTTATTTTTAGAATTTTCTAATAAGCACTAATTTGAATTAAAGTACAATAAAAAATTATTGGTTATATAAGAGATTTTAATCAAATAAAAAAATAATTTATTATTTATATCATTTTTAGAAAAAAAATTTCCAATGTTTTATTAATTTCTTTCTTTTTTTACTATCTTTGTCTCTCCACTCTCTTTCCAATATTTTATATCAACAAAATAATATGTAAATATATTATAATATATAAATTTGAAAGTATTTTTTTTATTTTCTCATAATCACAAATATATTTATATATAGACATGAATGATTAAAAGTATTAAAAATAAAAACTGATAAATTCTTTACATCAATTTTACTAATGTTATAAAATATGACATACAATTTAGTCAATCTTGCACAATAATCAACTAATATTTTATGTAGATGTAAAATAACATAAATATATGATATAAAATTTAGGATATTTATAAGATATAATATCATATTTTATTAAAAGTGAAAAAATATATAAGAAATTATATGTTTAATTATGTATCATATCATAAATTGACAAATTACTCAAAAAATATATTGAATAAAAATCTAATAAAATGTTTATAAATAGAAAAATGATGTTGATAAGTATATTAATTATATATTTTTAAATTCCATTTAAGAGCATATGTTATTAAAAACTATCATATATGTACATATACATATTTCTCCAATTTAAACAACATAATAGAATATAATGCATATGTATGACAAAATTATAAAATTTAAAGGAAACAATTACATTCTGATATACAGATCACATATTCCTGTCACCGTCACTCACTAACTCTAACTTTAGGAAAATTTACTTAAAGTTTATTTTTGACTGACTATAAAAATAGATTTTCGAAAAAAGTATATCATACATAATCTACTTACATAATCAAAACTGGAAAATATAGTATATTGATTCAACGAAAAATAATTGCAAATGTAAATCGCCATTATATATTACATCTTGATTATAATGTTGTAAATATTGTAATAGTGTAAAAAATAAGTAATATTGTAAAAAAAATATAATCTTTCATCTAATAACACAGTATAACCTCTAAAATTAAAATCACAAATTTGATTTCATAATGTGATAAAAATTTAGTTATAAACTATGCAATATATACATTGCAAAATAATTATATAAAAATAATTTATCTCTTCAGAGAAATACTCATCTTATAGATTCGAAATGGTTTAATTTGTGCATCGTATGAAGATCCGACTAACCTGAATCTATCAACGGCGTGAAAAAGTAACAACAGCTGATAACAATATTCTATTCCCAGTATATAAAATAATTATTTAATTTTCCTCGTAGATTAAAAGTAAATTTCGTTATATTATCAATGATTATTAACAGCTGCCGTTCATTCATCGGTTGTAAAGTTTTGTTCGTTCTATACGTAGCTTGCATAATCTATTATGCATATGCATAACACGTCCTATTCACGAATTTTTATTAATTCTTATTATTGAATAATTTTTGACATTAATGATATTGTAAGATAATGTTATAATTGTTTATTACACGTAGAATATTTAAATTTGATTTTAAAGAATTTAATTCAAATAATAGGCATGAGAGAGAGAGAGAGAGAGAGAGAGAGAGAATAAGTTGGAGGGACATTTGAATTTTCTTTTTTCAACTATACTTTCTATATACTTATATTCTAATTATTTTTTATTTTTATTTTCAAAAATGATAACATATTTTTCTTTCACATTAAATATGTAAACATGTGTAAAAAAATGCAAGGGAAAATATTCGATGATCAGCATGGAGCAAAAGAATCATTAAAGAGAATACCGCGTGTAGATTAAATAAAAAAATTACCCACAGGTAGAAGAAGAAAGAAATTCCTGATTGGCTGCGCCATATTGTCTCTTCTACTATCAAGAAATTTTGATTGGTCGATCATACAAATTCGAAATTTTAGCGCCTTTAACGCATCTTAAGAAGTACCGATCTCCTCTCAACGATTTCTTATCTTCATGGTGTCACATGCGAGATAGGGATAGAAGAATAATCCAGCAGAGCGGGAGAGAAAGGGGGAAAGATAGACGAGAGTAGGAGCAGGGTGGCCGCGCATGTATGTACGCGGCTGTCGCCGATTGTCCCCGTCGTGTGCGTCGAGTGCCGCGGATAAATAAGCCTCTCGACGAAGGCGAACAAGAGGACGGTTGGAGGCGCGAGGCATCGTCGCGAATCGCGCGGAGAACTCGGTGCCGGAGGAGGGAGTCACGTTGCACCGAGACCGGGCCGACGGCCGGACAATGCGCGCATATGTCTAGGCCCGGTGATATCCAGGTTCTGGCCACAAGACAGGTGAAGAGAGCGACCGCCGCCACCGCCACCGCCGCCGCTGTCATCGCCGCCGCCGCCGCCGCCGCCACCGCCGCCGCCGCCGCTGTTGCCGCTGCTGCCGCCAATTTCACGGTGGTGCTGGATTACGCGAGCGCTGCCAAGCGCTTCAAGCTGTCCGCGGTCGCGGGCATCGCGCAACCGAACGAAATCGGGGGCGACGGGATTGTCATCATGACGGACACGGCGACCGACACGCAGAAGCGGGCCAACTTTTCGGCGTTGACAGTCGGCAACCCGAACGGCGTCAACAACAGGATCTCGCCGAGCTTGGCGAACGCCAAGCCCGGCTCCGCCAAGAAGCTCATCATCAAGAACTTCAAAAGTAAGCGAGAACGCGTTGAGCGCTCTTGAGACAACTCTTGACATAACCTCAAAGTTCTCCGAGCCGTTGACATCCGAGATGCAAGCGGTGGAATATTTTTCTCTCTCTTTCTATTTTTTTAGTCCTTATATTCGGAGAACTGTTTGACGTTTTGGATGCGGTTCGTCGCGTGAGCTTCAAATGCGAGAGGTGTTTTTATTCGACTTGGCCAAATTTACATAACCTAATACGCAAATGTTGAAATATCGCAACTCGAGAGATCAACTTCTCGTATTATTTGTGTTGCTGAATATTATTGTTACGATTAATCGCGACATTTAATCGTGATTTGACACGGAAAACATATCGACGCAATAAATATGGTCTATTTATAGACGATACATTGTGGTAATAATGCAGAAATCTATAAATGGATACTCTCACAGTTTGACTTGACATTTTGCTCCTCTCGCGCTTATATATGTAGATCTTGCGTCATTAAAACAGCTGTTTCGTAATTAAATAAATAATGTTAAATAAAGTAAAAAAGTTAATATGTAAAATGAAACTGTATTCATCAAAATCTCTCAATTTTATGCAGCACGAATATTTAGTCTTGTTAAGTACTATAACTTTTTTTAGATTTCAAGAAACTTTGAAATTATTTGTGAATATATTATTATTTGATTATTTTTATTGAAAAAAATTAGACAATTTTTACTATATAAAGAAATCTATCAAAATATGTTCTATAAACAAGACAAAGTACAAATAGTATATGACTGTGTATAGTATAAATATATAATAACATAGTAAGTAACTTTTTAAGAAATTTCATTTAAGTTTTGTAATTAATCTTTAAAAAGAAGTTCTTTTAAATGTGACAATCTTTGCTTTGTTTATTTTATTTATTTCTCAGTTACAATGATTTTCTTCTAGATAAACCCAAATTACCAGAAAACTATCAAGAACAAACATGGGAAAAATTGCAGGAGGCTGTGATTGCGATACAAACTAGCAAAAGCATCCGCTATTCTCTAGAGGAACTTTATCAGGCAGTTGAAAATATGTGTAATCACAAGATGGCATCGACACTTTACTCAAATTTGACTGTTCTGACAGAATCTCATGTGAAGGCTAACATCGAGCAGTTTTTGGCAGAATCTATGGACAGACATATATTTCTGAAGAAGATGAATGAGTGCTGGCAATCACATTGCAGACAGATGATAATGATCAGGAGTATCTTTCTGTATCTCGACAGGACATATGTGTTACAAAATCCTAGTATTTCATCAATATGGTAATGCAATATGGTGCAAATATTGTTAAAAATTTGTAAGCAATTTGTTTACTTTACTTGATTTCCTTTTCCAGGGATATGGGATTGCATCTTTTCAGACTACACATTGTGTTGAATAATTTAGTGCAAACGCGCACAGTCGAGGGTCTTCTTATGCTCATAGAAAAGGAACGACAGGGTGATACTGTGGATCGAACGCTTCTCAAGTCGTTGTTAAGAATGTTGTCGGATCTACAAATCTACCAAGAGGCCTTCGAAACAAAGTATATTGTTGATAAATATAACAAATATGTTTCTTAATATATTCGCGATATCACGCTGCCGATATATTAATATATATTAGCAGTAAACTGATGCAAACTTGCAATTACAAAGAGTGTAGATTTATTTATCAAGTATTGCTAAAATATCTTGATTATGTCCACAATATTGTAATAAACAATTTTATTTTTCTTCCTATTTAGGTTCCTAGTAGCAACAGAAAGATTGTATGCTGCTGAAGGTCAACGATTGATGAACGAGCACGATGTTCCTGAATATTTGGCCCATGTAGATAAACGTCTACAAGAAGAAAACGAGCGACTGTTGCATTATCTTGATACAGCAACCAAGTAAATTTCTTTATCAGTTTTATACTTCTGCATATCAAATAGAATATTATTAAGAATTAAACATATATATATATATATATATATATATACACATATATAGTACATTGTTGCAAATAATTTCATAAAATTAATTCTTTTTCAGATGGTCGCTCATACATACTGTAGAAAAACAATTATTATCGGAACATATTACTAGCATTTTACAGAAAGGCTTAAGTGGCTTGTTGGATGAAAATAGAATTAGTGATTTATCATTACTTTATAATTTATATAGTCGGATAAAGAATGGTCTTGTGGAGCTTTGCTTGAATTTCAATTGTTATATTAAGGTATACATTTTAATAATGCTAGATTATATATAATGTGAACAAACATATATATGTAGTATATTATCTAAATTTTATATCTTTTTAGAAAAAAGGCAAGACGATAGTTATAGATCCTGAAAAAGATAAAACGATGGTACAGGAGCTATTAGATTTTAAAGATAAAATGGATAATATAGTTAATACATGCTTTCATAAAAATGAAAAATTTGCAAATAGCTTAAAAGAAGCTTTTGAAGCTTTTATTAATCAAAGAGCAAACAAACCAGCGGAATTAATAGGTAATATATGTATTAATGATATTATTATAATTATTTGCATTGTATTAATTGCAAATACAATGCAAATAATTATTTAGAAAAGTATTTCAATTATGTTATTAATCTTTAAATATTCTTAAATTTAAATACATATTAAAAACAGAATGAAAATATTTATGATTTCAGCTAAATTTGTCGACTGTAAATTACGTGCGGGTAACAAAGAAGCAACGGAAGAGGAATTAGAGAGATTATTAGATAAAATTATGGTACTCTTTCGATTTATTCACGGGAAAGATGTTTTCGAAGCATTTTACAAAAAAGATTTAGCCAAACGCTTGTTGGTGGGGAAATCGGCTTCTGTAGATGCTGAAAAGTCAATGTTATCTAAATTGAAACAGGAATGCGGTGGTGGATTTACCAGTAAATTGGAAGGAATGTTCAAAGACATGGAACTTAGCAAAGATATCAATATTGCGTTCAAACAAGTAAGGAAATAATTCGCATTCTGTGAAAGAAATTTATGTACATATATTTTATTTAATTTATGCAATTTATATCAATTACTCAACTCTTTTTAATGTTAAATATCGATCATGCACATGATGCGTTATTTTGATTTTTGTTCTAGTATGCCGGAAATTTGCAGAGTGAATTAGTTGCAAATAATCTGGACTTGACTGTATCTATACTTACTATGGGATATTGGCCTACATATCCTGTGATGGAGGTCACCTTACCGATGGAGATGGTGCAGTATCAAGATGTGTTTAATAAGTTTTATTTAGGGAAACATAGCGGTAGGAAATTGCAGTGGCAGCCGACTTTAGGACATTGTGTATTAAAAGCATGGTTTAATCAGGTATTTAAAAAGGATAAAAGCACTGATATTGTGTTTGCAAAGACAATATAAAATTATTAACTAATGCATAAGTATCTTCTACATGAAAATAGGGTAATAAAGAGCTGCAGGTGTCATTATTTCAAGCATTGGTCTTAATTCTGTTCAACGATTCTGATAATCTCTCGTTAGAGGATATCAAGGCTGCTACAAATATCGAGGATGGCGAATTGAGAAGAACCTTGCAATCATTAGCGTGCGGAAAAGCTCGTGTTCTTCAAAAAAATCCGCGTGGTCGAGATGTTGCCGATAACGATAGATTCGTATTCAATGCAGAATTTACAAACAAACTGTTTAGGATTAAAATCAATCAAATCCAAATGAAAGAAACGGTAATGTTCAACACTAAGTATAATAAATTATATATATTTTTATTTATAATATGTTTATGTGTTTGTAAAAAGTTTGGAATTACTTTAGAATTATATCTGAATTTTTTTTCTAGAATGAAGAACAAAAAGCAACAGAAGAGAGAGTATATCAGGACAGACAATATCAAATAGATGCTGCTATTGTCAGAATTATGAAAATGAGAAAGACACTGACACACAATCTTCTTATCAGTGAACTATATAATCAATTAAAATTTCCTGTAAAGGTATATATACTTTTTTATATAAAACAAATATTTAGCATAAAATGCGATGATTCGATTTTCAGTCTGAAATAATATCGTATATTCTTATAAGACAATATGATTCTCTATAAAAGAAATCAAATTTATAACGTTTGTAACATTACATATAAAATATGTGAATTAAAATTAGGAATCCTATATATAATATATGATGCTATGTTTATTGCATCAATTCACTCAATATTCATTTTTATAGCCTGCAGATTTAAAAAAACGGATCGAGTCTCTCATCGACAGAGATTACATGGAACGTGATAAAGACAATGCAAATCAATATAACTACGTTGCGTAACCTAAAGCAAATGCCAAAGTTACATCATTAAATCATTGGATTGATGCTGATTTTTCTAGCAAATTGAATCTATCGGTGTTTGTCTATTGTGAATGTGAACAGGCTGTAGTTCAAGCAAGGTACTATATAACTAATCCGACTGTCAACATAAAGTTATAACGCGTGTGATCAGTTTATATAAGAGGAAAAAAAGAAAAGAAGCTCAATGCAGTGTGAACTTTCCCGTTTTGGTTTTCATAGTGCATAAGAGACGCTGAATAATTGCAATCCTACTTTGAACAGTGTTGTGTTTTTTCTGAATTTTGTAAGAAAAGAAAGGACCAGAACGCAATAATATGCGACATATTAGAATATAACAATTTTTTATGCCAACACAAGTTTTTCACAGCATATTTATGATTAAGAGAATGTAATAAAGGATGCAAGATGTAATATACAGTGACACTACCATAAAAATAGAGAGTAAGAGTGCAATTGCAATATAATTAGTTAATTCAAAAAATGAACAATGCAGTATTTATAACAAAAATAAAAAAGCGTACTACATCTATACACATGCGATTGTAGTACTTGTCTTTCAAATCTACAAATTATTTCTGCTGTATCTTCTCATCGCCTTTTCAGATATTAAAAGAAGGAAAAAGATTAAAATAAAATTTTCTCTGGATTCTTTAGAATTATGGATAAAAATGCAACTTGAAACATATATATATACACACACACACACACACACATACTGCAACTTTACCTTAACATAGTACATATGCAAGTTCATAATTTTAATTAATAGAATAAAAAATAAAGTGTCCAGTTCATTGTGAACCGAATCTGTAACAATCACAAGCAAAGAGATGAATAATATTTCAATGAGCAAAAAATTTCTATACATTACAAAAATCGTGATTGCTAAAATAAAAGATTGATGTATGTTCAATATACATAATTTATGTATAGCAAATTATTGAAAATGTTACTTATGCGAGAGTAAATGATTATTCAGTGGCTTATTTCATGTCCATACATTTATAAATTAAGTTAGTAAGTGATACGAATGTACGCAAAGAACAGGAAACGTTCGATTCTTCTTAATAGAAGTATTTATGAAGAGTTTAACTTAAATCCGGCAAACATCTATAAAAGCAGTACAATGTAAATACATACCGGAACAGGAGAGCTTTGAAGTTAGTTTTTTAATTGAAAAGATAGTACTGCCAGCAAAATACTGTTTTGGTATGTCGTTTATAGTCTCAATAAGTCATAACTTTATGTTGCCGTGTACAGATTTAGGATAACCTCAGGGGAAGTGAAAAGGTAGAGTATACATATAAACTAATATTTACTCACAACAAATTATCTTATACTGCGTTTGAATTATATGTATAATACTACAAAACTTATTTTTTTGTAATAATCCATAGTTTTATCAACATTGTACATAGAAAGTATAAGGGATTCTGTACTTATAATAAAATATAACTAAGAGAGGGAGAGAGAGAAAAAAAATTAACGCAGCTTAATGGTATCATATTATTTTTCATATTAATTATTTTATATAATTTTACAATGTGATAATTTGTTTCACAAAACGAAAAATATAGTCGGAATTTGTACAAAGTTCCATCTACCATATTTTAATGACATAATTTTAATATTGGAGTAAATTTTTGATAGTCGGTTTTTAATTCTCAAAGTAAAATATGGAAATGATAAATATATTTTTCTAACTAAATTCAAGTGAATTTTACATATTGATGTTCTATTTCAATTAAACATTTGGTTACAATGTTGAATTAAAAACTTTGTGATGAAAAATTTGCCACATTAATGTAAGAATCTGCCATTAAAAAACGTAGTATTTTTCTTTCATATGCAGCTATCTCTAAAAACAATCTGTGTTGTACATTCATTTTTTTTCCTCAAAAATGTATTTTGTATACATCTTATTATGAAGAGTTTGATATACAAAACTGTACAACTATGTGTAAAATATCACGTCTGCTACAAGTTCTAGTACATTTGTATACTTATAGTAAATTATGAAAGTTTTATACAATTACGCTTTTTTTATGGTTTCTATGTGTAGATTCTTCATATCTACTTCATTGATTAACGACTTTGCAAATGTAGCAGCACTAGCTTCCTTATTTAAGAAATCCGACACTAACTGCGACGCCGGCTTACCACCTCCATGTGCTAAGCATTCCCTTCGATAACGATTACCTGCAGATCGACAGAAGGGATCGTTATAGAAGTAGGTTTGCCAAATCCAGGCAGCGATCGCACGAGATATTAGATAGGAATAATATTTCGCGCCGTATCCGACCAAATGTGAAAATCTTAATTGCCACGCCTGTAAATATAATATTATAATTATAGTATTAAAAGATATATATTCTAATCTATTGTGCCAATTAAAAATCCAAGTTCATCATTCTATTATTTAATCATTAATTTACCATAGCTGTTTAATCAAATTCTTAAATAAATTAATTCATGAATTAATTTTAATATTATTTTTGTAAAAAAGATTATTTATAAAAAAAAATATTACTTTTGTATCTCTTTACAAGAATTTTTTAATTTTTATAACTATCTACTTTTAATAAATATAATTTTACATAAATTGTTTTTATAGAAAAGTACATACTGTATTTTTCACATATGGTAGACCATAATACTCCTTTTGTACATCTGCTAAAATATCGCTAGTGGATTTTGTTAATTTACCACTATGATACACTTGATCTAACATACTATAGAATACTTGATTCTGTAATTCAGAAGCACAGAATATGTTCTTTGAAGCGCATAGTTTGTGCAATAAATTTTCTGGCATTGGTTCTTGAGTTTGAAAATGTTTTGCGAATTTTGATACAACCTGTTAGGTGCAAATAAATTAAAACATATTATATTTAAGTACCAATAATTTATAAACTTTAATTTATATTATTATATATATTTTTTTTACCCTGGGATCACTTGCAAAATATTCCATTAATACACTTGGCACTTCTGCGAAATCTGTACTACATCTAGTACCAGTAACATGCTGATATTTCGTTCGTCCGAGCATAGAGTGCAATGCATGGCCCATTTCATGAAACAGATTGTCTACAGATGATGGACTTAATAAACAAGGATTTGACCAACGTGGATGTGGCAATGATAGCATAAGTACAACTATAGGATTCTGAAATCAATGACAACACTATGATAAGATTGTTAAAATTTCTGTAATTATGTTATAAATATATGTGTATATATATATATATATATATATATATATATATATATACACACATATATTTATATATATATATATATATGAACAACAAAAAATTGATGGTTAGTAAGTTTAGTAAGTTATTAATAATATATTTAGCTATTAATTTATATATATATATATATATATATATATATATATATATATATATATACCTGATAAGAACCATCTGATAATTGCTTTCCACCTTGGATTGTAAAATGACAGTCTTGATTAGGCTTGCCCGCTCTTTCATAAAAATCGCAATAGATGTAACCCAAGATTCCCTCCTCTTCATCTATTACAGCTAACTTATGAACATTATTTGCCCACACCTCTCCAGATAACACTGGGACGGATTCAAGCCTAACTCCATACAATGATTGTGTAAGGATATTTAAACCTTCCATACAAGCACCAAGGGAAAAATATGGAGCAAACTCAGTAGTAGAAGTATTTAACCAAGCTTTCTTCGCCTTTGCTATAAAGTAGGCAGTATCCCATGGCATCAATTCCTGTTTGATTCAAAAGAATAAATATTTTACAATTATGAAACACACATTATGTTAACATTTTATAACTATTTGAGGTCTATGTTTGATATAGTTAATGAATAATATATAATATCATCATATAAATAAAATTATAAATAAAAGTAGAATTATAAATGGGAATACAAACTTGTTTCAAATGTGATTCGGCATCTTTCATCTTTTGCATTTCTTGAAAATCTTGTGCTGCTTTAGATTGCAAATTGTGATTTAGTATATCAAGAAATTCTTTTACTACAACTGGCGATTCGACTGTACTTCCTTTCACGGCTCTATAAAATAATGAGTTTTTAATTTATATTTACATTCATAAAATTATATTTTGTTTTATTCAATTCATACCACCTGTGTGCATATGACGGAAATCCACAGAATTCCGCTAATAAATGTCTAGAGCTCAGGAGTTCGTGTAATAGATAATCTTGCTCTTTATCCGGGAATAGAAACAATTTATATGCCGCTTCGCGAACAGCAGTATTGGAGGAGTCTGTGTAGAATCCTTGCACTAATATTTGACCGTTGTCCGTCACAAAACTGTGAAACGTATCCGATATCAACGAGGTACCTTTCTAAAGCTTATACCTTTGAAAAGTTTTAAACAAAATAATAAAATTCAGCATTAATAGAGCAACGCGAGTAATCGATTGCATTACCGCACTTACTATTGCCTAATAAAGTCGGGTAATGCGTCAGCATTAACCATCCTTGGAGTAACAGCACCAGCCATAAATTTTTGACCCACCTGAAAACAAAAAGAGAAAAGTATATAAGTATAGTGATTAAAGATATCATTAATTAATACTTACTTGCAAAATATAATCATTTAGCTCAACTACTTTTATCCTTTGTTTTTCTGGTAAATGTATACCACATTGTTCGAAATCAAATAAAAATAATTTAGCTACATGATTGTCTATATTAGATGTTACTTGAGTATCACCATTACTTGTAACTTGTTTTAATGCATCATACAGCTCACGATGTGTGTTTAATCTGTTAAATATAGAATTGATAAACATAATTGTCATATATCTCACAGTCTATAAGCTTATTGATAGTTAATTCTATTTACTTAAGCTTATTGATAATTAATTATATTTACTTAAAATTAAAATTTTATATAATTTGAATGTTCTTTTTTCTATATTATATTATATTACTCAAAGATTTTTCTATTGGAAATAAGAAAATACAGTTCAATAGAAGAAAAACTTATTTAACAGAAATTTATCATATACAAAGTATGCATAATAACAATTATTAATATAAATATCAAGAAAAATTTTCTAAGCTCTACAGTGTATATGATAAAGAAACATTCAAGATAAAGATAGCTATTATATAATAAATGTGTAATAAATATATTTTAAATGTATAATTTTAAAAGTAAATTTACTTTTCAACTACACCACTGATAGTTATACAAGCATTTTCAGCAGCCCGAACATATTGTTGATCAGGATGTGCAACTCTAATAAACTCAGCCATATCTGCTACTTTACACAGTGTATTGGATAATTCATCAAATATCTCCACCATTTTTCTCTTCCTATCTTTGTTTGTAGCTTCATCGATGAGAACATTCACATGTACTAATGCACGACTTTTCAATATGTCAAAACCATCTTCACCTTTTAACTCCGGGATACCAAACAGTCCCTTTAAGATATAGAAAATATGTTTTAAAATTTGACATAAAAATGTAAAATTATTTATGCATTATGTATTAATTATGTATTAATTCCGTTTAAATAATTATGTATATACAATATTGTTAATTGAAAAAAATCATTTTTTTATATCAGTTTGATACCTGATAATCACATGATGCAATATACACTTACCGTCTCTTTCTTCAATATATTTGCCGAATGATTTTTACTACTGACAGCAGAATTAAATGCCGTGGCAAGATGTGACCACGTGTTTAGTCTCCTATCACTTCGTATATTACGAAAAATTTGTCTCTCAAATACTCGTAACATCTTTCAGAAATGAGTTAGACAACAAATTTTATTTACAACACATACATATTAATGTAATGTAGTTATGTGTAATACGACTATTACTTCTTGAAGTTTCTAATCTCTTGTAAAGAAAAAAAATAGACAATAATTTGGAATAATTAAAATTGCATATATTTTACGAAACTTGTATTTCTCTGTTATGAAATATGCAAAGAGAGCTTTGCAACGAGAAACATACATAAAGATAATTTTACATGATTGGTTATCAAATAGGAAAATTTTCAAGATTTCAAAAATTCTCTATTTGAGAACCAATTGCGTGACATTTATGTCTACTTGTGTTTCTTGTTGAAAACGTTCTAAAGTGTGTTCATATTAAGTCTGTTCTTCGTTTATGTAGCTATAAATACACTTTTTTCATACTCAAAATGATCGCACTTAACAATTGGGCAACATTACTAGACATTTCCGATGTAATTTGACGCTGATTGGTCGGATCTGAAAGTAGAAACCTATCACATTCGATTGCTACTTAGCGGTTGAGTCCGTTGAATGCGGCCAATCAAAGTCAAATGAAAGAATACACTTCTTTGTTCTAATAATTTACTAGGCACCCAATTAGAATGCATTTCGTAATCTTGTAAAATTTATGACCATTGATTAAACGTGCTACTAGTGAGGTTAGATGATTGTCAACAATAACTAAAGGCTGTGTGTATATATTAAATATAATATTACGGGTACAATACAATATTAAACAATGCTAAAAATGAACAGTCAACTAAAAAGATATCTCTTTTGGTTTGCTCATGAACATGTTGATTTCCGATTGCCTGTAAGTGTTTTTTCATGAAATATTTTTAATGATTATAAAATATAAAACAATTCTTTGTAAAATATTATTTTCACGTACTATTGTATTATTTTCTATATTCATGTAAAAATTCTAATAAATTTGTATATTTTGTACTTTATATGAAAAATTTTTTGTTTGAAATTTTATAATTATAGTTATAAGACTTCAATGATTATTAAATTCTGTAGAGAGCAAGAAAAATATAATATCTTTATACTTATTATAAAAGTTGGCATTGTTAAATGTTATTATTGTGTTTTGTTTATATGCATAAAATATTAAATATTTGTTCTTTTTAGTCTTTTTAATAATTTTATATTTCAAAGTTTAATATTCTTATAACTTTTATATATGCTAAATTGAACTTTATTTTCTCATCTACTACATTTCAGGAAATACAATCTATTTTTGACATGTATGATATTAATCCACAAATAATAACAAGACCAAAGGAACATGTAAGGAAGTATGAACATTATTAATTATATATGTACGTTAATATCTATGTTTTTCTTAAATTATTATGTAAATGGCTTCTGCTCATTTTATATATATATATATATATATATATATATATATATATATGTATATATGATAGTATAAATATTGTCTTAAATTATGCTTCAAATATGCCATTTGTGAAAATGTCACAATATTTCAAATATGCATTGTCTGAAAATATACTTGAAAATAGATATTGTTCGAAAATAGATATTAATCATGATTATTAAAAAAATACCATTAAGTTATTTTAAAGCAATATTCAATTTAAATGCATATAAAAAATACATTTACAAAAGAAATACAATATATTATAATAAGAAATAGACTATATTTTAATTAATTAAGAAATAGATTATATTAGAATACATTATTTATCATAATTATAAAAAATACATTTATTTTGTTTTAGCCATATTGGATTGTAGATTTACCTGATGAGAATATAGTACATCAAATTGTCAGTAGAGCAATCTCAATACGCTTTTGTTTGGAACTATGGGCTCAAGGCAAACAAAATGAGGATTTACATAATTCTTTGAAAGCTTATTCAGTCAAAAATATCATTGGAGAGAAAAGATCATTTAAGATTGCAGTGGAGACTTTCTGTAAACATTTTTCACAACGGGAGAAAGTAGATAAAATAGAAGTAAGTTGATTTTTCATATATGTATTATAGATATTTAAAACACTTGAATGTTATGATAATATTGTGACAATATTATTCTAAAATTATGTTTTATGTTGAAGCAAATGCTAGAAATGCTACTTATTTAACAATACTTATTTATGAACTAAAGAAATGTTATTGACTTAATGTGATATTGGGAAAAGTCTTTCAGTTACCTACCTCTTGAAGGGCCAGTTAAATTGAAAAATCCAGATATCACTCTGTGCTATATAGAATATTATGGCCTTGATCCCAATAGTATTCCTGAACAGCCATATGAATATTTTTTTGGAAGATGGGTGAGTAGTATGATTATATATCAAAGACGTTCTTCTTGTAGATTGTAATATCATTTTATTGCAGATTGCTGATGGTCAGCGAGAATTAATTAAAAAATTATCATTGAAAACTAGGAAATTTATAGGAAATACCTCAATGGATCCACAGTTGTCATTGATAATGGCAAATCAAGCACAAATTAGAAAAGGGGACCTAATTTTTGATCCATTTGTAGGGACAGGTTCTTTATTAATCGCTGCCTCTCAATTTGGAGGATATACATTTGGAACTGATATTGATTTTTTAATGCTCCATGGTCGTACAAGACCCACACGGATATCACAAAAGGTATAAGATTAACAAGTATTTAAAATTTTTATCAAACATAAACTTGATAAAAAGAAATTTAAAAAAGCTGAAACAATATGCTATAACAATATATACATATTAGATAAGGGAAAAAGACGAAAGTATTGCAGCAAATATGCATCAATATGGAATGAGTTCTTATTATTTGGATGTAGTAGTAGCCGATTTTTCATATCCACTTTGGCGAACAGATTTACGAATAGATGCTATCATAACAGATCGTGAGTACAAAAAAACTACAAGATCTCTGCGATTATAAATTATACAAATTTTTCCAAATTCGCGAATGACTTGTATTTTTTTCTACAGCACCTTATGGTATAAGAGAGGCTACAGAACGTATAGGTACTATGAAGATAAATCCTGTAATAGAGGAGCATCAAGCAACCTCTCACATTCCTTCCAAAATTGGTTATGGCCTAAATCAAATATATAAAGATTTATTGTGTTTCTCCGCGAGACACCTAAAACTTGACGGCAGATTGGTGTGTTGGTATCCATTGTTTAGGTAACATATATTAATATTTACTTATATGCAATTAATTTTGTAAAATATATGGCAATACTAGAAATAATTAATTATTAATTAACCATTAATTGATAGAAAGATTATATTTAATTTCAAATTTATGATTTTTAGGGACCAATACACAGAAGAACAGTTACCAGCACATCCTTGCTTAGAGTTGTTAGCTAATTCTGAACAAGTACTGAGCAACTACACTAGTAGAAGATTATTAACTTACAAAAAAATTAAAGAGCCAAAAGTACGTATATATAAATTATTCAATTTTAACAATTCTTATTTTTCCATGTTGTTTTCAATATTGATAGGCAACTGACGAGAGTATCATCATGAATTTAACCGACTTTCGTGAAAAATATTTTGCGTTACGCGAAGAAACAAGGAAGGAAAAGCGAACGAGGAAAGCCACAGAAAGAGCAAGAAGACGAGAAGAGTGGGAACGTAGTAATAAAGAGATTACTGAAAGATGACTGTAGAGATATTTTATATAAAAACAAACATTAAATGCCTTCTTTTAATTTTATATACATTTTCACAATTATTAGTCCTCATATATATATATGTATTAGATTAGAAAATTTTTTTGTTTATATTTATTTCACATATAGGAAAAAGATTAAAAATTTTAAACAATCTAGTAATTAAAAAGATATATTCATAAACATTTGATTTCTTAAAATGTGGCCTATCTGATTTTACAATTCCCTTTTATTACGTACAGAACAATTGTAACGATTGAAAACAGACTAATTGCTCCAATTAGTTTGAAATAAATCATATTTCTCGGATATATGTATTTTATCCATCAACACCATTTTTATTTGTATTATATTTATATGCACAAATATAACCAATACTTTTGATATAGGACATGAAAATCAACAATATTATTAGATAACAGAGAGAGCCGAGAGAACGATCACAGTTACAAAATCAATGATGAATACACATTTACTTAATAACATATACAATAAAATACAGAAATATAGATATGTATATATTTAAAGGATAATTATGTATGTAGTGCAGCTAAAATTTGGAAACTATATAGAATCTACTAATTGATCGATTAATAATATATCAACATATGCATTTTACATTTAGATTAGACAAAATTATGGTTGGAACAATGTATATTACACAATTCAAAAATAGAATAAAAAGATAATACTGTTTGAATACATCAATCGTGATCAGATTATTTTCTTTTTTAACTGCATAGAACTCAAAAATGTATCTAAAATTTCTCGTGCTCAATAGATTCTTTGGAAATAGTTATATGCAATATGTTTAAACATATGCTATGTACTTTTGTTACAAAATTAAAATAAATATACAATTTGTCAAACAGTACCTAAGCTTCAAGTTGCAATTGTCCTAGTAAACGTTCTATATTCTTAACATCTTCGTTTGAAACTTTACTTTCATATTGTTTCTCAATTTGTTTACTAGCCCATTCACTTAGTTTCACTGCTTCCTTCTTCTTAGATGCAGGGCATTTTGGTGACGTTGCAATATTGTTTGTTGTCTGAAATAATATATTTACAGAAAGTTGTTCGTAATGTTTAGCTGTTTGTAATTGTCCTAATATTGTATATAATATCATTTTGTAACTTACTAATAACAAGCCATATAGAGCTCTAATATTATTTGGATTCAATTTTGCTGCTTGGCAGAAATATGCTTTTGCTAATTCCATGTTATCAAATCCACCCTATACAAAAAATATATAATTCAAAAATTTTTCTTTGTATTTTCGAAAATTGTAATTTTTCTTTGTAATTTCGAAAATTATTAAGAGATCTTAGTTTAAAAATACTTCAAATGTATATTATTCATTCAACAGTTATTTTTTGATATTTATTTTTTGTTAATCTATTTAGTTAAATAAATTGATATGCTATTGATAAAAGCAACAGACATAAAAAATTCTAGATGCATTTATTACCTGAGAATATTTTATTTCTGCATATCTTTGGTAAATTAAATGACTGTGTGGATTATGCAATATAAGTTCTTCCATGCAATAGGCTGCTTTGGAATATTCTTGTTCTTGCAAATATAGATCACACAACTCGTGCCATGCTTCTTGATCACTCATAAATCTGGATAATAATTTTGTAACACACAATGTTACTAATATATGTCATTTATAAAATTATAAAATATAATTTTATATACAAATATAATATATATTTACTTATTAGTTTTATAAAGCTTTTTAAACATGCTTTTTATACATATGTAAAAGTGTAATAACACATTACTAACCTTTTCAGATATTCTGTAAGTTCTTTGATTGCTTCTGGAATACGCCCTCGAGCCTTTAAAATAGCTACACGACGTTTTCTTGGTGCTGCATTAGTCTCATCTCTTTTTATAATAGACTCCAAGACTTCCATTGCTTCATCATACCTGAAAAATATATTGTTAAATTGTTAGAACAAATATTGTTCTTACAAATACTTGACATATATATATATAATTACATTTCTAATGCTTCCAAATGCATGGCATGATATTTGTGAACACGCAAGCTTCCAGGAAATGCACGCATTAAATTTTTAATGCAATATTCAGCAAGTGGCAGGCGGTAACAATCCAACGCAGCTACACATACTTGTTCCAGAACTAGATATTCTGAATAAATAAAATTGAAATATTATTTAAATATATTTTTAGAAAAAAGTTGATAAAATTGGCATTACTATTTAATTATAAACATAATTTCAGAAATGAAAAAGTATGTATTAATTGACTGTACTTTCATTGCCTAAACGGTCAATTTTTCCTATTAATACATTTTCCCAAAAGTCCACTACATCTTTACTTCGTCGTTCGGAATCTTCTCTCCAAGTTCTTAATAAATCTCGTACTTCTGTATAACAAAATCATGAAAAAGCATTATTAGAAATACATGAAATGATTTTTATAATTTGCAACATATTATCAATATTAATAAAATAATTTTTAAAAATATTGATTTTTTTGGTAAATTATAAGTTTAAAAATTTTTATAGCGTTACATACAAATTAATAAATAACAAAAAATATATCATTAAAATTATAATAATATTGAAATATATATATATATATATATATATATATATATATATATATATATAATGTATATTATCCAAGATGTTAAGTTAAAGTTACAACACCAATATTAAATCTTGAAATAAATTCCACTCTTTGTAAAAAATTATTCTTCAATATTAAAGTTATATAAGCATAATATAAAGATGTTTTAAAAAATCTTTTAAAAATTAAAAATTGAAAATTAATTAGCGTCCCTCAAGATTAAATATATAATTTAATTAGAGTATTTCTTAAGATTATATATACAAAAAAGGTGATGTATATTAACATCAATCATCATATAAAACTCACCTGTCCAAGATAATTTGTCGTAACACCCAGCCATTGCTATCGCTTTATAAGACGAGAGAAATCTCTACAAAAGCGAACAAGACACTCGGAATTGACTCTTGTCACGCGCTATCCTAGAGGTTATACGATGTGGCATGAAGCGCTCGCAGGACGTAATGTAAACAGCATCGGATTATTTCGTGCATTTGTAGAAATTCTATCCTTATGCCTCGTAACAGAGCGCAAAGATTCAAAATTACTGCCGTTACAAACACTTCTCGAGTTGCAACGTGGTAGTAATTCACCTGAGATAGCGTAAAAAGATAATTGTGATAAATAACATATATATATACGTATATATTGCTATATATGATGGGTGAAGTGGAGAGGGGAGAGTTAGAGGGGAGGATGACAACTACATGCACACGTAGTTTACATAGTCATCGTTGTAAAATTAATATACCTATGGTCATGATAAAACGTATGATTACTAAACTTCTTATATCGTATCAACATGTGAACGATTCGATTAATCGTAACATGCATATTTTACACGTGTATTCTGTCATATATGTATTATGATACACATTATTTATATATATATATATATATATATATATATATATATATGAATATATATAAATCTGCTCGTTTTATGTACATCTTTCTCGCATGTAATTTCTTGCAAAAAAATTCTATTTTATTTCAAGTGCAGAAGGTATAACTAAACGAACAGATCCATGTAAAGGTTCATCTCCATTTATTGCTCATCAATTTCTAGATATCATTTTCGCTCTCTCTCTCTCTCTCTCTCTCTACAAAAGAAACTATAATAAAATACGCGATTGGCTATAGTTTCATCGAGACACACCTAATCCTAATCCAATCTACCCTAACTTAACCTTAACCTAATCCTTGGATCTAAAATCCAGTCTTTGGCTGCCTTTAATTACATCATCCGACGTTTCTCTTAACTATTAAAAATCCCAAGTACGCATCTATTTCGTCCCGAATGCGAAAGATACAGCACAACGCACCTCGGAAGCCTCGAAATCCAAGGAGATTCCGAGCCTAACCTAACCCCAAGCTCGCGCGGTTGGCATCCCTCGACGTCACTTGACACGCGCTCGCTGCGCGCGCATTGTTTGCACTCGCTCCCGAGGGGGATCCGTCGATAAACGGGAAACAGGTGTCTCGCGCGGCGATACACAGAGGGCCGCGAGCGCGGTCCGGAGCACAGGGGGCGCCACGCGGCATCCTTCGGTAGCTCTGGTTGCTCCCATTCCCAGGCGGGGATCATCGTCGCCCGTCGCTGTTTTCTGTTGTGTTTTTTCGGGCCGCGACCGAGCCGTGCCGTGTCGTGCCGTGCCGTGTCGAGGTGGACATGCCGTCGCGATAACCGTCCGCGGGAAAGGGCTCAGCCGTCAGCGGGGGGCGTCGAGTCGGGGCGATCGCTCTCTCCGACAGAGAGAGAAAAAGAGAGAGAAAGAGAGAGAGAGAGAGAGAGAGAGATCCCAACACGCCGTCGTGTCCGTCGTTGTCCGTCGTTGGTGTCGCGTCGGCCGCGTGTAGGCAGGTGTAATTTAATAAGCGCGGACAGGCAGGCAAGGCAGGCAGGCAGGCAGGCTGGGGTGGCTGGCTCGGCGATTTAACAGGATATCGATTTGTCTGGCGCCGCTGTCGCCGCCGCCGCCACCACCGCCGCTGCCGCCGTCGTCGCTACTGCTGCTGCTGCTCATCGAGCACGGCATAGCACACGCAAAGTCAGGCGTTATTACGGGGGACAGCCATGGACGTCGATATTTTTGGGGCACAGCGGTGCCGTGCAGCTGTGCCGTGCGTCGCGGTGGCCGCGTGCCCGATGGGCGACGAGATGTGACGCGAGACGACCGCCCCGGCGACGATTATATTCGCTTCCGTCACCGAGACAGGAGCGACTACGGAGGCCCGGAACGATTACGGTTCGCGTACGAGAGGCGGGTGCCAGCTACGCTGCGAGGGATCCGTTCGGTGTGTCGCCTCGTCGACGTGTACGGCGCCCTTCCGCTCTAGGATCCCCCTGGTTTGGATCATACGCGACGCGTTGTAAGAGGAGAAAAAAAGAAGGAAGGAGAGAAAGAGGCAATTACTCGGGAAACGATGGAGCTCAGCGGTGCGGGAATGCCCGTCGGGGCCGTCGCCTGCCCCGTGTGTACCTTGTACCTGCGCGAGGGCATCAGTCTGCAGAAGCATCTGGACACCCATCCCAAGGAGCAGGTTATAGATGCTCTCATCAAGGCTAGCACCTCCTCGATTCAGACGCTTCAGCAGCAGCAACAGCATCATCAACAGCAGCAGCAGCAGCAACAAGCTACCCCGACATCGCTACCGGTATCGCTGCAACCGCAGGCTTCACCGCAAACCCCTACCTCTATTCAGACGCCTCAAGCGTCGCCCCAAGTTTCGCAGAATTCCGCTCACATTTCCACTCATTCGCCGTATCCCATAGGACCCATCTTCGAATGTCCGCCCATAAATACCATGATGCCACCGCAGTTCACGTCGTTCAGCTATCAACAATTTGTCAACAATGGGACCATGATGATACCGCAGTACACGATGGCGCCGCAGGCCAATCAGATGATGCAGATGCTGTACAATCCGTACGGTATGTACCAGCAGCAACAAATACCCACCGTCCAAATGATCTCACCGGTTGCAGCTATCCCCGGCGCCGCGAGGATTCGACCAGTGGTAACCATGGCCGGAGAGAGCAACGTCAGAACCGCTCTGGCGATTCCTGTAAATAGTCCCGAGCCGAAGCAGATCCTACCTGAGATTTTGCCCGACACCGAGCCTGAATCCGGGCAAGTTATGCCGGATGTCAACCTGCCGGCCTCGCCTGTGCTGCAGAACGAGGATGTCTCCATCAGACAGGAGGAGAGCGGCAGCAATGCGTTGCCGATCGATCACAGAGGACAGCAGATGCAAGGCACCGCGTCGTCTGGTGAAAGTACAGTGCAGCACGGGTACAATACTATTCCTAGATCCATCACGATCGCTTGCGCCATGAATAATACTGACGACGATAAAGTGGAGAGTGTCCTACCGGATATGGAGGACGAGGAGCCATCGAATAACATCTCCACCGTCGACCTGCAATGTAAATCTATAACGTACGAACCTGAAGTACAACAGTTTGCGCAACAAGTTATGCAAGAAGAATACGTGAGTATATCCAGTAGGAAAACTAACGCAACGAATGATGTTGATTCTATGGCGTGCGAGCACGAATCGGAGATAATGAGCGACGAGAGACCGGCGAGCCGCAACAGCAGTGTCAGTATCAGCAATAACGTTCCATCGCCGCGAGAGCCAATAACGATAGACGCCTTGAAAGACTCTATTCAACCCGAGCTTAATTCGGTGGAGAAGTTGGAGAATTTGATAACGATAATGGAAACTGAACTTAATAGTGCTTCGCTGCAAAAGGAAAATAGTTTATCGAATGATCGGGAGAGATTAGATACGAGGGAGAAATCGGATAGGGAAGAGACCGTGATTCACGATACCGTAGTGACAATTCTAGGCTCTCACGAGAAGAATCACATATTGCCTGATATACAAAAGGATAACAACACATGGTGCCCGAATGATTATGTAGATAACGAACTGAGAACGCTAGAGAAAACTTGTCGTTATTTGTCATACAATACAGAGTGCCCGAAAGTAGATGAAAACGAATTGAAAACGCTAGAGAAAAATTTACATTTATATAAATATAAGCATAGTTTTTCAGCACCCCCGTCTCCTGTCACGAGGAAGAAGTGCCACAAGATCACACATCATTACAGCGCGCGATCGGAGCTCGGATCCTGCGAAAATCTCATCTCGTATCACCATCGTATTGGCTTTGACGAGGACGAGGATGAGAACAAGAACGAGGACGATGACGAGAACGAGGACGAGGAGGAGGACGAGGAACTGGACGAGGACGAAAAGATCGACGAGGAAGATAATTTCGACGAGGCGGACATGGAGATCGAGGAGATTCCCAGTCCGCATACGCCTTTCGCGGAATGCGGCGTCAGATCGCACACCCCATTGTCCACGATCAGTGGTATTTCCGTGTTAAGAGTTAGAAAGGATCTCAGCAAACCATGCTCACCCACATCCATACATTCGTTTCACCATGTGGACAGTGATAGCATAAGTCACGACGAGGATAGTAATGGTGTAGATAGTAATATTGTAGATAATATTGCAGAGAAAGATCCGATTGACTGTTCCCAAATTGAGGAGAAGATTAAGACTGATCATCAGCATCAGGAGGCGCGCGCGACGGTGTGCGAAAATGTTGAGAAAGTTCAAGAATCAAGTAATAGTAATAGTTATGCATACCAGCAGTCAGTGATAACCGAGCACGTTAGTTCATTTCCTGTGATGCACTCGCAGCCACCTGTTTTGATGCACGAGTCGTATTCCGCGACGAGCAAGACGCAAAATCTCTTGAACTTGTCCGAATCGATTAATCCTACAACCAGCACTGAATCCAAGAGCTTTCATTCTACCAAATCTACGTTGATGCCGAAGCAATCGATGGAACTGCTCAACATAAACGAGGACGCTCATGCTGGACCGATGAACGTCTTTGAATTTGACGGACTACAAATATTAGTTCCTAGTACATTTATAAGCGATTCGTCCCAGAAAGCGGTGAGTGCGACCAGCCAGCAATCTATGGCAAGTAGCGAGGGTGCAATTGGTATCGATGAGGAAGTGAAGAGCATTAATATGCGTGCCGATGAGACCATGCCGCCTAGAGGTGAACTGTCCGAACAAGAGAGTAATGGATGCACAGAGCCGTCTGCATGGCAGGTTTGTATTATCTCCACTTAAATAATCAAGACTTCCAAAATGTGCATATTCTCAATCTGCAATAATAATATTTGGCATTTGCGACTATTTCTGATTTTTCAAGAGAGATTATATAAAATTGTTTGGAGATTATTTTGCTCATAACTTATATAGTTTGCAGATTTTTTCTAACATAAATAAGCTCAGGATAATATCAGGATAATATCATAATATCAGGAAATGTAACATATAAAAAGAAAATGTATTTATCATTATTTATTTCATAATATCTTTTTTTCTATATAAATATAATTTTATATATATATATATATATATATATATATATATATATATATATTAAAATATGCAGAAATAAATATTAAAATATGTATTGTAGGATAATATTGAGAGAGTTATATTCTGTACATATATTTAAAATTTAAAATTATTTGAAATTTATTATTAAAATCATGAAAAAAGTCTTGTTGACATAATTTAAAATTAAAGTGAGAGAAAATATTATGAAATTATTATGAAATTATTATAATTATAATTATAATTATGAAATTATTATAATTATAATTATAATTATAAAATTTAATTATAATTATAATTATAATTATAAAATTTTTGTCATTGTTATTATAAAATTCACACTCGAATGTTTTATTATATTTACATTGTAAGTTATTGTTTAAAATAATATATGCTGGACTGATATGACCGAATGTATAATTACATTTTAAAAAAGCATTAAGAAATGAATTTACTTAAAATAATTAAAAATAAATTATAATGTAAATTAAACAGTAATAAATCTAATAATAGTGTGGATAAACAAAATTTTCGCGTTACAATGTACATATATTAAAAAATTATACATACATATATAAAAATTCATATTCTTCGAATAACATATTTTTCCTTATAGTTTTACATGGGTCAAGAATCTTCGCGCATGTCCACCTCTTACGATCTGCTGGCACGAGAAAGCTGGGAGGAATCGGAAGGATCCGACAACGAGATTAGCGGCCCGTTGTTGGATAGTAGATCGTTGGCCACGCACTTCACTTCGAGTCTGTTTCTGGACCGAGACCGGAAGACACCGACTAAACGGACGTTCAAGTGTTCTCACTGTAATGAGGTATTTGATTGTCCAAAAGAACGCAGAGTTCACAGTACAACGGTACACAAGGAGGCAGTGCCTAGTAGCAGCAGAGATCAACTGGATCAGTCAGAGATGAAGGACATCAAGTTACTAGACAATCGCGTAAATGTGTTCGACGATATATTTGTGCCGGGTCTACACATGCAACAGATGTATCATCATCAACAACCGCTCCTGCACCAGCTACAGCCACCACCTTCGCAGCCTGGATCGGATGGTTTGACTAAGGCTGAAGCCGATCAAAAGATTGGCGAGAATCTGGTGATACCGTCGAGCATCGAAGTGACCTGCGCGATATGCAGCCAACGATTTAGCAGCGAGAAATCTCTGCAGATACATCACCGGCGTATGCACCTAGCTGAGGTGAACAAACGCATACGCGAAAACGCCAAGTGCCAGATATGCAACGAGGAGTTCCCGTCAGTGTTGTTGTTCAACGCTCATCTCAAGATACACCCGTTGGAGTGCGGACAGTGCGGTAAGTATTTTTATCGAAAGCAGAACTTCAAGCTGCATATGAAACGACACTTGGGCATCAAGCCGTTTCCGTGCACCGTGTGCGACAAGGCGTTTCTCACCAAGCAAAAACTGGACGAACATACTAACGGCCACACCGGTAACGCGCCCGTCAAGTGTAGTTTGTGCAACGAGACTTTTCGCAGGTATTCGAATTTGACGCAGCACAAGAACCGGCATCACCTCAACATCAAGAAGAAACTCAAAGACTATATATGCCATTGCGGTGAAGTGTTCCACACGAAGAAGAAGCTCGCCTGGCACAAGGAGACGCACGACGAGAAGCCCAAGGCATGCACGTATTGTAACGAACGATTCATCCACATGGCCAGTCTGACTCGTCACATGCGTCGTGCTCACAATCGCCGATTCGTTCCTGACGCGCAGCGCGAGAGCGAGAACGTTGAGTGTCCCATTTGCAAGTGCATCTACCTACGATCGTCGTTGGCGGTGCACATGCGCGTCCACAACGGCGAACGACCGTACGAATGTCAGGTCTGCTCCAAGGCGTTCAGCACCAAGTGGAATCTACAGTTACACAAATGGACGCACGCGGCTCGCAGCACCAAGCCGTTCAAGTGTAATCAATGTAGCGCTGCCTTTTATCGTCACAGCGACTACACGGCGCACATGAATTCTCACCGTAACGTGCGTCCCTACACGTGCAATTATTGCGGCGCGCAGTTCATTCGCAAGTACAACTGCCTGCGACACGTCAAGGAGCACGAGGAGAACAAGGCGTACACGTGCGACGTATGCAACAAGACCTTCCATCGCTCCTACTATCTCAAGGAGCATCTGCGGGTGCACTCGGGCGCGCGACCGTATACGTGTCATATCTGCGGCAAATCCAGCGGCACCAAGTCCAATCACAACAAGCACGTGCGAATCCATCACGCGCGCGAGCCTGTAAATACCGAAAATTAAATAAGGATCATCTACTATATATATACATATATATATATATATATATATATATATATATATATATATATATAGACTTTTGTGTCGCAGTCGCGAGACGAAGACTTGGACAATCCGGTCTCGAGTTTACCCCGCGCGCTGTACTTATGCGCGAAATTTAATAGCGAGTGTTCAGAGACTTGGATTATATTTTTACGCTTTAACCGGGTATCGAGATCTCAGCAAGCTCGGTTGATTTCGATGCTGCGGACACTCTTTCGTGTGTGCATATGCATTGTATGCACGAAATACTCTAAATATATATTAATTAAACTCATCCAAGTTACAACACGATGCCAGCATTGAGTCTGGCTTTCAAACACCTTAACTTGGCTCAGTATGATTCACACGGGATGATCTCGCTACCTGATTTGCTAGCGAGTTTTGCTGTCCTTTCTCTAAATTATAGCTACAATTACTCGGGACTAAAGAATTTAGTTAAGATTATTTAGCGCTGATCGACGCATCACGTATATCGTCGATCGTTTTATTGTACTCAATTTGAGTACTCGTTCACGTGACACAAACACATACATACATACACACAGAGGGATATGTAACGAATATGTATGCGAGATTGCATGCGCCGATGACAATGATGGGATTAAGTCAAGTTGAAACTGAAGCATTGAATCTACTATTATGATTTTTGCTCGATCTTGTATAAGTGTATACATGTGTCCGTACATATTTTTAAATATTATAAAAGACGATGGTTTAAAAAGAATTGATTTCTGTTTAAAAAGTTTTATATAATATAAATTATATATGTAACGCTGTTTTTTGAATCGCAAGTACGATAGTAATATTTTTTTTCCTTCTAAAATGATGGATAATGTTGAAAGTAATCTAAATTTGAAAAGAAATTAAAAGTTTTTCTTACTACAATTAGTGACAATTTTGTTTAAATTATTAATTATTCGTATTATAACTTATTATTTAATTTTTATTCAAAAAGAAACACTGAGAAACATTTTAAAATTAAAAAAGTTAAATATTTGAAATGTCAAATCTAAGAAAAGAAAATTTAAATAAGAATAAAAGTTATATATTTAGAATCAAAGACACATGGATGTGACACAATTAATAATAATTTTTATTCTCTATACATATGGCAATGCTTAAAATATATATACACTTATAAAGCAGTTGCGAATAAATAAAAAAAAAACTAAATAGATCAATATGAATTAATAAGTCAATTGATAGTCAATTTTTATTGAAATTTTCTTATTGAAAGAATATATAGATTTAATATTACTGACATGTCTAATTTTGAGGTGTTCTCTTAATTTTGAATGGAAAAAAGTTATAAGAAAATAAATTATAGTATTTAAATAATTGAAATAAATTTTATTACTAATTGTAATATCATTAAGAAAAGCTTATTTTGACACTTTTAAAATGAATTTTAAGCATTTTTCATCAATATCCACATGAATGAAAACGTTATTATATATTGTATTTAATGATTCGAAAACAAAATTAATACAAATAAATTAAACTAATTAATTAAAAAATGCATGGACATATGTATACTTATTATATATGTATATATATGTACATATGGACATATGTATAATTATTATATATATAAAATCGAATATAAAAATCTTAATAATTTAGTGGTCCAAAGTTAACAGCGATTTAATCTCATCATCGTTATCAGTGCCTATATAAAACATTCTTTCAATAAGAAAATTGAGTATCTTTAGCAATTCTTATTTGTCATGTTAATTTTGCCCATCGTCTTTTTTATATATCCAAAAGTGTCTTACAGTAACACACTTTAAGCATTGCCATACGCGTAGAATAAAAATCGGAGGCGTTATTAATTCTGTCATCTGTGTAGTTTGATTCTAGATAAGTGACTTTTATTTTATCTAAAGTTTTCTTTTTCTTTTTTATTGAAATTCTGTTATATATATATCATTAGTTTTTTGTTATTGACTGCGAAATATCTTTATTTCTAAGAAATTCATCACTACATTATTTGATACATGCATGATAATGTGTATGATGATTAAATTACTTTAACATGTGATTTAGTTTAATTCGATGGAAAGCTCTTTAATCCTTAGATATTCGTAGATAAGTATTTGAAAACAACATATGTATCATGCATGATATTCTAGAGAAAGAAGAATTTCGTTATTTCATAAAATTTCATATAATTCTGTTATTTTGTAACAATATCGAACCTGGAAAATGTAGATATGTTTATACATATATTAATTCCGTTATCGGACATGTGTGTGTGTTACATATTGCATAATTGTTTTATTTATTTGTTAATTTAAATAAAAATAAATACAAATATATTCAGGATTAACAAATTTTATATAGATGATTAAAAAAATTTTTTTAGATTATCATCTATAGAAAAATTTTTTTTAATCACTTTTAGATTATTATTTTTTTTTCAAATATTATATTTAAAAAAAAATTGTATATTGAGATTCATATATTAAATTTCAAACAAATTTTGTTTATTACAATTTGTTTGTTTTACTTATTCTTTTCCTTAAAACAAAACATGATTCCACAAAGATATCTAAGGATTAAATAGAGAGAAAGGGGGAGAAATTGTTGTTTATGATATATATCGTATTATCAAGCAATCTTGATTATGCAGGGTTGGGATTTTATTATGTTACGTGCTATGTTTTGTACATTTGCATGCTGTGTAGGTCCAGTGACTTTCATTATCCTAAGCTAATAACAAAAATTTTTAATAAAGATAAACTATTATAATATATGTCACAACAAAATTCATGAATAGTTCTTGCGAGGGAGAAACGCAATGAAAAAACACGTTTGCCAACTAATAGTATAATTATTATATAAAGCTAATTAATCCAATTAATACTTACAAAGATACGGAGCACTTTTACATGTCGATGGTTGTAAAGATTTTTTTACAATATCTATTTTGCATAAAAAGTGTGCGAGTTCTTGCACATTGTTTGCCTCTATATAAGTATGAGAACAGCTCATGAATTGCGTTCAATTTTCTATGTAAGGGCCTATGAATTAATATTATCGATTATCACAATAGTTACGTATATTTTAGTTGTTATTCTTCTATATTTATATATTTTGCAATATGTGTATAAGACCGTATTTTTTATTGGTTATTATAATTCCAAGACTGATCGGTGTTGGTTCGTCATATATTGCTCTCTAGTGCAAATCAAAATAGTTGTATCTCAATTTTAATTTGTTGTGAGTGCTTTCGTTCATTGCAATAAGCAATAATATTGTTATTTGAAAAGAAGAATATAAATCCAAAAAAAATCCTAGATTTATCTTTTTAACATATATTTCAAAGAGAAGGAGAGAAGAGAATCTTGCCACAAGTTCTGTCACATTAAAATTTGTTACATAAAAATTCGTGTACAAAATAATATAGTATAGATATTTTCTTGATTAAAAAATGCATAATATATATATAAGACTATATCAAGCTTTTTACACTGCAAAAACTACATTAATCTCTTAATATATCATGTACTATATTATTTTTGAAACAAATTTTGAAGTTTGTTTTATTAATAACAGATAAAAAAAAGTCAGAACCAAATATTTTGGATTTATTCTCTTCTGATATTCACTGCAGTTAGCATGTATCAAAAATCATATGCTATTTGTAAAATCAGAGACTAATGTTTTATAATATAGATATATGACATTGTTAAAAATTAAGCCGATACTTTAGAATATAAGAAATGGAGAATAATTTGGCGTTTGAAAATGAAAATATCTGCTAAATTATATATTTACTGGTAAACCATTAGAGGGAAATTTATAATTTATTTTTTTTTTTTATGAAAGAGAGCAATATTAAAGAGAGGATATAGAGAGCTGTCTGAAATAATATATTAATATAATAATATATTAATATACATATAAAATCAGTTGATTTTATATTAATCAAATTACATATGTGTTAAAACGAGTTCTAATTATTAATTTTAAAACAGATGATCAATGAGGAGTGATTAATAAAACAGAAATGCAGTTATAATTTTATGTTCATATATATATATATATATATATATATATATATATATATATATATATTTCGATAACAATATGAAAATTTTAATATAGCATGCTAAAATTGAAACATGTTATATATGCTATGATGGAATTTGTTTTAAGTTATTAGTATATTAACCCTTTGTACTCGATATGCTTATCATCCAACATCATCAAATATTTTGTATAATAAAAATGTGCAAGTCTTTTTATCTTATGTTATTTAAAATGTAAGATTCATAAAAATCATTGCTCAGCTAAAATTACAACTCGTTGGCAATTAATATAGATAATTGAAGAAAATACAAAAAGTGTTATAAAGTGTATTAAATTTTGACAAAAGATATTTAACTAGCTTTAGAAAATATCAATTATGCACTGATAAAAACAATCACACATGCTGAAAACAAGTGCGAATATGAATGTAGTAAAAGAAGAAAAGAATGTTGTGTAATGTGAATACTCGTAAATCATTAAAATAGATATATTATAAAATATCCTTACAATATGTATTCGAGTGCAGTATGGAAGTAAAAATGAAAGTAAGTGTGGTTAATAACAACCGAATTCAATTTTCGCCACGAGATTTAACGGAATTGTGCATCATATTTATCATAGGGAAATTTAATATTGTGTATATATGTATAACTTTATATGAAAAAATTTGTAACTTATAAATGTGACGTTTTGCAATTATAATTGCATATTTGATAAGGATAAATGACAGAAAATTAGAATATCTGAGATTAAATTAAATTCTTTGCAATAATATATAATACTATAGGATGTTTCAATAGGTGAATATTTCAGGGAAAGATGCTTTCAAAAGAATTTTGATGATTTTCGTTTTCTTAAACGTTTTTTCAAAAACAAATATTTTTAAAATTACATTGACGTTTATAATTTGTTGAATAATAGAAAAGAAAGATTTTTGAAGATTTGAATTTTTCAGATGCAATTAATTATTTGACCAACATTAAAGTAGACTTTAATACTTCAATAATAATTCTAATTTGATGCATGTTGAAATTAGAAATTCATGCTGAAGTTCTTGAAATTTTCACGGAATGAAAATCTATATCATGTTCTGCAAAGAGATCTGATCTCTGAAATATCACATTTGCAGCACCCAGTGTGGCGTGTCTTTTATAATATTATAATCTTTGCACATATAATATTTCTATTGCAGGCCATATTGTAAGCACAAAGGGTTAAATTATTTTTCAGAATAAATTATAAGCACAAATATTGAAATGTATTGATAAAATTTCACTGATAGATTTTTTTCATTTATTTGTCAAATTAGTCCAATATGATTTATCGCATATACTTGCTATTATAAAATTAATGTTATAAATAGCAATTACAAGCTCACAATCTCCTCATAAATAAACTGCTCGTTTAAAAGAAAAATTTTGATACATGATGGAATTTCCAGGTAGCTTGAGAAGCCCACCTGTAACCAACATCGACGTCCAAATGTGCAATTGTTTAGTTAAACGATTCATATTGTACGTATTCATATAATGAATGTCGTTGTAAATAATGTAAATATGTACATCAGTTCTATTTTATAATAGAGCCAATGAATTGAGATTTGGCAATTGAGTATCATACGAAACTCGATCTATGCTAAGCAGATAAAAGAAAAGATAGGGTAATATTATCATTAAAAGAAAAAAACAATAAATCAACATATGTAAACCTTAATAAAATTTATGTATTGAGGTACGTTTTTAAATAAGTCCCCCTTTTTTCATTTTTGTTCATACACCATTACCCTGTATTTATAATGTTAAATATAATCAATACGATATGATTGAAAAAGAAAAAGCGTACGTAAGAAAATCCTATTTTAAGGAAATATATTAAAAAATTATTTTATATTACATATAGCAATAGAAATTTGGGGGTGAAAAGAAAAAAGCTATTAAAAATTCAATAAAAGCTCAAAATGTTCAAAACAATCAATCAAGTTTTTATGCAAAATAAGATCTAATTTGTAATTTATAAAATCTGGAGAATGATTGAACAAAAATTGAATTTATATTATAACATATTTATATTCATTAATATATTCCCATGTGATTTAAATATTTCTTCTAAAAAATAATAAATAATAAAAAATAATTATGGAAAATAAAATATCCATTTTCCATCTATTTAATTCCTTAATTTTGAAAATTAAAAATTTAATTATTTAAAATTAAAAATTTTTATAGATAAATATGTATCAATTTTTTGTGATTCATCTCTATTCTGTTTGAATTGTATATGCATCTGAAGAAGTCTTAACATATCGTTTAAAAAAAATATTGCTAAAAGTCAGAAAGTATAGAAAATTGTTTAAAAGATTAAATTTATATTATTAATTAAATTATATTGTATTGTATTATCTGCTTTCTCTGAAGTTTATATTATCAATTATAATCCATTACCCCTGCTTCCGAATATTTTCCTTATTTCACATGTATTTTAAATTTTTGTACATCAGCTGATAAAACCAGAGATATAAAAAATCCCTAGAATGAGGGAAACTTGAATGACAGAAATTCCTGCAATCTTTTAATTTTTATTTCTCGTTTAATGAACGTACTTAATTTTTTTTATCCTGATTGATCAATTAAAAGGATAATTAAAAGGCTTTAAGTATGATGATTAAAAGGATAATTAAAAGGCTTTAAGTATGATGAGGGAGGCACAGATTGAAAAAGAGACTTAAATAACATAGATACACTTGTCTCTTTCAATATATTACCATTTACTAAAAACATTTGTCTCAACTTCAGTATTGTCAATGCCATGTAACATAAGTAATTTAATTAATAGTAAGTAAATAATAAGTATTATTATAACAATTATATTAATAATAATTATTTACAAAAATATAATCATAGTAAACTATTGTTGAATCACTTAACTAATTTTAACTAATTTTTTTTTTAATACTCGAGACATTTTTTGAATAATGTTTTTGAGGAGGGTTTTACCCATCGAGTTTTCTGCATCTTAGCCAATCAGAAAATAACAACAAGAATAGCGATCAATGGTCCTTGAAGGTGCAATTTCATTGACGCTACTTTTTAGCGTCAATGAAAAGGCCACTTTAAGCGTTTCTCATAGAAGATTTCCGTACAATTGTGGTTGTGTTCCAATATTCACATAGCCTGTATAGCTTATAACCTTAAAATTGTCGTTATTGTGCGTTATTTTGAGAAATTTCTCGTAACAAGGATAATTCTTTGAGGAAAATCGGCATTTTCGACAAAATGTCGGCGAAGAGGAAAAGTGATACCCAAGTGCCGGCCGAGGAAAGCGATTTGTTGTCGATCCGTCCCCTCGGCGCGGGCCAAGAAGTCGGCAGGTCGTGCATTATGTTAGAATTTAAGGGAAAGAAGATCATGTTGGATTGTGGCATACATCCCGGTCTATCGGGTATGGATGCTCTTCCGTTTGTCGATCTGGTTGAGGCTGACGAGATCGACTTACTGTTAATTTCTCATTTTCACCTGGACCACTGTGGAGCGTTGCCCTGGTTTCTGCAAAAGACAAGCTTCAAGGGTCGTTGTTTTATGACGCACGCCACCAAGGCTATTTATCGCTGGTTATTATCGGATTACATTAAGGTGAGCAACATAGCCACCGAGCAGATGCTGTACACAGAATCTGATCTGGAGACTAGTATGGACAAGATAGAAACGATCAACTTCCACGAAGAGAAGGATGTATTTGGAATCAAGTTTTGGGCATACAATGCTGGTCACGTATTAGGCGCAGCTATGTTTATGATCGAGATTGCTGGCGTCAAGATTCTGTACACCGGTGATTTCAGCCGGCAGGAAGACAGGCACTTGATGGCTGCCGAAATCCCAAACATTCATCCTGACGTTCTGATTACAGAGTCCACCTATGGCACTCACATCCACGAGAAGAGGGAGGATCGGGAAGGCAGATTCACAAATCTCGTGCATGAGATTGTCAATCGAGGCGGTAGATGTTTGATACCTGTGTTTGCGTTAGGAAGGGCACAGGAACTCCTTCTCATCTTGGACGAGTATTGGAGTCAGCATTCGGAACTGCATGAAATACCAATCTACTATGCCTCTTCGTTAGCAAAAAAATGTATGGCTGTTTACCAGACATATGTCAATGCTATGAACGACAAAATCAGACGACAAATAGCCATCAACAATCCTTTCGTATTCAAGCATATATCAAATTTGAAAGGGATAGATCATTTCGAGGACATCGGGCCGTGCGTGGTGATGGCTTCGCCCGGCATGATGCAGAGTGGTCTGTCAAGAGAGTTATTCGAATCTTGGTGTACAGACGCGAAAAATGGTGTCATAATAGCAGGCTATTGTGTGGAGGGTACCCTAGCTAAGACTATTTTATCGGAGCCGGAAGAGATCACGACTATGTCCGGGCAAAAGCTGCCACTAAAAATGTCCGTCGATTATATATCGTTTTCTGCTCACACCGATTATCAACAAACGTCCGAGTTCATACGCACTTTAAAGCCGCCGCACGTAGTACTAGTGCACGGTGAACAAAACGAGATGGGCCGATTGAAAGCTGCGTTACAACGGGAGTACGAGGATGATCCGAGCACTAGTATGGAAATACACAATCCACGAAATACGGTAGCGGTGGAACTCTATTTTAGAGGTGAGAAGACAGCCAAGGTAATGGGCACGCTGGCAATGGAAACTCCTAAACCAGGACAAAAGTTGTCGGGCGTGCTGGTTAAAAGGAACTTCAATTATCATATGCTGGCTCCGTGCGACCTGTCCAAATATACCGATATGAGTATGAGTCAAGTTATACAGCGACAGAGCGTGTACTTCTCCGCATCATTGCCTGTGCTAAAGCATCTGCTGACGCAGATAGCCGGTAACCTGGAGGTTGTAGACGACAAGAAGCTGAGAGTGTTCAAGAACGTTGATGTGACGATCGACGGCAAAATCGTCACGATGGAATGGGTAGCGACGCCAGTCAACGATATGTATGCGGATTCCGTTTTAACGGCGATACTGCAGGCCGAGATAATGGATCAGTCACCGAAGATACTACCCGCACCCACCAAAATGGACCGGATGCACTTCAAGGAATGTCTCATAGAGATGCTGCAGGAGATGTTCGGCGAGGATTCCGTGCCCAAAATATTTAAGGGCGAGAAACTTTATGTCACGGTGGATGGTAAGAAGGCGCATATAGACTTGTTGAACTTGGAAGTGACTTGCAAGGAGGACGAAGTTTTCCAGCAAGTTGTGCAAACGGCAGTAATGAAACTGCATCAGTCGCTAGCGCCTCCTTGCGATGTAATTTAATGTATAAATAGATATATATAACATCGTTTTGATAAAAACTATTTTGTACCATTAAAAATATATTTATTGTTTATAAATAATATCGATATTCATTTCATACACACATATAATTTTAACTCATATTTCGCACATCCCATATAAATCATGCAACTATCATATCATGTGTTAATGATAATCATCATATTATTCTAAAGCAATGTGAAAATTAATATTTCACACTACACACATCACTAAATTAAATTTACTCTATCGAGATTATTATATACATTCTTTTCAATATTTATTTAATCTTCTTTTAGTTTAAGTTTTCATTTTGAAAATATATTATAAATATAAAAAATATTTATAGAACTTCAAAAAAAATTAAAATATTTATCTAATTTAAAAAACTCTATAGTTTTTATGTCTATTCCACGGAGTGTGTGGATGAGAGGTAAAATATATATATTAGTTCAAAAGATATATATATTAAAATTCTTTATATAAAACTGTTTATAATTTTTGTTACATTCTAATCTCTATTTTCCAATACATATAATATAATGATAATGACTGATCGTGAGATAAATAAAAACTGAAATAAATTGAAAAAAATAATTAATTTTTTGAAAATATAAAAAAGATGTGAGAATATAAAAAGTATTTTTACTTTTAAATACTAGTATTAATGTTTTCTTTCTCAAGAATAATTTCAATATGATCAATTAAAAATGTGTAGTAATAATATAATTGAACAGTTAGAAGAAAATATATAGATTTTTCGTTTTCTAAACTATTTATGATTTCAATAGATTTTAAATTCTTCATTCTTTGTAAAAGTAATGTGTATAAATAATATAAATTATATATAAGAGAAACGATTTAGAATATTTACAATTCTCAATAAATATGAATGATAAATATGTAAAATATATCTACTAAATATTAACATGATCCATAAATACTTCAACACGATTAACTATAAAAAATATATAAAAATAGAAATATCGTTTAAAAAAATGAGATAATATTACGCCCGCGTGATTAGAAATGTTTGCTAAAATTGATAATCGGTTAAATCGCCCCATGCAGGCCCAACTCTAATTTTTACTGGCAATGGTACAGTAAGTTGGCATACATTTTCCATTGATTCTCTTATTATAGCAGCGACTTCTTTCAGATCTGCTAAATTTACCTGATATAGTATTAAACGATTATCTTTCTTGTATTTAGGCATACCTTTATATAGGCATACAATATACATACATACATACATACATACATATATATATATATATATATATATATACATATATATAATAAGAAAAACATAAAAAAATAATTTTAATCAGCCATAATCAATGGATAAAAAATATTAAGTTATAATACTTACTTCATATAACAATTCATCGTGTAACTGTAAAACTAAGTAACCACCTCTTTGTTGCATATCTCGACTATTGCTTCGTAGTTTGCGAGTGTTGTTCATTTCTGGAAATATAATAGCTGAATCCGGGAAGTTACATCTTATCCTCTCTTCTATGCTTATCATAGCTTTTTTAACTATATCTGCTGCGGATCCTTGTACTTTTGTGTTCACAGCTTGCCGTTCCGCTTGTGCTAAATTTAGTTGATACATAAGTTATTAAAATATTTATTTATTATAAGATACAACACATGCAACAATCAACGTACCCCTCGTGGATGATTTTGTACTTTTTAAATCCGGAAACTGTCTGCGTCTTCCGAGTAATGTTGTTATGTATACATCGCGATGCGCTTCCTCCAGCACATTGTTCAACCATTTATATATGCCGGGATATGTGCTCATAAAGGATTCTAGAAATTCTTGAGCTTCGGATTCGCTTATACAAAGATTTTCAGCTAATGACTTTACCCCCATGCCATAAATCATGCCATAGCATAATTGTTTGGTGCGCTGACGCATCTCAATTGTTACCTTTAGAAAATATAAGTAATGCATAAAAATTTCACAAGTATATAAATAATGAATAATAATAAAATATAATTATGATATTATATTATTCACACATACGTGCTATAATGTGCACATATCATGTATATCCTATATCTATATTATAAAAAATACCTCTTCTTCTGATACATTATTCCATTTGGCAGCGATACTTTTAAAAATATCACCCGGTTGCCTCATGATTTCACATAGTATGGAATCTTGCGAAAAGTGAGTCAACAAGCGTAATTCTAGTTGACAATAATCAGCGGACAGCATTATGTTGCCTAGAGCCGGCACAAACGCCATTCTTACGCTTAGTACGAAATTATTATCTGCAAAACTAAAGTCTTTTGGTACATTCTGCAAATTTGGTTCGTGCATCGAGACTCTTCCTGTCACTGTACAAGTGATGCTATTACCACGAACTCGAGAATCTGTTTGAGCCAATTTTAATAATGGTTGGATAAGCTGTGAAGACAAGAAAGTGTTGTCAGATAAAATAATTTTAATCATAATTATTAGTTCTTTTCTATTATATTTTTATACAGCATACCAATTTTTCCATTTGGAAAATTGGAAAAGTCAGAATTAAAATACAAGAGAAATATATATAACAAAAATTATTGCAGATATATATTAATATTTGATATATATATATATATATATATATATATATATATTTATTGCTAGAATATTATATTTTACAGCCAAATATATATAATAGAAAAGAATATTATTAGCCATGTAATATATAACAATATATATTATATGCATATTAAAATAAATATATAAATTTTATTTATTCTATAGTTATACTTTTGTTTTTGTTGCACTCAATTTCCGCCATGAAATCACCAAATTCGATATTGGATTATCACATTTTTCCAAAACAGCCTTGCTTGTACTGACTTTCTTATCTTTAGACAAACCTAATACCTATAACATACATACTATGATAACGTTATGTATATACATACATAGGAAACTATATATATAAAGTATAATTTCAATTTCACAAACCTGGCCAACTTCCTTAGGTGATGAGAAATTAAATTTTCTACCTGCTAAATCATAAGCTTTTGTTTCTAAAGATTGCATTTCGTTTGAAGTAACCAATGATAATTCTTGTAATGATTTTATATTTATACCAATGCCTGATAATTCCATACAAGCTAAAATTATTACGATTTTCATTTCTATCTCTGGAAATAAATGCAAGCATTGATAAGTATATTGTGAGGTATGTAAAGAAAGATCATATATCTCAAATTTCTTACCTCTAAAAGCATAAAGTAGAACAGGATTAAATTCTTCTAATTTATTCATGACATTGTCCATCATGTGCCATGTTAGCACAGCTTCTGTTGCTGATCTAAATTCACCTGGTAAAGAACTCCGCACATCCATTCCAGGACCTGCACTGTAGCAAGAATTTGTACGTTTCATTATGAAATTTCCTTGAGGAAAGTATTGCATTACCTGTTCAGAATTTGGCGAAAAATAATATATTAACATAAATTAATAATTTCAAGATATATAGAACTAACTATATATATATAGTTAGTTCTATATATCTTGAAATATAGTATAAAGATATATATATATATATATATATATATATATATATATCTTTTTTATACAGATTGAAAAAAATGGAAAGAACTGTAATTAATGGAAACAGAACTGTAAATTTATTGGCCGAAATATATATTTAACGTTACAAAAATAAAAACTTTCCATACTTAAAAGAAATATATTAATATATTTATTTAAGAAGATATTTATATTATAAATCTTAATAATTTGTTTCTTTTAAGTTAACTTGCATAAAATATTGTTTAAAATTTCACCATTTCGTCGAAATTTCTCTCGGAATCGTTAGTGCATAACCAATGTGCAATTATTGGATCCAGAAATCTACATTTGGCAGAAATTCCACAACATTGATATAAGAGTTTATATATATCCTTTACCGCAAAACATCTCATGTACAAATTTGTATCGGCAAATAATTCTTTTAATAAAGCCTTTTGTTCTTTTCCAGAGACTTTCGATTCTAAAATAATAAAATAATTATATTTAATTTATATAAAAAAATATATAATTTATTACATAATATTTAATTTATTTATATAAATAATATAAAAAAAGTATATAAAGCTAAAAAGATAATGCTTTACAATTAGATAGTATTGACCAAATGTCTTCACATATTTCTATTACCTGATGAATTACTAAAAGAGATATAATATGCAATATTGCTTTCCCAGGATATTGCAGCACCACGTATTTCCATATTTCCGTGCGTATAATTCCCTGACTTTCTGTATTTTCGTTTTCCCTCTACATCAGAGGCACAAATTTTCGAACCTATGTTATTTGTATTATCCATAAATATATCGCAATGTAATGCTAATGCGATATTTTGCTTCTTTAATACTTCACGTTTGAATAAATTAAAAGTCGCTCTATTGTTCGCAACTTTTACAATATTCAATATATTCCAATCTATCGTTTCGCTCGGCAAATCTTTTTTTTCATCAGGTAACGCGACTTCTATCTTGAAATTGACGTTTTTATTTGGTACATTTGATTGCGTCTCGATTATTTTTGTTTTAGAGGCTAAGCTTAACGTCGTTTCATCTTCAGAATTATATATAATGCTATCTGTATTGCAATTTGCGAGTAACAGATTTCGTTCTAAAATTTCTTTTAATTTTGGCTTCGCTTTCTGCTTCGTTTTATTACGTGCTATGTCACTCGATTCTGCTCTTATAGGAGAGTTTAAACGATTATTTACTTCTGTTAATGTATCCTCGGCAAGTTTTTGGGAACGCATTTTACGTATTTTCTTCAATTTTATTCTCGCTCGATTTTTACTGTCGTTGAAAGGAGAATCAAAATGTTGCGAACCGATGATAATATCATCCGAGTCGGATTTATTCGACTCTGCAGACTTTCTTCTTTCATTTCTATAAACGATTATGTTTGTTATAGGAGATTCTATTTTTGGTAATTTAGGTTTAATTATAGGCACTTTTTCTTTAATTACAGCAGTACGCTTTTTCATATCCGTTTTATTTATGCTTTTCTTATCTTTCGGCGTGCAAGTTTTTATATTTTTTGGCGTAATAGATACATTTGTATTTACGATATTTATAATTTTTGGTTTAGGTGTTTCCTGTTTGCGATTTTGATTATTATCTGCTTGGACTACTTGCTTTAGCAATCGTTCGGAATTATTCCATGAATCGTCATCCCATGACAGTACACTGTTTCTCGTTTGTATGAGCGCTGTGTTTACATTTTTCGCGTCACTTTGTCCTTGTAAGTGCGCGTTATTGATATCTGGACTTTTCTGTAATGTATTTGTGACAAGATCCAAATCGCTTGCAAACATTTTGGAATCTAATTCTAAATGCGCGATATCCATGACATTTTGTTCAAGAAGATCGCAGATTTGAGTGTCGAGATTCAAACTATCATCAAACAAACTGGGACTTCTCGAATACGATAATTTAGTGTCTTTATCTAAAATTGATACTTTTACGTTTTTGTCTATTAAATTCTCAGTATTGTTTTTTATCTTATTTAAATAATTATAAGTCTTTGATTTTTTATTAGGTATATCGTTAATATTCAAATTTAATTTTTCTAAATCTTTGCTACTTCTCTTCATCTTAATGCTATTATCAGGTGTAAGAGAATTTTTCTTTTCCTTAGAAGTTTGTAGTTCATTGTTAGCTATTATATCGGGAATGCTTATATCGAGGAACACTCTTTCGTCTTCCGAGATTTTAGATGATAAAATTACTTCATTTAAAGGCTGATTGTTCGATTCAATTGTTTTCTTTTTATCGGGCATATTACTTTCAATTTCGTCAAAAATATCAAGTTTCGAATTGTCATTTTTTTTATTTTCGTTATTTGCAGATTTTTCGTATTTTGAATTGTTTACTATGGATGTTTCCATTTTCGTAGATTTTGAATCTTTTACATCCAATTCCATTTGAATTTGTTCTTTTATGTCAGATGTATCTTTAACATCTTCTATGTATGTAATCTGCAGAGATTGCTCATTATGCTTCTGCTCCCATGGCAATTGGTCGAGTCCCAATTCATTCTATAAATAATCATTATTTTATTAAAATGGATGAGATTGAATGTATTTTATTTATAAAATATGAACGTACTTGAACTAATACCCTTGCTTCTTGAACTAATAAAACTGCAGCTTGTTGTGGTGTAAGACCATCTCTTCCAGTGACAAACACTGTTCTCATTTTATTTCTTTTTTCTGCTTCAAATGCATATTCTCCTTCGTATTCTTTTTCACTAAAATGTATTAAAAAACTTTTTTTACTTAAACTTTTATTTTAAAAATTATTAAAATGTAGTAAGTGTGAGATCTATATTTTCTACTGTCATTTTAATTTATTAATTTGATATATCAAATTATTTATCATTTACTATGTATATATAAATATGAAATATACAGATTTATATATATGCTATATATAAGAAAGTTAATTTATATAAAAGGCACGAGAATTTAATTAATTCATACCTTTCAAAAGGGAGAGCTTTGTAAAGCGCGCGTTCCACATTAAGTTCATTAGCAACAGCCAAATCCGCTACGCATGTTATTCCTTCTTTATACAGGCTTCTTGCTCGCAAGCCGTTTAACATTGGCAGACGCAATAAATCTAACAATTCTCTACAGACGCCGAATTGCAATCTTGTTTGAAACTGGCTTACTAATAACTCCATGCAATCCCAGCCTAACTGCTTGCAAAATTGCGTGACCATACCTAAGATAAAATTAATTTTTGCTATACAAATTTCGTAAATAATTAAAAGTAAATATATAAATGAACAAAATTAAATAAATAAATATATATTAGATTCATTGTTATAAAATAATTAATTCTATCAATTTACCTGCATATGTAGCAGCAGACTGTTGTAAAGTTTGTAATACTCCACGACAACATCCATATTTTTTACAAACTGCGTGAAGCGGAACTTCTTTAACTAAATCATGTAACGCCAGTGCACTGTAGAATCTTCTATGTATATTTAACTGTAGTATAAAGCATTTGCATTAGAAATTCTTTAAACTAATATGAATGTTATGATTCTATAAAGAAATATATATAGTTCTAATATATCTCATAGTAATCAAAGAGTGATTACCGATTTTCCAGGTTTAATGACTCCTCTAATAGCTGATACGACAAAACGTTCTTCCACTCCAATAAGCTTTCCAACTCTGCGCTCACTTTCCGACATCGTGTTCCATAATTCGTGAAACATCATCCAATCGACAGTTCCAATTTGACATCCAGCAGAAAGTGGAGTTACTAAATATATTACATGCAATTCCGTATCCAAAACAAAACACCTTCTTGCTTTCTGTAATTCCTCGAATAGAAACAATCCTTCCCTGGGAGGTATAGATGCGGCCAAACACGCTTTTCCAAGCGGCGTTGCTATCCATCTGGATTCTCGTTCTGTAGTTTGTAATCTGTGCATGACAATAAAATTATATGAATTAGTGTTAATTTTTAGAAAGTTATGAAATGAAATTCATATGAAAGTATTTTATAAAAAAAATATAACACACAAATAAAATTTTATATATATTTATAGTATATTTACAATAGAAATTCATTATCCAATAAGAATCTCATTGCTTCGTTGGAAAAAGTTTGTACATCAGACTGTTTATTGAAGCTCAGTAAAGTACAATTAATATACAGTTCTAGGTCTTTCACTGTATATAAAACTTCGCTAGCTACTGCTTCTAAGAGCGCTCTTATTAATAGCATAGAATCGTTGAGACAAGATTCAATCGGATCTAGAGTTGCAGAGAGTAAAGACAGAGCCGCATTGCGTTCAGTTGACTTGCATATTAGTATACTTTCCCCTGGAAAATTTAAAATTTTAGTTTATTTATATTATTACTAAGTTAATGGTGTGATATAATTTTTTCTCTTATTTGCTAATCTAATTTAAAATATTAATTTATTTTTATTAGTTCTATTCTTATAAACATCTTTCAATTGTATGTAAAGATGACCAAATTATATATAATTTGTTTAATACATATTAATATTTTTTACCTGCACTGTCTTTTCCCATACGACCAGCACGTCCTATCATTTGTTTATAAGTTAAAGTATTCAATAGATTGTTACCAAATAGAGGTGATCTTATGATTACTCTTCGTGCGGGTAGATTTACTCCACTGCTTAATGTTGATGTTGCTATAAGAACTCTCAAGGACCCTGTTCTAAAATTAATATCAATAAGCAATTTTAATATAGCACACAATACAATCTATGACATTAAAAAATATGACACAATAAAGTAAAAAGAAAAATAATTAATCACCTGAAAGCTCCTTCTATAATATCACGTTCGTCCATCGTAAGTCCAGCATGATGAAACGCAATGCCGAACGAAATCGTGTTCTTTAAAATGTTATCTAGGCCGCTTGGACTGCGCTTTAGTTGCTCCAGAGTTTCCTGAATTAATTCTTTGTTGATTTCTTTTCTTAACATCTCTCCAAGCATTGTATCTTTACAACCTACCCACAGATTGAGATAAATATAAGATAAACATCTTTTTTTTGTTGTATATTTTCTTACACTTTCTGTATTTTAAATGAAATGGATATATTAATATATTCGTTATCATGAAGAGATGAAACGAAATGTAATTACAGAAAAATGTAGGAAACGCAAAACAAATTTATATTTATTCAAATTTAATTTACAGATAATTGAAGCTGACCTAATTTGAAGAAGGCTGCAGCAATTTGTTCAGCTAATTTCTCACACCATTTCTTTGTAGGACAGAAAATCAACACACTATGACCAGCACTTATTGTTTCAATACAAAGTTGTAGCATATTATCTACATCTTTTTCTAATTCTGGCAATTGTTCTAATTTTCTGACAAAGTTCAATTTGTTGTCATATATATTTGTTTCTACCTACAAATAAAAACTTTAATATTAAATATAATGACTGATAGATATATTTGTTTTAAATAATAAATATATTAATAAAGAATTTTGTCTAAGTAAATAAGAAAATAAAAATAATCCTTACACATATATATATATATATATATATATATATATATATATATATACACATGTGAGGTGTGTGTATATACTTTACCTTACAATATTCATTTAAAGGAATGGGACGAAACTCAGTCTTGTACAATTCTGCATTTAGCCATTTGGCTAACAGAACTAAGTTTGGTAATGTGGCTGACATACCTATCAGTTGTATGTTAATGTCATCGTTACTGAAATGTTACATATAATAGAATAATTTCAATTAATTTATTTAAAGTTGTATAAAAATTACATTATAGTAAACTCACCGAAGGGTCATGTATTTCAATTTTGTCAAAAGTAATTCCAAAAGGTAACCACGATTAGGATCACCTAGTAAATGCAATTCATCTATTATGACAGCTCCTAGACTACTTAAATCGTTCTCCTCCATCAAACGATTCACCAGAGAATTTGCTTTCTCTATAGTAGCTATTGCAACATGAGTAGCGGCAAATCCACCTGGTGGTACAGATCCTCCCATAAATCCTTCCACTCTTATTCCAATGTCAGACAATAAATCCTGAATATATCAATTTATCAGTATTACTTCTTATAAGAAATATTATATTGTGTACAGCTTTATCATAATTTCTTACTTTAAAATAATACATTTTTTCTCTAACAACAGAAACAAATGGTAAAATAAAAATCACTTTCTTTCTCCTTTCCAAAATAGTCTTAATTAAAAGAATTTCAGCGACAAGAGTTTTTCCTGCAGATGTAGGCGCAGAATATATAAGATTCTTCCTTTCTTGCATTACTTGATGATTTGATAAGCATTCCATCTGCCATGTAAACATGCAATCTACTCCACGAGCAGTGTATTTCTAAAAAATAATAATAATCAAATCAATGAAGTTTATAACATGGCATGTGTATAATAAATATAAAAACTATATACTTATACAGAATATTTTAAAAGTATTGTGCATTTACTTCAATATTAAATAATCAATACTATTAAAGCAACATAACAATAATAAAGACTAAATTTCAAATATAAAATATTATTAATGATGTACATATTATAATTTTCAAAAAAAAACATAATAAATATTTGATTAATATATATTTATAAATACCAATAATAATAATATGTTATCAAGATATTTCATATTAAAATTTCAAAAATTATGATATAAAATCATAAGAAAATACACACATCCTTTAATATATTTTATACATAATTATAATAATTTGACATTTGTCAAACATAATTATTATGTATTATTAGTTATCATTATAAGTTATCATTATAATACTTGAAGAATATTTGGTGGTAAGCCCCATGATGCCAGTTTACATCGATCCTGAGTGCAAAGAGCTCGTGACAAAATAATGTTTGAGATTTCCTTATCACATGTACTATCAATACTTGATGACACTGCAACGCTGCTACCACTTATTGTATTATAAATATCATCATGAGATCCATTTTTATGAAGATTTTGTGCGCTAAATTTATCGCATTTCTTTACATTGTTAATAATATTTGAAGAATGCTTCTTTATCGAGCTGATCGCATTAATATTCCCTTTGTTTTTACAAGGACTCCGATTTGTTTTGGATGACAGAATCCTATTTTCTTTTAAAGTACTCGAGGCCGAGGATACATTATTTCTCCCGTTAATTCTAGGAAATAGAATGCTATCTTCGAAATACTTTACAAAGTCAGATTCACTTTGTTTTATTGTTTCTTTCGCATTATGTGTGGAATGTGACAGTTTTGATTCATCCACGTCGCTGTCCTTGTTTGCAAACTTCGACACCGGTAAGTTTTGTTTAACATTTTTACTCACATCGCTGCCGCTTTCCTCCTGCAAGACTTTATCTCCATTTTGTTCTCGCAGAAGTCTACATTTTTTCTCAATACTTATGTGAGCAAACAGCGTGTCATCGCCAAAAGACTGCATTATTTTTTGACGTTGCAAGTCTTCCAGCGTATTTTGACCGAGGCGATTTAAATCGGTCTGGGAGCAACTTCAGATATAAGTGTTGCCACTAGTTTAAACAGACTTTTCCCTTCAGTCAATCGAGAAATCCCTACGTTTCTCCAGCGATTTAAGTCGAAAACCTTGTAAAATGCGCCGATTGGTTGATGGCTAGGGAATCCTCAATGTAATTTCTAGGCTCTTTGAAAATTTCCTAGTATGCAACCAATTAGCAGGCACGATAAATGTTTTTTTTTCCATAATGAATATAGCTGCATATTATTCAATCAGAAAAAATGTGTGATGTATCCAATCTTCGCCTTTCATGATTCATGAATTTAAAAAGTTGATGTTGCAGCAGCTGTTTGTCGGCGTCACGTTGCAGAGTAGTGTGATGAGCGTCCTTTAACGCGAAATATTTCTGACAATTGTGGATGTATTAATTATATTGTTATCATGGACGTAGATTTGCTTAGACCAGGAACGGTGCCGATTTCGCCGGATACGATATTATGGTTCGAATTTTTATTAAATCCTTCTTTACTGCAGAAGCACCTGTCAAAACCCTTCCCAGGTAAACATAATATATATAATATATTAAATTAAAACATATTGTCAATAATCAATAAATATATATTATATCAAATAAAATATTAAATATTAGATAATAATTAATATATGATATTAAATGAACTATTTTATTCATTTAGCACACATTGTGCAAATAAATATTATTTAAATAATATCTTTTATATACATTGTGATTTTTAGATCCATCGGCAACAGATTTGATAATTAAATTTATGACAATAAATTCTGATCAAAGAGATATTGAGCCAAAAACAATTGAGACCGAATTAAATGATATAAAATCTAACGGTGCAGCCAAATGGTGTCATAAAAATTTAGCATTGAAGATACTTTCCTTGAAAGTAGCAGCATATATCAAATGGGACTTGGATATATTGGAAAAGAGGCTACCTCTGCCAATACAGTTAACATTGCTACAAGATCTATTTTATATTACTGCCGATGTCACGGTAGAGATACCTACAATTCCAGAAATCTTTATAGAAACAGCTTCTGATCAGGTTCTGTTTACATTGGTATTATACCACAGATGGCTTTTAAGAGCAATTATTTACAGGGCTCTCAGTAATAAACAACCAAAACAACAATTACTTCACATGTAAGTTTTATTTTCTTAGTATGAATTCTTATATATTGTGTTTTACTTGTGTGTAACTTGCGTGTAACCAATTTAAAAAAATTTAATTTATATATTAGACCAGGTACTCAAGAATCGACATATGTACCTCCAAATATAGTGGATGATATAATTAGGAAATTAGAAGCACACATACCAAACAGTGTAAGTGTCCTAAATGCTGTTTTACAAATGTCAGATATAAAACCAAAGATTCCTTCATTTGATACTTTTCAAATGTTGACCGAAGATAGTACAGAAGTTAAGCAAAATTGGGAAAATATGTGCCTGATAAACATAGATGAATATAAATGTCAGGTATGAAATTTACAAATAAAAATATTATTCTGTCTCTTGTTTTGATAGAATAATAAAATATTTATTTTTTTCTTAGATACATTACGATCTCGCGATGTTTCATTTATTAAGAGAAGAGTATCAAGATGCAAAACACCATATTGAACAAGCTAAAGAATTGTACAATAATTTTAATCCAGCAGAAAAAATAGTGTATTGTAAAGTGCAAAAAGAATTTTTAGATGGCTGTTGTTTAGCATGCGAAGTATCACTGGAAGATATTACACCCAGTCTTACACAGCGTTTGCAATCCTCTATTAAGGATCAATATACTGTAGGTATATTTTTGTGATATAAAATATAAATTCGACTTGCGTTATATATTCTTGAATAATATATACTCACAATACACACACATGCAAAATCTGCAGAATATATTGCAGATTTTGCAAGCAGATAATGTTTTCAGGGAGATACCGCAAGTTTATAGAGATAATTTGGAACTAGATGTGCAAGGTGGGTTGGTTAACAGAAAATTCGTAGTTGCCCGGGATCTTCTGCTACAAATACAGAGCTTAAATCTGGTTAGGAAGATCCTTGACAACAGCATAATATTGGGTGATTACATAACGGAAATTAAAGCAGCTGGCACAAAGGGTCTGGATATCTTATTTTGGGTAAAACATAATTTTCACACTTTTACGAATATTTATTAGCTTTAAGTAAATTTAAACTAATTGTACTGAATTATAATTAATAATTTTTAAATAATAACTTTTTGCATTCTAAACAAAATTAGTTTTTCTTAACATTTTTAACTGTTGTATTACTTTATTTATTTTTTTTTAACTTATATATATATCAAAACACACAGATTTCCATTTTCTAATTATTATCTAGAATAAAATTCTTTTTTTTGAATTGTTAAGCATAAGTTAATTATTTATTATATTATTATATTTTATTTGATGCTTTAGGCTTTAGATAATGTGCTGGAAAAAGCAACAGTTGTAGATAAAAAACGAATTTCCCGTTACCTTCTTTATCTTATAAACACTGCTGATGTTGAAGGATTTGCTTCAAAGATACTCAACAATTCTACCTTCTCGTCGTTATTCGATGAAACGGAACTCGCTGTCTTTCAACAAGCAGTTACTTCCAACGAAATTGTATTACCAAATTTATTGCTGCAAAATGATTGGGGCATACCATCTGTACCATATATACGTACGTATAAACTATATGAGAAAGAAGAAAGGAAATATTATTAAGACATTAATAGATATTTTATTTTATCTTATCAATTTATGTGTCACTTCGAAATGCCAGCTTTGAAATTCCGTTTCTTTATTTACAGAAAGTGCGAGAATCGAAGTGTTCGAATTGGAACAGAAATTGATAGAATCATACGATTGTCACACGATCCGCGAAACATTGATCCACTTGGATGGAAAGAAACGTATGAAACCATTATGGCATGTGAATAGCTGTTGGGAATTGCCCATACCATTGCAGAGTGTAGTAATGTCACTTCCCAGAGGTTTTATTCAGGATTACTCTTACGTCCTGCTCGCGAAGAGTCGAGAATTAGTGACATCCAAAAATTTTGATAGCGCTATCGAGCTATTAAAGATGCTAGATAAAGAGCTACAGGAAAATATGAAAAGTGGAGGCTCGCTGGTTTTCAAATTGTGCAAGCTAGTAAGCTGGGAATGCCTCCTTGTCGAGATATGGAAATGTTTTAATGCGTGGCCGGCGACAAATGTCTGTATGTACACGAAGAATTACAAATACTTGTGCGTAAAAAAAAAAAATTCCTAATTATTTTATGTTACAAATACACTATATATATTTCAGGTGATATGCAAAGTATGGTCGCACGAAGCAAACAGTGCCTTGGTGCGTTAGAAGCATCCGATCAGCTGATTCCGCGGCAAGAAATAATAGAATATTGTGTTGTTTTTCTTTTAAACATGGCTGAATGGGATTATCTTACTAGTTTGGAAAAGCGTTGGAGTTACACTGAATTTGCAGCTGCTATCAGTGGTGTTTGCCAAGACATTGTCAAATACAAGGGAACTCGAAAATTTTCCAGGGATGCATGGGATATGAGTATGTATGTTAAAAATCGCATATATATATGTCACTTGTTATAATATATCGCGTGTTTTTTTAGTTTTAGTCGCATTTGGTCCTAATAGAGATCAATCACAGAAACGCAGTAACAGTGGAAGTTCTGGCAGTGCATCAAGAGACATCGCTGCTAGTATCGCCGTTACGCTTACTCGACTACGAGAACCCATGGTTCTTACTGTAGTAATATCATTGTTGGCACGTTTGCGCAATGTCTTACGCGATGAGTCTAGTCTGGAATTATACACACAGTATCTATCGCTTTGGCCTGCTGGAGTACCAAAGTGCGTTCACTGTATTATATATTATTTTTACATTATATTAATTTACAAGTTGAAATTTATATTCTTGAAAGATAAATTTAGTATATCTTAAATTTGTTCTCAAGTTATATAAAGTCGATCATTTTATTATATTTAAAATCTTAATATTTAATATGTCAACTAATATATTTTATGCATTAACGATACTTAAAATTTTAATAATATTTACACAATTTTATATTTATAGTGCAAATTCATACAATATCAGATATATTGGAGAACTATTATTTCAACTATTGACACAGGCTCTAAAGTATTATCCTTGCAATGTACCTTGGTTGAGATTAATGGGTGATCTCAATTTCGGTATGTTTCCATCATGTCGCAAATACATAGTATTAAATACTCGTGCATAATAATGTTGCTTTATTCTCTTTCTTCAGTTCTAGCCTACTATGAAAGCGCAATGAAGTATTACCTGGAAGCTATTATGGTAGCTAGTGATTTATTCAGTCAACCGACACCACGCACACAAATAGACGATCTTGTTTACAGAAGAATGATCAAATGCTGCGCTCATTTACAGTGTTACACCCAAGCGGTTGTACTGTGTCAATTTTTAGAAGAAGTAGATTACACTTTAGCGTTCAAAATGGCAGGCAGCGATCAAAAGAGCTGTGCTGCCGCTGACGCTATGGACGCATATTATCATTGTATCTGGGACACAACAATACTCGAGTATCTTATATATTTACATACAAAACGCGGAGAACATCACAGAAAGCAACTCGCGGTAAATTAAGAAAGAATAATATAACAATAATGAAATAATTACGAAACTCGATTAAATAACTGCATTAAAAAATATAATATTATATAGGTTCACTAATTTTTTACTTTCTATTCAAATTTTGAATAGCAAACATGTGAATATATCTTTGTATAATATAAAAACATGTGAAAAATTTTATTTTACAGATTAAAGTCATTGGACTATTGGAATTAAACTCTAACAACAATGAAGAGATCCAGAGAGAAGCGGCTAATATTCGGAAAGCTAAGTTTTTAAGGGCGTTAGCAAAGCAATATGTTTATTAAAGAAATATTACATATATTTATATGTTGGACGAAGAATTTTGTATATTGCCATACGAATATAATGTTTTACTGTATACTATGTGTAAATGTGTTATGCTTTTATTTAAAAAATGACAAAATAAAGATTTTTTTAGTTTATACATTATTTAAATAATTAAAACATTATAAAATGCGCTCTTGAATACCTTGCACTATTTAAATCTTTTTATGTAATGTAATCTGGCAATATATATATATATTCCTTTTTAGAAATGGATGGATTACTAAAAAAGCATTTAAAATTCGCGGGTTTCATGTTTAAGATGAGTTTCTAATTATCATCACAAATTATCAAATTAGTTGTAAGTTATTTGATATATAAAATGTCCCAAAGATTGCAAATTTAATAGCCGACAGCACCTGCAATAAATTTCTGTGCATTAATTAAAATAAAATTCTAACACACAAACAATACAAGTGTATTGTCAGGTTCATATTCAGAAAAAGAAGGAGACTTTTCTTCTTCGATGTAAAGATCAGTTCATACGCCATGAATGGAAGGCTCTATCATTTGACGTATGAGTTAACATCTAGAACAAACAACGTGTACAATACGTGTTTTGTGAAAAAATTACACTCTCGTAATGAGTACCGCAGAGAATTCCGTAAGTTTTTATTGTTAATTGAATTGTTATTTTATAATATGATATGTGCATTGTAATAAAAATAACTATTATGTTTATGTGACATTTATATTATTGATAGACTGATAGACGTTACAATACAATATTATAATCCTTTCGTCGCGTATGGTACATCGAGTATAATATCTAAGATTGTTATAAATTAACGTGAAAATACCTATATGTAAATATATATATATATATATATTTTTTTTTTTGATGCATTCATAATTATATTCCCGAAATTTTTAAATTAAAACGAGAAAATTTCGTTTTCATTTAGCCAAAATTTTTATTTAAAAATTGGAAATTTTTTTGTAAAATTTTTTGACAATATAATCTTTTATAATATAACAATATAATAATGTAATTTATTCTTTACAAATTTGTTCTTAAGCATCTTTCCTTTATTAAAACAAAATAAATGATATTTATTTTGCAGGTAATAAAAATCAATAAGTGGGATGGTTCGGCTGTGAAGAATGCTTTGGACGATGCAGTCAAAGATGTACTTACAAAGAAATATAATTACATAGAAAATTTTGCTCTTCTCGATGGAAGATTGGGACTCTGTGGGATCAGTGTTACAATAGCTATTATAGCATTGTTGTGCGATTATCTATATCCATTCCCTGCTTCTAAGCCTGTTTTAGTAGCCTGTGTTTCTCTGTATTTCATCTTGATGGGATTTTTGACATTGTATACAACATACAAAGAAAAAGGCATATTTGTGGTTGCAATTCAAAGGTAAATTTATAATCTTTTCTAATTATAATTTATAAAATTATAATCCTATTAATTTTATAATTTATTAAATTATATCCTATTTTCATCATTATTTAAATCAATTATTTGTCTCTTTAAATCTTGTTTATATTATTCAAATTGTTTTTAATATTAATATGAGATTAAAAATCACATTTAATATTAAATACATAATAAAAATAGATTTGTGTATAATATAATATATTTATGATCTTCCAGAGATCCATCAGGCTTCAACCCAGATTTTATTTGGGAGGCAAGTTCCTATTTGAAAAAATATGATGACAAATACAATTTGGTGTTGTCGGTCAGGAGTGCTTCATCGGGCAATATTAATGAGACAACAGTAACTAAATCTGTTGCAAATTTCATCGATGTTAATGGTGTGGTGATTCCAGAATTGATTGAAACCATTGTGACGAATATGCATGACAGTCTAACATCACAACGCAAGGAAAAGTAGCAGTGTTCAGATATTTGAACAATGAAGTTTCTTTCTTTTCTAAATATAAATAAATTTGATATGTATTACAGTTTTTCGTCCATCTTCTGAAATATGCAGTCCATACTTTCACATTTCCAATCTGATATAATGTTGTAAATAACACATAATAAGAATCCAAACATTTATTCCTTCATATATGATGTGTGAATGTTACAATTATTATATATTCATTATCTAAAAGGAAGAAAATAAACATTAAAAGCATTTTCTAGGCAAACAAGTTTATTCATGCATTTATTATTTATTTTTATTCCCTAAAAAGCATTACTGCTGAAATTATTTATGTACGATATATATATATATATATATATATATATATATATATATATATATATATATATATGAATATATGGATATCTCTCCGCTTTAAGTATACGTGGTGACTTGTATATATCGGTTTGTTGTCGAATGCGACTGTTCTCATATTTCGGCTCTAACTTTTATTATTTCAAAAATTGAATAAAACAAATCCGTTCTTTTACAATACTTAAAAATGACAACGCTCAGGCCTTTTACATGCAACGATTTGTTCAGATTCAACAACGTGTAAGTAGTTTCTCAAAAGTCTGTTTTTTTAACCTAAAATTCAATTGAACGATTAGGACACAAATCATTATATTGGCGATTATTATGATTATATTTATCATTTTTTTTAGGAATTTGGATCCGCTCACAGAAACTGTATCCTTTATTCTGATTAAAAATTAGATTAATGTATTACTGACGAGTACTTTTTTATCGTTAACTCTACTTGTTATTGTGTATATTATATTAATTTTAAAGAATTTGATGAATATTTAAAATACATACATGCTTAGAAAAGATTATTTATATTAACATAATTTTATTCATGATATTTTGTATTGAAAATAGATCATTGATCACTAAAAAACTAAAAAAGTAATTTTGATATTCGATATTTTGTTTTATTGATATAAATTGAGAAGTTTCAACATATACTTGTTCATTTTTCACATTTCTATTCAGTATGGACTTTCGTTTTACATGCATTATCTTGCACATTGGCCAGAATATATTCAGGTAGCAGAATCTCCAAGCGGTGAAATTATGGGCTACAGTAAGTTTACTCAGTTTCATCATATTTTTATAACATTGTAATTCTCTAATGTGATTTAAAATTAATATTATTATTTGGAAATCATCAAAGTCATGGGAAAGGCGGAAGGTCACGGAGAAAATTGGCATGGTCATGTAACAGCTCTTACAGTCTCTCCTGACTACAGAAGATTGGGCCTTGCTGCGATGCTAATGAAGTTCCTTGAGGAAGTATCAGAAAAGTAAATGCACAATATTTTATTTTATTTAAATTATCACTTAAATAACTTCAGTATTATCTTTACTACTAACATGCTATTTCTGTCAATATTTTTTTATGTAAATCAGGAAACAGGCATATTTCGTGGATCTTTTTGTTAGGGTGAGTAATAAAGTTGCAATTACAATGTATCAACAATTAGGATACATTGTGTACAGAACAGTATTGGAATACTATAATGGGGACCCGGATGAAGATGCATATGGTAGATATATTTTGAGAAATCTAAGATATTAGATCTTTATATATGTGAAATTAATAGAGATAATATTGTTTTCTAGATATGAGGAAAGCACTGTCAAGAGATGTAAACAAGAAATCTATGATTCCATTAACACATCCTGTGAGACCAGAAGAGGTAGATTGAAATGTTAATAAAATCTAATATATAATACAGGATGAATATCGTATCGTTCAAATTTCTTGTCTCTCATAATTGTGCGAAACAGGAGATAAACCAAAAGGTAAATTACACAAGACATTTCTGTGCAGAAATTATTATAAATTGAGAAATATATGCCACGAGAATTTTTATGATTTTTCTTATTTATGTAAATGTTTCTCATATACATTCTAAGATTATCAATAAAAGTCCCTTGATAGAGATATCCTTTTATTTTATCAGCTTAATTGTTTCCAAGTGAAATGCAAAAAAATAATTCAGCACTCGATATTAACGTTCCTACGCTTGTATTAATGTGCAGTTTATTTGTTCTCCTGTACAATAGTACACAATGTTTTCCATTTGTTTCGCTCGTACCTTTTTTTTCACATATGAATAAATAATAAATACAAATGTAAGATGTGAGATAGGCTTGGTAGAATGCGATCCAGATAGAGCTCGATTGTGTAAATTATTAGCTGTCTATTTTGATTCTACTAATTTTTAGAAACGCAAGTCCATCTTTATGATGATATTTACACGAATGAACGAGTCTATATGTACGATTTTTTTCACTACGTCATATGATACCATAGGTGCTAATCACCCGCGAATAACATTTGATGTCGCATACGATATATTATATAAAAAATTAAGGACAAAATGTCTCTCATTCTTGCATATCTTTGTACTGCTCTCAATAGTTTGAGGTTCGAATTATCCGTACAAACGTTGCCTCAGTAAGTATGCTAAATGAAGCCGGGCGCATTTTAGTCTATTCATATATTCCCAGACAATGTAAACGATCTAAAGGAGATTGCAAAGATTAATCTTTGAAATATCCTTTTGATGTCTTACGAAAAAGTCCTTCGAATTGAGATCCGCTGTTCAGATCATTTTATTCCATCGCAGGGAAATAGGATCGTGTAATAATCTCGGAAATTACAAAATCATGTAGAAGTCTTGTACGTATTGCACGAAAGCCCTACTTTCATCCGCGCTCATAATTTGTAATCGCTAAAAGGAAGACGTTTGCTAGTTACGTAGGATACGTCGAACGTGAGTACAAAATTTCTCTCTCTTTCTCTATGTGTATATATATATGTGTGTATATATATATGTGTGTATATATATATATATATATATATATATATATATATATATATGGACACGCTATAACTGTTACGTATATTTTAATACACAATGTTGCACACGTATTATGCGCAGGAACGCGCGATGTTAATTATTAAATAGTAAATTACGTTCCCAATGTTACATCTATTTGTGTGTCCTTGTAAAAAAGAGAAAAACATCTTAAATAAATATCGGATGTGAGACTAGCTGTTATTGAAGTTAAAATATAATGGTATGTCAGATTTTTCTGTCTATTAATTGTTCTCGCGAGTAGCCTTATATGTAAGAAGCAAAAAATGGACATTCAAAGATAAGAATAAGAGAAAATATAATCAGTCTCTCTTTCTGCCAATAAACGGAATGTAAAATTGTTCCGTTTACTAGATCTATTTATCATTTTGCACTAATGTTCTAATTGTTAAAGTAAACTGCGTTCTTTTTCTTTTATTTTAAATTCTTTTTTCGTTGCCTAAATATATTAAAATCAAATCTAGACAAAATTAAATTATTATACAAATTTAATATTAAAATTCAATTTATAATTATACAACTTATATACAATCTCGATTGTATCTAAATTCTCATTCAAACTTAATGTCATTTAATTTTAAATTTGTATGCATATCTAACAGAATAAATTTATTTAAATAAAATAAATTTAATCCATCGAAATTTTGATAGAAATAAAAACGCAATAAAAAAACTAATAGAGTTGGGAAAAATTGTGTTGTAAATTACATGACATAGTGAGACGATACTCACATTCATTGTTAGGTCGCAATGATTTCATAATTCGATAAAATTGGAAAGGAACGTATATCGCTGTGTCATTCGATATATCCCTAAACATTTAATAACTTTGATTAATATATACACGTGATACGTGAATACGTAATATTTTACGCGTCTTTTTTTTTGCTTTTAATTTTTGGTATATAAATACGATAGTAAAAATCTCAGCGTGATACTTAGTCGCGGGATGAAACTATTCGATGTGTAATCGCGCATACTAATTATAGGCAGTGTTACAAATCGATTTTCATTTCAACCACTTTTTAAGCCACCTGTATGATCCTTTATAGTTAGCTCTCTTGCTGCTAATCGTTAAGTATTTACATTGATACGATCTTAAAAATATCGATACTAATTTACATGCATATTCGACATAAACATAAATATGATTCAAACGTGACTGCGATTGCGCTTCGCAAAAAAAAAAAACGATGCACCTCGCGCATTTATAATACTAATACTGCACTTTTACGCTGCCTTTATATAATACAAATGACAAAATAAAATATGCATCACAATAGATACATCCGCATATATTCAAGAAATATATTCCCAGAGTCTTTCTCAAAATTAACACGACCGGCTTTCTTATTAAGGTCTTTGGTGATCTGGCGTCGATTTCAATATATCAGGTTGAGTTGGAAGACAGCTTGAACCTATAAAAATAAAGCTCGCTAAGCATTTTGTAAAGTAGTAATATTAAAATTAATTAGTTGCTAACAACACTTATAACGCTGCTGTTTTGTTAAACAAAACAGAATTAGTTAAAATCAATTAACACTTTTTTTATTTATTTATATTAAAAGAAATTAATTCTGAAAGATTGACCATCTATCATTTATAATTCAAAAAATAGCTACTTCATGTAAATTTAGATTGATAATTTTTTCTTTTTCATTTCTGAATATTTTTTTACAAAATATTGAAATTTATAATTTGATTGTAACACGTCTTGTAATTTCAAGGATTTCTTTTTCACTAACCAGTCGCAGGTCTCAGAGTGGATTTAATAGATCGATGTGATCCATTGCGAGTTAGGGTATTCATTTGTGGAGTGCCTGGTAATGCGTGGCCCAGTGCGTTCATATAATCGGCAATTAACAACGTTATTTCCAAAATCTGAAACAATTACGATGCCGCAAATATATAACAAAGATGAAATATTTTTCTGAGTTACTAAGCTAAGCTTTTTCTAAGCTCTCTGCAATGTTATATGATATACGCACCTTGGGTTTAGAAAGCGCAAACAGGAGTTTCTGTTCGGCCGCACCTTCGTCCGGGCAAGCAACGAGCATAAAATCATCTAAACAGCCACCAAAGGTCACTATATTCGCATAATTATAACGGCACATGCCCGCCATTGTTTGTAGCTCAAGTAACGTTACACTGTCTTCGCAAACCGCTATCCAAACGGTCACAGGATCGGTTTGTTTTAACTGAAAAAAGTTAGATTTAGACTAAAATTTCAAATCACACATACATAGATTAGTTATATATATATATATATATATATATATATATATATATATATATATAAAACATCCTCATTATACCTTTGCTTGGTACAGGGTAGCTCCAAAGAAAGGCCACTTTCTGGTGCATGTGAGATATATACGAACACAATCCAATACACTACGTCCTTTCAACCCGATCCACTTTTCTTGCAATTTCTCCTGCAATTCTCTGACAGAGGAAAATAATCGATTAAAAGTTAAAATAAAAAATGCATATACATAATATGCTATTTAAATAAACGTGTCCAGTAGTTTAACTGAACTATAAATTATTCACCTCAATTGATCGGCGGTAATGTTAGTCCGATAACGTATCGGATAAAATTTATCCAAGGCTTGGAGCACGAGATGATGCGGATTGCTTCCGGGACCGCTGCCACGTGCTTTGTCGTTGTTATATTCTCCAAAATCAATCTGAAATTAATTAAATAAATGAGATCGTACAAAATAATGAATTAAATTATTTTACAGGCAGTACAAAATTAATATATTTATAATTATTTAACATTTTATATAAAATATATAAAATTTATCTCGCATATATAAATCATGTATTTAATGTAATTATACCTGTGCCATTAACGATGCCAGTTCAAAGGCGAGGTCGCGATTTAAGGGAAACTTTCCTTGTACAACTTGTTGATTCACTTGATAACATAATAAGAGCCTCTCCTTGTCTGTTTCCATCTTAGCAGCTTGGCGCCAGTAGCAACGTGATTTGTAGGTCAGTTGTATCACTCGGGTATTTTCGAATTTCCCCGAGCCCTTCTCCCGTAATGCGGTCTCCCACTTTGAGATAATATCGCACAGCTAAAATATAAGTTTAAATCTTAAAGATTCATCGAATCAATGCTGATAAAGAAGTAAATTTTTTTATATTCTATTAAAAATTTTGAATTATTTCGCAAGTTCAAGTTGAAATACAAATTTGATTTCGTAAATTCTAATACTATGCATTTTCACGAATAATGTGATAAGTATAATATTATGAATTTTATCTCATCGTTTCACAGTTTCATATTTCATTCATTTTTACAATTTTACCTTCGCTTGCAGGTCGATGAAATGTTCGAGGTCCTTTTCGATCGGATCATCGCTGAATAGCGTAAAGCCAGATTGATGAACGTCCCTGCAGCCGATTTCTTGATTAAGGGTGTTCAGAAATTCCTCTATCGTCGTACTACCGTCGAAGCTCACGACTTGATACGTGCCATTGAGAAAGTGAACCGGTATGGCATGCGGCAATGAATGATGATACGGATTCTTCATTAGTATTGACAGTACTTCCATTCTCGAGGGTTTTACCTCTCTACCGCCATTCTGCAACGTTCTCTCCAAAGCTCGCTCGCAGTAAGCCGCATATTTGCCGCATTCCGTTCTAGTGTAATGCGTAATGTAACGTGATACAGAATAAAACAGTGTTAAATGAATATTATAATTGAATCGATCATTGCAGAAGAGATGAATTTTTTGAATTTTTTAGACTATTTATAACACAAAATTTGTTAAAATGGATTCTATCTATATATGTTTATCGAGAATTAATTATATCATTATTATACGTTTCAAGTTCTGAGCCAAGCAAGATTCGTGCATGATCTCCAAATCTTTAATTATATATTTGCACAGAAAAGAAATGAATGAAAAATTTATGTAAAATAAGGATAGAATGATATTATTAAGATTAATGAATGTAATAAAAGTCCCATCTTATCTCTCAAGCATTCAGAATCATAAAGATAATAGTTTTAAAGCTGCCTTCCTCATTGGATTTATAATAATTTT